GTTGTACCTTCTATTCGGCTTGAAATCAATAGAGAAATATCTCACATCACCTTTAACGTAAAGATCAAATTATTGTTTACCAATTCAATGTTTGCCGCTTTTTGTGTACATTTGTTATAAACTGACTCAATATTCAGTATGCTGACGAAGTTTTTGAGGAAAGCACCATCATACATGTAAGTACATTTCTTTTGGCTAAGCATTATGTAATGGGATAAGCTATATCTCGAACTCCTATCTGAAAAGTGATATCAGGTTCCCTAGAGAGTGAAAGCATACCCTGCCTTTGTCACATCACGCTTCACTGCTAGTATTTAGTATGGACCGACCATGTAATCTAAGTAAGCAATTAATTAGGATGATTTATTATTCCGCGCCGAACGAAATTAGGGAGAGATATTGAAATGGGCTCCGTCCGTGCGTACGTGCGTCCGTCCGCCCGTCCTTCCGTCCCGATATCACATAAACTGTGTAAGAAATTTTTTTTAAACTTTTTACACACATCAACCTATTACAGTAGTTGTGCCTTTTGCGATCTATGAATTTCTGGGATTTATATTTTTTGTGTTTCCATGGAAACAAATTTAACATAGTTTTTGGTGTACGATTTTCTTTCCGGGGCATATCTCATAAACCATTCAAGATATCTTCATGAAACTTTGTACAAACACCAACCTGTGCTGTACGTTTTGCTAATTAGAAATTTCTCGGATTTAATAACTTTGTTTTATTTTCTGATGTATAAGCTTAATGTTTAACATACAGCAGCTGATTGGGGTAGCCAAATGTTGTTGTGCAAACCTTACAGGGAGTAGCGACCCTGCCTTCCCCAGCTGGCAGCTACTGTGATCAGACTATGAATCTTCTGACTAGTTCCATTGATATTCCAAGAAGTTGTTTTTCTTTATGCCTTCAAAGCAAATGTCAGGGCACGGGATAGTGATGACTAGTCATCTTGTTGATATTATAATTATGTTTGTTTAATTTTAATCTTGGTGAAGATCTACTTCTACCACATGAGCAAGAATGGTATCTTTACTTTACTTTACTCGTTTCTTCAAGTCGTACGACATATCAAATACAATATAAACATGTAATATTAATAAAATACAATGAATCAATATAATATACACATAAATATAATTCTCGTGTAATATTGTTTTTGAGAAAGGCCCCAAATTTACAATAAGCATTATGGAAATCACAAATTTAGATACATGAGTTAAAATACCGTTTACGTAAATATCGAAAATCTGTAATTTTCATTACAAACTTTAAGAATAGAGAACGAGGCTTTACTCCTCTGCTCGGCTGCATAATTTTGTGTCTTAAGAAATTTTCTGTTAAAGTTCAGTAAGATTCTAAGATATTTAAATTCTTCCAATTATCTTTATTTGGTTATTACTAAATTTCCAAGTTTGATTTTTTGATATTTACCCCCCCCCCCCCCATTTCCAAATACAACAATTTTTGTTTTATTAATATTTAATATCAAAGTTTAGTGTGGTTATCATCTCCTTCTTTTTAGTGCAAGTTCATGAATTTTAATTGATTAAACGATGCAACACCTGATTTTTAAGCATCAAGTTGTATAGAACCATCAGCAATTACATATAATTAAACATAAGGGCAGACAGACACCGGGGAGGTAATTTTGGTGGTTGCTTACATAATCTTAAAAATATTACAAGTTGTTGTAGTATTACTGCAATCGTCAATCGCATTTGGCTTTTTGTGTTGTGATTTTTCCTGGGCAAAAAATGGGCTACTACAGTTTAAGGTTCAACGATGGGCCTTTAATTCTTACTGAAGAGGGATAATTGTTAATCACAAATGTCCACAATCTCGTTGGTACTGCAAGATAACATTAAGGCACCTGGTGGAAGTTAAAGGTAAATTACAGAGTACACTAAATATCCTCTGCAATAAAACCTTTGTCGATTCAGATTTTGAAATCTATGGAACATTACCTTGAGGTATTTCGGCCCGTATGCACTTCTTTTTGACCGAAACTTCCGATCTTGCATCAGAGGATAAGCTCTACAGTATTCGTGCTATATCAGCTCTTATTCTACATTAGGAATATAATCTCAATCAAATCATTGTATCATTATGTTAAGATTAACATTATTATACAGTATATTTGTATGGTCATAAAAGATTTTGTGTCGATTCTAAAAATTAAAACAACACCTTTGCCCCCCCACCTCCCCACTTATTGATGATATCCTATTAGACACGTCAGAATACTTTAAGACACTGGTATGGTGACCCACCATAAATAAATATCTCCAAATATCTCGACAATTACACCACAATATTTATATATACACCAAGACTTAAATCAGTTTCGCACATTTATAGTCACTAAATAAACGGTCATGTTGTACTTAATAAGCTATGACCATTTAACCATCCATAAATATTACACTGAAAGATGGTTACGAGTGTCGGCCATAACATTCGGGCACATGTGAATAAAAAAAAGGTTACGTTTCCTTATTTTGAAATTAGTCTCGCTTAACCAGTCTACCGACCATTCTACGTCTGATTGACAAGCCGGGATAATCAAGACTACTTTTTTTTACGAAACATAACAGAAAGGCAACTCAACAATTGTTTTAAGCACCCTGTATTAGTAAAATGAAACTACTGCTAGTATCATGCTCTTGCCTAACGCAAGTATTTCATAGATATTATTTGTACTAAACCAAAAGATGCCACTCCTAACGGTACAGTTAATGATGAAGCAATTTAATAAATAAAACGAACGTAATTTCAAAAGCTGCTGTAATAACCAAAAGCTAAATATTACTGCTATTCAGAATCGTCAACAATAGATTTTTTACGACTGTAATAGTTGATAGTTGGGTAGAAAATTGCACGTGCGATGGCTATTTATAGTCTCATAGACTCTACCGCTGAATATTATAACACTGCGTAGTTAGCGGAAAATTTTGGGTGCACGGGTCACCCTAACTAACACTGGAGATTAAATCAGGTTATAGCAAGTTTTGGTAATTGACAAGGACATGGAAAATGCTATGTTTGTATAACATAAAGGTTTGTTCAAATTCAGTATTATGTCATTCAGAATTAATAATTGTTCAAGTGTTTCTCGCATTTAATGGCGTACATTCTTATAAAGGACTCAAGCATTACGCAATAGCATACTTATTTATTCACGTTCAAGACAAGAACATTACGAACACAACAAGCTTGTAATTGATAGACCGAAACAACAATGTGGTTTAAATACACCCTAGGAGATTCTGGGTGATCGAGACTAAATGCATCCAGGTGTAGTTATGACGATGTGTTGCTAATGTATAGTTTCCCCAATTAAAACGAAAATAAAGTTTTGTCTGATTGTCTGCAGGCTGTTCAATTATCGAAGGCTTTGTAGTCGAGTTTCGACTAGAATATCTCTGGTCCGAATCCGGAATTGTCAGGGATGGCGTCTGTAAGTCTGTCAAGGAAATGCAACCAGTCGTCAGCGTGGGAAGAAAACATGGTCAGCGGGTATACGCAATGACGGTCAAATAAAAGAAACCAAAGACAGTGCACCGTTAAAAATAATTAGATATTTTACACCAATTCGGATGAAAACTAGCTGCCACCTAAATAGGGGTAACCCCTAGCCTTTAGTGGTGTAAACTGATAACACATAACTAGTGTAGAACATTACACCAATTCAGGTGCCATCTAGTTGCCACTTCCAGTAGTGTAACCTGCATGATACACCTCATTCGGTTGAGTGTTGCCCTCAGCCAGTGTAATGTTACACTTAAATAGCTAACACCCGTGGGTGTAGATTAAGCATTACTCCTCAAGAATGTTTTGTAAATTACACTTCCATTTTAATTATTACACCAACGCGGGTGTAATTTGTTCTGTTTGATATCTATTTCAAGCCAACGACTTCTAAGTTCAGAAAACTTGAAATTGACTATTTATAGGCCTCTATGATAATTAGTATAGGGTCGTCGGCTCCGTATCAATTTACAAAGAATATACTGTAAATCTTGAGGACAATTCAATACAGATATCCTTACAACACTTAGCTGAAAAATGTGGTTTATTCAATTATGCACCTTAAATGAATTAAGAATAATTAATTAAGATATAGTACCTGGTAATATTTTGGAACATTTACACGTCTTTAAGTGTATACAAGCTAAAATAATCTATACTTGAGGCGTTATGAAAATTATTAAGATTATTATACATGATAATATTCCGAATGACTTATATTCGTTATGAGTAAACACTCTAAAATAAGTTATGCTTGTGTTACTAATGCAATTAACGCCATATTTTACAAAAAAACAAAACAAAAAAACCCCAAACAAACCAAACAGTTAAATTGAAGTACACAAACACTTTTGTAACTGTATATTATATGCAAATGTTATTTAACACCGACCATCCAAGAAATTGATTAAAACGTCATTATCATGTTATGACCCAGAGATGGTCGACATTGGCACTGGCTTGACACGGCGAACGACCACGCGGAAGTCATTAGGTAATACCCCTGGCCAATTATATGTAATGTCCGTTGTCTTGTAAAGCAATCTGTACTGAACGTTTAATCGGTATACGATGCAATATAGCCAGCTGCATAATCTCTTCGATCATCCTTTGTCTAGAAAGGGATTATAAGCAGGAATCAAAAGGAGATTATTCAGAGAGGAGACTAGGAGTGCCTTGGGTTCAGTACCCATGAATATGAATTACACTTTTACAACCCAATAAACACCAAACTCCTAGCAGTGTTTCGTTTGATTAGAGCTAATCCCACTACTCACTGCTGTAAAGAAAGAAAATTCATGTTCTAAATTATGACTGACCAATAGCTAATTGCGTAACAATACCAAACAGAGCTCCAAATTGGACTAAATATGTTTACGATTTTATTATGCCCGATTAACCAGTGCATAGCAGAATATTGCAGAAAAACTAATTGTGTGACAAACAAGGCTATCAACTGTCAACACGGATGTGATATAAACAATATTTTTTTGAGACGAACAACACTTTCATCGTTTTTAATACCTTAAATCACTGTCCAAAGTATTAGGGAAGTCCCCTGATTAAAAGAAGGGCTGTCATGTTGCTGTGCTTGGGGATAGATTTGATAGAACGGAAAGAATAGAGACACACCCTCAAAAGCAAGTATCGGAAGCTAATCCAGCAATGGCCAAAGAGGGATTTCTCGGGCCATTGCTTCAGTAATATGATAAACACTGTACAATTAACACTGTACTAGGATTTATTCCCCAATAATAGTTACATCTTTTAGTGTAAATGCAGTATAACACTGGTAGTGGTGTAGCTTATCAAAACCACCCCGCAATTACCCTTATTCGGGTGTTCAGTAGTAATCATGGATATCGGTTACACTTGTTAGGTGTAGCTCTTTTAGTTGGTTACCCTTGCAAAAGTGTTACATTTTAAAAACGCTAGATGTGGTGTAAAGTTTACACTTTATTAACACTGCTTATAGTTTTTAATTACACCCAGTTTGAACAGCGTGGAAAAGCCGCTTTCATGACAAAGCCCTCCTCTGTAGCATTACACATTTGACTATAGAAATATGTCAGTCTCAAACAGCTGTGTTAAGTTGTCAGTCGTAAAAAATAAAACTAACGCCAGTGAATGGGTGTTTTCTTTAAATTTTCAGACAGAATAATCATGAGGATATTGGTATATATAATTCTATCGGTGTTGACAGCACAAGAAGTCAAGTCCAAAGACTATACATTCCAGATGGGCACAGATGGCGCGTTTACTGTATGGATTAACAATGTCAAGGTATAAAATTGTTGTACAAAATACTGTAGCGACTAGATGTGCACATATCAATTTTGTTTTGGGTGAGTGGGTGGGGGGTGTTTAGCAAAAATGAGACAGACTGACGCACATGCATGTAATACGAGTAACGCAGCCACGAGCCGAGCTTTCTAGCGGGGTACCGCAGCATGCCCCCCCCCACCCACACACACACATTTACCCCCCTGGTAGCGACAAATCTGATTAAAATACAGATCTATATTTCGTTTCGTTTAAGTATGATTAACTCTAATCTGATTAAAATGCAAGTAAAACAACATTTTGAATTATACAAAGCGAAACGAAACAGGATCTGTGTTTTTAACTCGTAATTTAAAGGTTACACCTTAAGGTGCAGGACTTGATCAGTGACGTAAGAATGCGTGGTCTCACTCGATACAGGAACACAACGGTACCAAATTCCCTCACTTTTCTGTGCCATTTCCAATCAATGCTCTGTGTATGTCACATATAATTAATTTACGGGAAAGTTACAGAAGGGCACGAAGACATATAAGTGATGTGTTGAAATTGTTGGATCTTTGAATTTTTACAAATACATTAATAACGTATCGATGCAGGTGATTGATCATACCAAAGAGAAGCCCTTTCTATATGCTGGTCGAGGAACAACAGATTTTGAGGAAGACCGGGGAAATTTTGACATTCGGGATTATGTATTACAACGTCTGGATCTTAAACTAATATCAAGGACTGAACCTACAGATGGTGATGATTTAACAATGGCATTCGATAATACGTCGGTAAGTAAAGAAATCTCAGATTCATGACAGTTCTAATAACAAATGCACTTTTGATTCTTATCTGCATTGGATTTCCAGAATATTTGTCGATAAAGATGTTTTTTTCTGGCTGGAATTCAGAGAATCTCTCAACGAGATAGCTGATGAGTTATATGAGAATATTGTATTATAACATACCACCACTGGTATTGGTAGTCGTAGAAAGGTAATTATTTATCTGACACAAGTCTAAGCAATGTTTTCAATTTAAATGTAATTGCAGTCACCTCTAGTAGTAAAACTGCGTTCTGAAGAAGATCATTCGTTAACGATTGATATATCTGATATCGAGAATGCTGGTTATGATAGAGTTTGGATTCGTATAGCCGCTGATAAAGATGAGGAGGTGTATGGTGGTGGTGAACAGTTTTCTTACCTTAATCTCAGAGGTCGTCCATATCCTATCTGGACTAGAGAACAAGGTGAGTATTTCGATCCACCCAAAACCCAAACTCTTCCGCCATCACCAAATAATAGTTGTCCTGCCGTTGAATGCACACACATTAAATCAAAAAATGTGTTTATAGATTTTGATCCATATAGACGGGCTAGTGTTATACAATGGGGGATATGAAACTCGATTATGTCACCTTTTGGTCATAAAAGCGGCATTCATTGAATATCTTTATCATGTAAGCAATGACATCTGGAGGGGTTATCAATTTAATATCACTCCTACCTAGATGGTCGGCCATTACCAGATGGTGTTATCGTTGACACCATTTGTCAGTTAGATCACATCACCAACACCGAATGACTAATGTTTATAGCTAATCGGAACATAGTAATTTTTGGGGTTGGGCATCTACCAGTTCAAGAGATTAAAAGACGGGAACCAAATAAGGTTCATCAATAGGGGATTGGGATGGCCTAGTTGTTTAGAGTTTCGCGCTTCGAGCGCTAGCTGACCGGTCACCTCTAGTTTTTCTTCGTGATGTCGATCCCTGTCGTGGGATTGCTCCCAGTACTTCGGTTTCATTCTACAGGGAAGACCCCTGCGCATGCGCTAAGGTAATAAAAATAATAATTTTCTGTAACATCACCTTCGGTGGAAGCGGTCTTAAAAACCAAGAACAACATAGATTCACCAATCCAGGCCAAACCCCCAAGTTAGCACTAGGGCTCCCTCAAGACAAGTCATTAACTAAGGAATCATTAACTATGAAGTCATTATATGTTTGGAAGAATAATAAAAGTATTATATGGAGTTAAACAGAGTTGTGTCTTGAAGAACCAATAGTGTAACATCAAATTAAAGACAAGATGTCTGTGCTAATATTAATCTGATATTGCCAATATTTAATGTATGTTATCGCACTTAAAACCCTCTAGAATATATATATCTTTTTCTGATATCCTTCAATTTATGTTTTGTAACGCAATATGTGTCAAATAGAAAGTTCCTTGTTATCCACAGATTCATTTTTTCTGCATTAGATTTATTAAATGAGCTATTATTACGAGAATTATTGTTTTAGAAGTAGATACCTTAATCCCTGCTTTCGTGTGTTGTCGATGTGTAATTATTGTATATTTAACGTATTTCTAGGTGTTGGCAGGAATCAGAGTACTCTCGTAACTTTCATGGCCAATCAGATGCAGCACAGTGGTGGCGATTATCATACCACTTATTTCCCACAACCGACCTTTTACAGCCGTAAAAAATATTATTTTCATCATGGTTCTTCCAACTACGCTGTGTTAGATTTTAGTAGAGATGATGCCCATGAAGTTTTCATTCTGGGTCAGCCTGGTAGGATATATATAAATAGGGGTAACAGTTTTACGGATCTGGTACAGAAATTAACGACCTTATTGGGAAGAATGCCAGAATTACCTAACTGGATTTATGACGGAGCAATCATTGGCGTGCAAGGTGGCTCTCAAAAGGTAGAGTCTGCTTAAATCATGTCACGCTACGGATCTTGTTTTAACAATTCCACTATGATATAAGGATGAGGGGTGTGGTGGACCGGGTGAAATATCATGCGAGTCGAAAAAGGTGAAAGTGGTTCATGGTTTGTAACATGTTCATGATTAAGCTCGTGGAAGATAACATATTTCCCAATCTCAGTTCTAGATTCTGTTGGAAATTATATTTATGGACTTCAGAATCTTTCCTAAATTAAAGCAATCCGAATACCCAACTGACTAAAAAGCGAGTCATCTAGAAAGACAGCATACCTGTACAGATCGCATGACAATATGCCTTTTAATGTTGTATATACCGTGAAGTGATGTCAAATGGTAAGGTTTTCGACCTTTTGTTCTCTCTATAATTTATATTCTGGTTTCCGATCATCTTAACATGTAAGAATTACCCTTCTTAGAAATAAGTAATTTTAATTATTTAACTTAACTGTTAAATGGTATTTTCTTAGATGGCAGAATATATAGACTATTGTGATCAGTACAAAATCAACTTGGCCGGGGTCTGGATTCAGGATTGGGCAGGCACGAAAAAAACCTCGTTTGGTAAACGTTTATTCTGGAATTGGAGATGGAATGATACTTTATATCCTGGTGGGTATTGCTATTTTAATTAGTTTGCTCCAATACTTTATGGTGTTGAAAAATGTCAATCTGGAATTTGAACCGCCGCTAGATATGATATTGGGTGACACATTACGATGTGTTGTCATTTAACTATGAGATATAGCACTGCTACCCACCTTAACCGCTGTTCTTGATGATTCTGGTAGAAAACATACACTTAACACGAATTCCATTCTCCTGGAGAATCCAACACATTTTATGCGTCAATCTTCATCTTTACTTTACAAATTCGCTTACTTATATTTTCCAGGGTTAAATGAGACCATCCTTACTTTGAAAGAAAGGGGAATCAAGGTTTTAGCTTACATTAATCCTTACCTCAATCAGGATGGAGATATCTTTAAGATAGCCGATGCAAGGGGATATTTTATGAAGAATAAGACGGGGCAGACATTTATTAAAGATTTTGGAGAGTTCCATTGTGGAACTATAGATCTTACCAATCCTGAAGCTTATGATTGGTATAAAAATGGTAAATATCTTATACGTATCAGTCTCCAAATTGTTTTATATATAGACAATATAAATCATCGAATTTTATTCTCTAAGACAAATTCTTAAAAAAAAATAAGATGTATTAGATCTAGGGGTCGATTTCATTTGACTTTAAATGTCGTTCACAACTTTGCGTCCATAGATACAGCGTTTGTTGAATACATGTATAACCGATTGTGTGTTCCTGTGCTAATCCAATAAGCAAATTATTAAGAAAATATCAGAGCGTTATAGTATTTGTCCTATAATATCACATGATATAACCCTAATTCTAAACTTATTTTGACCTAAATCAAAGAGAGATTTCTCTTTGTGTTGTGTTTTAGTCTACTTTTATTTGCTGAGTTATCCACAAAAAAATGATTAATTCTGGGGATTTTTATCAAAATGTGAAATATCTAATTTATTTTTCTAAATATTGTCATCGTCGTCTAGAAGTAGTCAAGAAGAACATGATAGATTTAGGACTGGGTGGATGGATGGCTGACTTCGGAGAATATCTTCCTATAGATGGGTACTTTTACAATAATAAATCAGCACAGATGGTTCATAACGAATGGCCAGTATTGTGGGCGAAGCTTAACCGAGAAGCTGTTGAAGAAACTGATAATCTGGGTAAAATAGTGTACTGGATGCGAGCTGGTTTCACAGGTATAGTAAACTATATCTCCGTCACTCTATATCCGAGCACTCCCCATCGTTTAAAAATTTTGTTTCCGTGTCATGAACTCGTATCCGGATTATTTCTAGATTCTGATTCTGATTTTCAATTCGAAATACAAAATACTAGGAAAATAAAAATGAAATGGGGTTTAACGTCCTATATACTGTTCTGCTCTGACTGGGCTAATGAAAATGGGTGTACGCCGTACAGTGAGTGATGAGGGACTATGATATCGAATGCCAACTGCCAAGGGATTTTTACGTGAAAGGGACCTCGGTTTTTCGTTTCATCTGAATGACTATACAGCTCTCCTTGTCAGGCCCTCCATCCTGCACCACTGACAAGGGGGAAACCACGGAAATTCCCGATGAACTTTCTTGGCCAATGCAGGGATCGAACACCGTAGCTCCCGATAGTACTAGGATCTGAATGAATTTGCACGACTACGTTTCGGGATATGATGTGAAAATATATACTAACCCTTGAACGACCTATATAGGCACCTATATAAATATATATCAACGGGGGGGTTGGATGGCCGAATGGTTAGCACGTGCGCGCTGTATCATAAGGCCTGTCATCTGTCATTGAGTCAACTGGCGGAGTTTCGACATCGCGTTTGTACGTGACAAGGAGTAGGGTCGCCTCGTGGGTTTTCTCCGGGTCCTAAAGACCCCTACACCTACACGGAAGCGAATGATTTAAATAAAATAGAACCATATGTTAGTCCCGAAATAACCTAGTTTATGTCGAGTGGAGTGGACGTTAAACCCCATTTCTCTCTCTCTCTCTCTCTCTCTCTCTCACTGTTTTACAGACACTACCTTATAGACATAGAAAGTATTAATACATCATTAGCCCATCTTGCTCTCGTCTTCTTCATTACTTACTTTCAAGGTTTCGCAATAATTTTGAACATTATGAACACAAAGAAAAATATGATGAAAAATGTTGATAATAATTCCCATGTGATAATTATATTCAATAACTAAAACAACTATTTTTACTTTAACAATATGATTACAGGTACAGGAAACTACAGTACTTTAATGTGGGCTGGCGATCAGGATGTAGACTTTACCTATGCTGATGGACTCGCCTCTACTATACCTTCAGCTTTAAACATGGGTCTTAGTGGTGTTGGCATTACCCATTTTGATATAGGGGGATACACGACCTTTGCTCCCAAATTAGTTAGAAGTGCAGAACTATTATTACGATCAGCAGAGGCAGCAGCATTTGGACCAGTGTTCAGATCTCATGAAGGTAAATTGCCGTATTACAGGCAATGGATATAGAGCTTCAGATTATGTCTTTGTACTATGGCATTAAGACCGTCTGTTATTTTATAGAAGCGTAATATTAATTATTTCACCTAATGACCAATTCTCATGTGTAAAACTATTGGGAGGGGTCCGATTATTAACCTGAAACAAAAACCGACTGAATTATAGTCACTTGAGTATAAGGTCGGCCTCAACCGCTGGTATTTCGGGTAGAACCGGAGTGCCAAAAACACAGTAGAGCTTTGAGCAGGTTTATGACAGATCATTTAAAGAATTCCACAAATCTTGGATTTCAGTAGTATTCTTTTTTTTTTGTATATAGGTAACCAACCTACAGCTAATGTCCAGTTCTATTCTTCACACGAAGTATCCATGAAGTACGCTCGTCTATGTAACATGTTTATCATGTTGAAGAATTATTCTGTACACGTCATCAAGACCACGGCTGATACTGGCATACCAGCACAAAGACCGCTATTCATGCAATTTCAAGATGACCCTGGTTCGTATGACGCCACATACCAGTTCATGTATGGCGATGACCTGTTAGTAGCGCCAGTATTTAAGTCGGGTGTTACCGCTTGGAATGTCTACTTGCCCAACGACACAGTCGCTAATGCCAAATGGGTAAACATCTGGAACCCAGAAGAAATGTATGAGGGTCCAATGAATGTACAGGTTGCTGCACCTTTGGGTAAAACACCAGTATTTTACCGATCTACGTCTATGTACGCGGACATTTTTAAACAGATTGGAAGCACACCATTGATTGTTGTTCCAACTGATACTCCACATCCAAATCCAACTGGCTCCATGAATTTCATAACGGCTTCCATAATAACCTGCTTGCTAGCGTCTTTAATATGTATCATATTTTCTTGGGTTTAAAGTACCACGTAATTTGTTGCATTTTAGTTCGTTTTTTCTGCAACTTACGGCCAGTCCTAATTTTTGAAGGATCAGTTGTTAATATACAAAATAAGCAAGACCCGATTTGTGGTTCGGAACTTAGACGTATGAGATTCTCTTTATCTGTACATTCTGCACATACATGTACATACATGGATATTCGTTGTGTTTAGGTTTTTCTCCTACAAATTATTTTCCTAAGTTTTTCTTTTCGAAAATAGTGACTATAGAATAAGAATTCTCAGTCTCAGTATTAGAGACTGATATTAAATTAAAGGAATTACTATTTCTTTTATGTTACTTATTTCATGTTTGAACTTCATACACTGTTAACTAGTTTATTTGTGCTCAGATTTGTTCTGCTTTGTCTATTAAGGCGGGTGTTTTTTGGTTATTAGGAAGTGTAATCTAGATTACTTTCAAATTACTTGTAAATATGTTGACGTATTTTATATATCGTAATATTCTTGTAAATATTTTATAAATAAAAGGCTGTGCCGTGTTATGATTTGTGGATCTTTGAAATTCAATAAGTAAACAAATTCAATAATTTTTAACCACTGATTTGTAACGTTCGATAATTGGATATCTGCTGATGACATTGATGTTTCTACTGAGAGATACAGTAATCTCGCGGATATCGTCCACCTTTGACATTGGTACACCAGTTACTTTAACATCTTCCCTGGTAAAATCCACAGCTCGTTAAATTTGTATTTATGGTTTCCTCTTTATTTTATACTCAAATGAAATTAAATATTCCCTCGGTTTAGCCTACGGATATTTCAGTAGATAGATGCCAGTGGGAATCGAGCATAAACAATTTTGTTTTATACAGCAATGTTTTATTATCGATAATGGGTGTTGTTCACATACATAATCGACCTCCGGGGAATCAATATAAGTTATTGTTCCTAGACAATTTTACAGACACCTGGAATTTGTTTTGTGATCAGATTAAATAGCATGTATATATGATGTAAGTAAACGTCGGTTCAAAATCCCATAAAATTAAGCATATTCAAAATTAAAGGGACTCGTAAACACTAATCCCATAAAATTAAACATACATTATGCAAGAGCTACATCTGTCAATTGCAGGTCTTTCTTTAGGCCTGAAATATTATCTATATTATTAATTAGACATTAATTAACTTATCCAGACCATAATCAACTCTAGATGGCATCGCTAGCCTGCGATCTTAAGTGGATTGTGACCCGATTTACTGCATAACTTTCATTCTCGATTAAACGGTTAAATGGATAATCGAGACTATGCTGTTTATCGTTCTGACTTTAGTAATGATGACCGAGGCTAGGCAGAAATAGCGTTCGCTTAGTTCTCGGTTCATAGTGGATCAATTTGAATGAAATTTTCAGCAAATTGCCTTTACGTTATCTTGTTTTTAATTATTATAGTGAGAACTGCCAACTTGTTATCGAATCTCCCATAATGTATCTTTAAGCATATTTAAAATCAAAGGGAGTCGTGCACACTGATCAGCAGTGAATATTCGCTAGGTCGCTACAATCATTGATAGGGATGACATCGGTGCGGCTTAATGAGCCCACAATATTTTTACAGAGTTATTGTGACACTACGGTGTTTTTAAACAGATGAATTAACTCTGGCCTCCACGTTGTGTATAAACTATTTCCAAGGATCAATTGACTCTGGAACACCGCGTTGTTAAAATTGTGTTTATATATCAAATACAGGAAACTACAACATCTATGACAGTACATTAGGAGTTCTTATCTACAGTCTGAGTTTAAAAAGACTAGCACTCAGACCTAACGGCTGAAACACTACACACTGTCTCTATCCCAGCCTCTAAGCCAGAAATTTGAAATGAAATGAAATGAAATGGGGTTTAACGTCCTAATGTTCTGCTCCTAACCTGGGCTAATGAAGACGGGCATACGCCATACAGTGTGCTATGAGGGAAATTTTGCCCGGGCAGCGGCGCTACGGCCTACTCTTATATCGAATTCCTACTGCCAAGGGATATTTTACGTGCACGCCAATCTGTACACGGGACCTCGGTTTTTCGTCCCATCCGAGCGACTAGACAGCTGTCCTTGTCAGGCCCTCCATCCTGCATCACTGACAAGGGGAAACCACGCCGGAAAATCTAAATGAAGATTCTCGGCCAATGCAGGGATCGAACACCCGACCTCCAGGCTAGAGAGCCAGCGTCTTACCCACTTAGCCACGTGATCCCCCTGCCAGAAATTTAACCCCGCTCTTTCTTATATAGAAATTATAGATGTGTCAGCTATTAGGGCGGGACAATTACCATTTTTGGGTAAGTGTTTCGTATGGGCACCGCTTTACGTCAACATTATTCTATTTAATTGGACTAATCTGTGCATGAGATGATTAGACGTTAGTACCCTACTTTCAGCAATTGATCATGGCAGAAAAGTCTAAGAAACTTGATTCTTACAAAATACCTACTTAGTCTATTTCTCGTTGTCACCCATTTGCTTAACCACTATATTAAACAGAGCACCTTTCCCAGAACTAAAATAACCCCATTGAAGTATTACAGTATTAAAAGACTTTCGTAATACCTCTGTGAAACAGATTGGGCCACGTGGTGTAACAAACGTCAGTTGACTTAGTTTCGGAGTATTTTATTAAAAAATTAACAAAATAGACCAATATAAAAAATCAAACCATTATCGCAATCTTTTAACTGGCTTCTAACAATTAAACTATCAAATGATGAAAACTGCTTAGCGTCTCACGTGAAAGGGGACCAACCCTAATCCATCGAGAAAGCAGATTGTACAAATCTTTCAAATTTCAACATTATTTCCATACACAAGTATTTACATTTATTGATAAACATTATATATCATGTTTTATTTACAATTTACATAAATTATTATTACTTAATCAAATAATATACATACACGAATATATGTTCTGAGACTTAATAAGATATACAGCAGTAAAGACATCCTTGGCGAGTCGACAATTCAGGCCAATTTAACCGCGCTGAGTCAAACATACAGAGTACCAAATAGACGACGACATAGACATGAACATCCGCGTTCGCCACAAGCTTTGATGAAGGTGAATAAAATAAATCAAGGACAATTTTTCTGGGACTCATTTCCTATGCCATATCCAGTATATTTTGTACAAAATCTCTGGCTTACAAAGCTCTGGTTTTGTGTATGTTACAGGCCTGAAAGTTGAAAGTGGGTTGTATGGAATGTTGAGTATGTGTGGCCAAGACTCAAATAAGATAAAACAAAGACCATATCGGAGATCGAAGCTATGCGCAACAATTTTCGTATGTTTACACATGCATCTTTATACCAGACGAATGTTTCCGATCATTCTTCATTCACATAACTCAAAATATTTAACGTTAAAATTTCGTATTACAGCAATACTAGAGCTTACTATTGCCGATCGTATTGAAGTAAAAACCTTTTCATGTTCTAGCTTTAAATAATTCGGACAGGGAATAGGGTAATAGCTTTGAACAGAGGATGATGCTGACATGTAAATGTAAATGGACAACTGGTGGTGGTGATCAGTACTGACTACAATAAGTTAAAAGATTTATAAAAGATATAAGAAAACAAAATACAAGAAAATAATGCTGGTGAATTTTGAATCCAATGGTTTTGAAGCAGAAATGGGCCCATTACAGAAGTTTGAATTACATACTGATACACACATCATTTTTCCAGATTCGGCGTTATATGAACAGATGGTTGTATTATCTGCATGAAGATATTTTAGACGTCCTGTAAGTTTGTCATCACTAGTAAACGTTTTAAAGTCAATGCAATCTCGTATCAAACTCTGAACAACACCTGAAAATATGTTTTATATACGTATATAGCGTAATAAGTCCAAAATATATCATATACAGGTTAATTAAACATACATTATGCAAGAGCCTGAAATGTTATCTAAACTATCCAGACAATAATCACCTCTCGATGTCATCGCTAACCTGCGATATTTACCGGATTAGGGTCCGATCTGCTGCTCAACGCTCATTCGTGATTAAATAAAGAAATGGAGACTGTTTTTTTATCGTAGGGGCCTGTCGACTTTAGTAATGATGATCGAGGCTAGGCCCAAAATTCAATCGCTAAATTCTCGGTTCTGATCGGATCAATTTGACTGAAATGTTCAACAAATTCCCTTTACAGTATCTAGTTTTAACTCTTATAGTGAGAACTGTCAGCTTTTTATCTAATCTCCCTTAATGTATCTTTAATACAGGGCATCAAACACTGTCTGACTTTGTCGTAGATAGCTTAGCGCGTGGACCGTCCATTCATCGACATGCAAGTGCAGGCTAAGTATAATAATGGTGGTATGATTTTATTTGTAGATTGGTCCATTGCGTGTGTAGGGTCGCATTTGCCGAGGACATTTACCATAAAATGAAACGAAATGAAATGAAATGGAGTTTAACGTCCTACTTTTCTGCTCCTAACCTGGGCTAATGAAGACGGGCATACGCCATACAGTGTGCTATGAGGGAAATTTTGCCCGGACAGCGGCACTACGGCCTACTCTTATATCGAATTCCAACTGCCAAGGGATCTTTTACGTGCACGCCAATGTGTACACGGGACCTCGGTTTTTCGTCCCATCCGAACGACTAGACAGCTTTCCTTGTCAGCCCCTCCGTCCTGCATCACTGACAAGGGAGAACCACGCCGGAAAATCTGGATGAACTTTCTCGGCCAATGCAGGGATCGAACACCCGACCTCCAGGCTAGCGAGCTAGCGTCTTACCCACTTAGCCACGTGATCCCCCATTTACCATAAACACAGATAGTATATAGGTTCTCTTTTAAAAGGGGGGGGGGGTATCTACGACTCGAAAGATATTACATATTCTAATGATGATCTCTATTGACCATTAATAATAACACTCGAAGAAAGAGAGAGATAACGTCCACTCGGTCGCTTGCGCATTGGAGTAATTAGCAGTGGGAAGAAATCGGAGGAGTCGGATGAAATTCATGGGGTTGAACTGGCGACCCTTCTTATTAGGTACAAACGGGGAATCAAAACCATGTCTCTTGATTTGATGACATACCTTCTGATCCAACGCGCACGCGTTAACAATTCGGGCACCCAACCACCCCCAAATTGCTCTTGAAAACAAAGCGCCTTTATACGTGTACACATGTATTAAAGACAGATATGAGATTAGATAATTTTAATCTTTCTAATACAACCACGAAACGACAAGATCCTCACTCTAAATCTGAATTGATTATGTCAGTAAACAGTGTTGTATGATAAAAAGGACAGCTTTTTGGCCATCTAAATGGTGTCCCGTTCCTAACGGTTCCTTTCATGTGTCACCGCTGTAAAGAAAAGAAGAAAACTTTGCGAAATCAGGTCATACACATTATTGTGAAAAGATTTAAAGTAAAGCTATTGGATTAGATTCCGTATAAATGTACGAAGACTCATACCTCCTTGCAAAACTCTTTGAATCATACAAACTGTTTCATTATATTTCTCATTATTAGTATAACAACGTCTGGATAGTTTGCTATCATTATTTGAAGCCGATTCTTGTAGTTGAAAAGTATCCGAACAATCTGGATGTGCTCCCGTATCAAAACATGAATAACATGTTAAATTTGTTGATTCACCATCTGAAAATAGGAGTTTGAGTTCAAATATGAACATGTCTTTATAAGAACAATACTCAAGCTTTCAACATCGATTTTGTTCTTTCTATTTTTTTATTCCCCCCCCCCCCTCAAGTTTCCAAAGGATAAAATAAACATCCATGATGGTGTAGATAGTTAACGTTATACTTGATAGTGGTACTAACTGATATTTCACATAAATTATCATTTAATCTAAGTAATATAAAAAATGAAACTCCACTGCCCTTTAACTTGCGAAAGTATGAAAGAAAAATTTTCAGAGCCTTCGATATAACATGGATTTACATTGTTTTAAGTCTATAACATTTTAGATTAAAAATCTTACCGCAGTATATCGTGATCATGAAAAGCAGTACAATTATTTTGTCAACCATTTTGAATGTAATGATTGTCTAATGATACTTTATCAGTCTCTACAGCTACCTGGTTCATTGTGGGGTCACCGTGAGTTATCAATAAAACATTTATCTTTTTATAAATAACGTTATCAACCGAGGTATTTCATAACAACAAGTGAAATACAATTCTAACAGAACGCAATTTAAACAATGCAGATTTCTTTACCCAAATCCACCCAAAACACCATATTGTTTCAACTCTTATCACAATAATTATATCGATTTTGAAATTCCAAATTGTCATTTTTGATTTAAAATTGTAATATGTGTTGAAATAATGGTGGTTTTGGGTAGATTTCCAAATCCAGCTACAAGATTTATTTTTCTAAATTTTATTGATTGTAATAGTAAAAATTAATATATTATAAATCAATTAAACGTCAGATGCAATTCTGGCATCCCTTCTGATCATTTTTAAATATTCGCTGGCCACCAATTTAAAGAGGGCTTTCGCATTATCGCGGGTTTGACAGCTAGATTGGAACCCACCCCTTCCACTTTGACAATTTCTGTTTATAATAAAACTAATTTCATAATATAATTTTTTTTATATATGTATATTAAGTCGGTGTATTCTGGTCATTTTTTCGCAAGTATTGCCATTGGGCAATTCGTCCGACCCCTACAAGTGCATTATAAAATATAATCAGAACCTATGATATTTCTGAGTCTTGTTGACAGAGTCTAAAATAGGAGTGCTGCCGCTTGAACTACTCTTTTATTTGGAGTTATATTTGGTGATCTTTCAGTAGCTCAGATAATCGCACAAATCCAGACAAAAATAACATTCAAGTCCGATTAGCATTTCAGTCTAGATAATAATAATAATAGATAAACATGGGTTTCAAACTTTGTAAATGTTTTTCGTCAAAATTGATTCAGATTATTATATCAGTTTGTGTATTCTGCTGGATAGTTTTTCTATACAGATGGACTAACACTACATCATTTACAAAAATAAACAAACAAATTTACAGTGCTGAATCCAAGAAAAACTTTAAATTCGGTGAAAACACGGAACGTAATTCACGGCTGAATAAAGCTGGAATCGTCAGCAATGGAGAAAAAAAAGTACCCATTTCCTTTCATAACGGCGAAGTCAAAAATAATAGTGTTTCATCATCAGAAGAAATTGATATTTTGATAACATTCACAAATGCTAAAACAAAGCATGACCTGCAGACAAAATTTAAGACTACTGTCTCCTCTTTATTCAAATATTCCAGTGTGTCAATGACAATTTATATAATTGGAGATAAAGACAGTCAGCTAATTGCTGAAAGCATCCTAAAAGAAGAAAGACATGCATCTGTGTACAGAGTAAGCAATGGTCATTCCCCACAGCACACCAAATTACTTTAATAACCACAAATTTCAATAATTGGAACCAAATCTAAAAATACACTGACATAACGTTTCAATACATGCATAGTTTGAATGTTTGTTGAAATCGGAAAAATCACTAGAACGGGTTCAAAGCCCTTTTTTGCTCTGTTTTTTTATTTTTTTTTATTTCAAAGCCACTGATCGTCATTTGCATTTTTGAGACAATATCTAATTCTTCACACTGAAATGTACCGTACTCAAATCAATTGTTTAAAATTTTCAATAAGAAAACAAAACCAAACTATGTGGGTTTTATGTGTGTTGAAATATGCTTATTATACTGGCCCAACTCTTGAGGGCGAGGGTATAATTTCTAGGCATAGAATGGAATGGAAGCTATACCATGCCAGCCGATAAATTTTTTCTCAGAAAATCTACATGTATAATTTTTAATTAAAAATCAGATATATGGCACCACGAACATTAGATGAAAGTAATGTCAGCAGAATGAATCGATATATTGGTCGATTTAGGGAAGATATGGGAATAGGTAGCAAAAATTAGATGGTCTAAAAACCAGACAGGTCCTATTCAAACTGAGTTGATTTCATATTTGATTCTTTAGTAAAACTGTGCTGATTATTGAAATTTCAAGAGGCCCCATTCCTTACAAATCAGTCCGGGGATGTTTTGTGATGTGTACATACTTATAGACAAACTGTCTCTCACACATGAGTAGCTTCGCTTTTCTTATTAAACCTGAAAGTATGTCCGGAACCTTTGTTTACAATGTGCAGTGCCAGATTAACCATGGTTGGGGCCTTGAGCATGTGGGGGCCCTCAACCTAACACAAGTGACCAGAACTTATTCAGTATTATTCCACAGTTACACTAATCAAACCTAATTTGAAGTCGGTCAGTGATACAGAGAGTCATATCCTAATGTCTGAGAGTTATTTATTTTGGTAGTTCCTCAACCTCTTGTTGAAGGATCTTGTGTTTTGCTCCAAATCAACAGTCTATGTATTATTTTGAAATTTCTACCATTAGGCATATTTAAGACTTGTGCAGTCCAAACCTTATCGTGGGTAATAACATCACAACCTTCACAGGATTCAAATCTGAATAGCTAAATTTGTTAACACATAATTGAGTGTGGTATTTTTAAAAAGCTGTATTTATTGTGTTGCATCTTTCATCATCACAATAATTGGTGAAAACGCACAAACTGTTGTGTCATGATTATTAAAAAAAACAGGCCCTAAAAGCAAAAAGAAAAAAACTCTGTCTCTGGCCCGAGAAATTGAGATATTTTGTGTTATTCACATCTATTGTTATCGGTACAATGTTATTTTTTCAGATGGTGAAGCTTGATATAGATCCACTCATAAAGAAGTTAGATGATATTGTTAAAGAGATGCAGAAATATTTTAGTGACAGTCAACATTCTTATTTTGGACAATCATTGTTTTTCCTTTCAATTGCCATACACAAAGCTCTGCCCCTTGACTTGCACAAAGTAATAATGCTCGACTCTGATTTAAAGTTTAATGCTGATATTAAATATTTGTATGAGCTCTTTTCACATTTTTCAACTGACAATATAATAGGAATAGCTCACGACGCTCAGCCTGTTTACAGACATACATTCTCAAGCTATCGCAGTCAAAATCCCGGAACACGAGTTGGTGAACCTTCCCCAGATGGTTTAACAGGATTTAATAGTGGAGTTTTGTTACTTGATTTGGATCGTATGAGAAAATCAGCTTTATATAATTCTTTGCTCAATCCCAACATAATAAAAAATTTGACTGAAAAATATCAATTCAAAGGTCACTTAGGTGATCAGGATTTATTTACGCTGCTTTCACTGGATTATGAAAAATTATTTTATGTGCTCCCATGTTCATGGAATAGACAATTGTGTGTTTGGTGGAGAGATAATGGATATAAGGAGGTGTTTGATTTATATTTCAAATGTGAGGGAAAAATAAACATATATCATGGTAACTGTAATACTCCTATTCCTGACTGATACTTTTTTATTAAACATACATTATGCAAGAGCTAAATCTGCCTATTGCAGGTCTTTCTGTAGGCCTGAAATGTTATCTAAATTATTAATTAGACATTAACTTATCCAGACCATAATCACCTCTCGATGCCATCACAAGCCTGCGATATTTACTGATTTGAATTCATTTTGTGACGGATGATTTAAATCAAAATGGATAATTGAGACTGTTTTTTATCGTACCGACTTCAGAAAAGATGATCTGAACGTGGCTAGGCCTAAAATTCAATTGTTAATATCTCAGTTTAGAGTGCAGCAAGTTGACTGAAATTTTCAGCATATTCTCTTTACGTTATCTATTGAAAAATATGAAATTGGTACAAATCATTATTACTATACACTAAAAGAATAACATAGTAATAGTTTCTCAAAAGATACCTATTCCTATATCAATTTTGTATTGATTCCATTTCTTAATTAGAAATAAAGCATCCCATTATTAAGACAATAACCATTACTTCCCCCTTAACTATACTCCTCACAGTTTTTCATTTGATTAGTTACTATGACATGAGTGATGTCATTATGTACATCATTAGACCTTCTTTTATAAATTGCTGGTCTGTCATTTTCTGCTTAAATTTCATCAATTACTGAATGATTTCCAATCTGATTAAAATACAGATCTATATTTTTTTTTTTTTTTTTTATTATTTACACTTTCGATGGCCTACACTACATGAAGATCTGATAAGTTGTACTGGGAGGTCGCATTAAGGGTCATATGAGCGAAACGAAATAGGATCTGTGTTTTAATCAGACTGAGTGATTTCTGAAGAGGTAACATTTACAGAGCCTATATTTTAAAAGGAATGTTATGTTATTAACAGTATGCAGTTTTATCCATTTTGTTTTAAATAACATAGGTTCATATGAAGGCTATAGGACAGAAAGACTGAACAAATAATAATAACCTATTCCTGTAACTTTTAAAGAAAAATATTTATGAATGCACCCTGTTCATTGACTACCTCAATCTGATTAAAACACAGATCCTATAGTTCAAAATTTCATTTTACTTGTCTTCACAACACTGGAGTCTGGAAGAGTTGTTATATAACAGGCGATCTAGTTGATGTGAGGAATTAGCCAATGAAACGGTCTTCTACGGCGAATGATTAAACCCCTAAAAATGTCAATGCTGATTGATTAATCAATGTCTGGCGTCATAGGGTCAAAAGCCGATTGTATGACACCTGACGCGACCTCCCAGTACAACTGGTCAGATCTTCATGTAGTGTACATACTACATACGTAGGCCATCGAAAGTTTGCATTCTTAAAATCTTGCGGTTTAATTTCACAAAAACGAAAAAAAAAACCCATAATTTTATTTTAAAATAACAATTTAATAAATAAGAGTACAAATCTTGGCTATAAATTATTAATATTATGCATCACTCTCTGCTACTATATTTGCCTAAATTAAATTACAGACTAATTAGAGATTAGATAAGGATCAACTGAAATTTTTTCTTTTTTTAAACTTGAAGTAAATTGATTGTAAACTAATTTAAAATTGGTTAAAAAATCTTTATCTGTTTACACTTTGTTGAAGAAATACTAGCTTCCAAGTTACAACATATGCCCGGACAATCATATCTGAAGCTAGTGATTGAGACGATTATGAAGTCACTTATACAACTGAATAATGTAATATCTGGTATTTAGTTACGTAACAGTTATTAAAATCTAGCAATCATTTCCAAATGCTCAGTATTATAAGCTACACAACTTTCAGTTTAGCATTTGATTGGCAAACCTGTGAATCTGGTGCTGATCCTTTAGAAATGAGTACAAACTATGAACTTACTGGTCAGTTGTTGACATAAAATAATATACATGTATATAAAATATTTTATATCTGGTTATATTTTTGTATTATTGTATCATAAAATGATATATTATTGTATCATAAAATGATATATTATTGTATCATAAAATGATATATTATTGTATCATAAAATGATATATTGTTAAATCTAATTTTTATATGAATAAACATTCCACCTGCAGAAATTCCCTTATGTTTTAGTTTAAAACATTCTCTGAACCCAATGTTCTGTTATCCTTGCTTGATCAACCAGGCACATGCCAAAATAGATCTTGCAGTTACAACAATTTTATTAGCAGGGGGTATTGTAGACCACTGAATTTTATCATCTATTATGGTTGTTTCGATAAGGTAATTAGCCTAAGGATGCTGAATGTTTTCAAATTCTTAATACATCATATCTTTGTGAACATTTTTCAATGGAACTGATAGTCTTGTAAGAGATTCAACTTTCACAATAATGTAGTTTACTAGGGATTAAAAATACCTTAAGTACCTACGTATATATATATACATTAGTTTGTTTTACATATGTCATAAATAATGATTAAAGTATACATAAAAAACATAGCATTGCTGGGCAACAAATGACGCCCATTAGCAACATTACGAAGTCTAGATGGGGCTGGGGCAATAACTATGACTAAAATTGACATGCGACTCCTTAGGACCAGCCGAACAATCCTAGCAAATAAGAATAAAAAAATCTCCGGAACACTGATCTTAAGAATTTAGATGCACTGATAGACTGGGTGATGATAAAATCCTCGAACATGAAATGTGGGCATATAATAAGATATCTTTAAATATAAAATAAATAATGGAATTAAATAATGTAGTCTGTAAAGTATTAAAATCAGCATAAATCACATATTTAAATATCACAGTTGTAGGAAATGATGTATCACAGTTTCATAAACATAAAAATAGTAAATTTTAAATATAACAAGACTATAACAAATAGAACTAGTTGTAGAAAATATTTCTGCTTCATTACCTTTAAATAAATATAGTAATAATAATCATTTGGTAAATTTTTTTGTGAGACAATATCAAATATGGAGATCATTATATAATAAATTTGGTAAATTACACTAGAATAAGGCAATAAAGAATAGTAATACTCAAACCATTCTACATTATAGTTCACTATTCATGGCAGGGTGTCAGTTTAACTCCTAATACAAGTAGCATAGTGAAGCCCTTAATGCTGGAATGAATTCACAGAATAAAATTTTATATAAAAATTAAAATGTTTTATCTTTTCTACTGTAGTTTAATTCCTCTAATTGTATTATTGACCTCTGTGTTTCTGGATCAAGGTCATTTAGTAATTGTTCAGCAATACGACTTCTTAATCTACCTCCAACCTTTAATAGAAAACAGAAAAATATCACAGAATTGTACTGTAATAATGCATTTAAAGAGTGCTTTAAATCCAACATCGAACTATTAATCTTAATCCAGTTTCTTTTGTGAATTAAGTACATCTGTGATTTGTAGTATAAAGAAGAAATCACAGACAAATTTCCAAGCAACCATTTGATCAAGTTTAAAAAAAAAAAAAATTATTATCCCATTGTGTAGTTGGAGACAAGCACTCTCTATAACTCAGACATGAGTGGGGATCACGTGGCTAAGTGGGTAAGATGCTGGCTCGCTAGCGTGGAGGTCGGAGGTTCGATCCCTGCATTGGCAGAGAAAAACCAAGGTCCCCTGTATACATTGGAATGCACGTAAAAGATCCCTTGACAGTTGGAATTCGATATAAGAGTAGGCGATAGGGCCGCTGCCCGGGCAAAATTTCCATCAAAGCACACTGTATGGTGTATGCCCATCTTCATTAGCCCAACGTAGGAGCAGAACAGCAGGACGTTAAACCCCATTTCATTTCATTAGAATGAAAAGAGATGGGGTTTAACAGCCTAATGAAGATGGGAACTCAAACATGCCCAATAAAACTTTAACAAAGTTATTCCTCTGTTGTGGATTGCCGTTCTTTAGACAGATAAAGATAATGACATAAAATAACAAGCGGGTTGCCATGTTTGATACACCCACATTTTGCAAGATATGAAGCTATAACAAGCCAACAGTGAGGCTGATGTCCCCCGCCGAAATAGGAAAATAATTAGAGGACACATATAAATTTATCACAAATTATCTTTTACAAAGTATTGAACAATCAAACAGTATATCTTTACTTATAGTCTAAGCATACAATGTTTTTGATGGATTAGAACTAAAGTTATAGTGTCCCAAAGCATCAACCAATCAAATTGTTTATCTACTTAATTAGAACTAAAGTTATAGTGTCCCAAAGCATCAACCAATCAAATTGTTTATCTCTGCTTACCCTAAGCGGAACGGACAGACAAACAGACAGACGGACGAACCCATTTTAATAGTTCCCTGCTTTCTTCGAAAGGCGGGGGACAATAAGCATGAACATTTACTCAATTCGAAGATCAACCAATCAAATTGTTTATCTCTGCTTACCATAAGCGGAACGGACAAACAGACAGACGGACGAACCCATTTTAATAGTTCCCTGCTTTCTTCGAAAGGCGGGGGACAATCAAAGTAGGAGAGTTATTGTTTTCCAAAGTCTCGACCAATCAAATTGCGTATCGCTCTGCTTACCCTGAGCAGAAAATGCTCAATTATCAAACTTAGTCAAGGTATTACTGTAATGAAACTATACACCAAGTTTCATCAATCTCACTTAATTAGAACTAAAGTTATCGTGTCCCAAAGCATCAACCAATCAAATTGCTTATCTCTGCTCACCCTAAGCGGAAAATGCTCATCTTCGAACTCCATCAAGGCATTGACCTAATCAACACATACACCAAGTTTGAACATTCTAGCTCAATTAGGAAGAGAGTTATCGTGCCCCAAAGTATCAACCAATCAAATTGCTTATCTCTGCTTACCCTAAGCGGAAAATGCTCATCTTCAAACTCCATCAAGGCATTGACCTAATAAACACATACACCAAGTTTGAACATTCTAGCTCAATTAAAAGTTATCGTGTCCCAAAGCATCAACCAATCAAATTGCTTATCTCTGCTTACCCTAAGCGGAAAATGCTCATCTTCGAACTCCATCAAGGCATTGACCTAATCAACACATACACCAAGTTTGAACATTCTAGCCCAATTAGGAAGAGAGTTATCGTGTCCCAAAGCATCAACCAATCAAATTGCTTATCTCTGCTTACCCTAAGTGGAAAATGCTCATCTTCGAACTCCATCAAGGCATTGACCTAATAAACACATACACCAAGTTTGAACATTCTAGCTCAATTAGGAAGAGAGTTATTGTGTCCCAAAAAGTGTGACGGACAGACAGACGGACGGACGGACAGACAGACAGACAGACGAACCCATTTTAATAGTCCCCTGCTTTCTTCGAAAGACGGGGGACAAAAAAAGAAGCGATTTTTTTATACAATCAGGGGCCATAATCCAGGAAGTTACAGTCCAATATGTGTGAATATCTACAGGAACCTAGATCAGATAAAAATTGTGACCTCTGGAGGGTCCACATGAAAATGTGGGCATATAAAAAGAAAGTAAGGGGAATTTTAGATGGCCAATGATCGATTTTAATGAATTTTAGATCATTATGCCTTTTGATAAAGACTTCTTTTTAATGTATCTAGGCTGAAAGTCTGTATAGTCCTTCCAGTCTCGAAATGTCTAACTTACAGTCTTTGGTCTCTGTATCTTTTTATCCAGATTATTAAGATTGCTGCCATGATCAGCCATTGGTGTAAGACTACGGTTGGGAGGTATTATTGATGGCGGCCACATTCCAGTAGAATTGGTACCTCTACTACTAGGGGCAATGCTTCTAGTAGGACCAGCTGATGTAGCTCTTGAACGAGATTTACCTAGATTGAAATAGAATGGTCAACAATTACTTATCAAATCAAAAATTATTCAAATATCCTTTGCATGCGTATCTGGACAGTATTTTTTATGATTTCCAAAATGGTATGTATCCTGTTCAGGGATTTTTTTTATATGCATATTCTCAAATCCAACATACCTTTCTAAATTGTTGTCACAATTGACAATCTAAATATTACTATAATTCAGATTATTCTGGGATTTATTATTTGATAGTTGTAGAGACAATATCATGTGTATGTATGGCTATTTATAGATTCAGTATACAAAAGCAGATAACACACATGCACCAATATTGTCATATGATATTGAAACAGTCATTCAAGAAGAAAGTTCAATTTTTATTACAGCTATTTTCTAACCTGTGTGAGCCACCATAATAATAGGCAGTAAAATGTTAATTATTTTAAGATATTTCTGGATTTAGAATTAAGATCCACAAATGTCCATTTGCAAATAATCCAATATGGTAATAAAAGTAATAAAACCATAGTGAGTAATATTAAAATTTATTTACCAGTTTGAGCTGAATGAAGAGCCATAACAGAATGAGATCTTCTCAATACTGCAGTTTCATAATCATACAACTGTAAAAAAAGAAAATATGAAAAGTTTCCATCAATTAATATATAATAGACAGCATAAAATTTCATCAAATTGATTTCTAAAAATCACTGAATTAAAATGAGGCCTTGATAAACCCTTAATTTAACTAATATCTTTATTTTTATAGATGTATACTCTTCTTTCTCGAACAACATAATATTTTGATATTTTTATACTATAAAGTGCAGATAAATTCATGGGTTTTATTTTCAGCTTTTCCTTGATATATTCTTCAGCCGTTCCTTATATTAAAGATGCATTATGCAAAAGCTAAATCTGCCTTTTGCAGGTCTTTCTTTAGGAATTAAATTTTATATAAATTATTAAACACTTATTAACTTGCCAAGACCATAACTGTCAGCTCTTTATCTAAATCTTACATAATGCATCTTTACCACCTACCTGTGTCTGTAAATCATCAACTGTTTGAAAAGCATCTGTCTTAAGCATTCGTTCATTAATAAGTTGTTTCTTTATATTCATTACATCTTTTCGAGTTTTCTCCTGGGTAAGTTGCTGCATTCTAGTGTTTCTGTCTTGTTCTTCATAAAGTAACTTTAATCTCATATCTTTATCTATCAATTCTTCTCTCTGTAGAAAACGCCAATATTTTAATCATGACATTATACAAACGACCAATATTAAAACATGACATTATACAAACCACCATACAAATCACCAATATTAAAACATGATATTGTACCAACCATCAATATTATAACATGATCCCGACATACAAATTGCCAATATTAAAACATGGCATTATACCAAGTACCAATATCATAATATGAGTCAATATGACATACAAATCAATATTAAAACATGACAATAAAATATATATACCAATCACCAATATTATAAAAAAATGAAATGAAATGGGGTTTAACGTTCTACTGTTCTGCTCCTAAACTGGGCTAATGAAGACGGGCATACACCATACAGTTGCTATGAGGGAAATTTTGCCCGGGCAGCGGCGCTACGGCCTACTCTTATATCGAATTCCAACTGCCAAGGGATCTTTTACGTGCACGCCAATGTGTACACGGGACCTCGGTTTTTCATCACATCCGAACGACTAGACAGCTGTAATTGTCAGACCCTCCGTCTTGCATCATTGACAAGGGAAAACCACGCCGGAAAATCTGGATGAACTTTCTCGGCCAATGCAGGGATCGAACACCCGACCTCCAGGCTAGTGAGCCAGCGTCTTACCCACTTAGCCACCGTGATCCCCCCAATATTATAACAATACAAAATAAAATTAAACCACTGATATTAAAACCACCAATATTATAACATGACATTATACAAACCACTAATATAATAAATGACATACAAATCGCCAATATTAAAACATGATATATACCAACCACCAATATTATAACATGACATAAAAATGGCCCTATGAACAGGAGCGATTAGATGTTACATCTTATGTCGTGTAGAAAAGGAGAATCATAAAGACGAGACCAAATAAATATACAATTTTAATTTGATTGAAGCTGATGTAACCAGAGTAAGCTTGGTAGATTGTTTGCATTGGCTTATTTATGATAACCTGTATCCAACTTCTATTCATTTACAAGAATAAATCTAACCACAATCTGTTACATTAAAATTACATTTTATATCAAATACAATAACAGTTATTTATTTCTTTAATCAAGAACAATGATATAATTCCTAAAACTAAATAATCCTTGTGGATTATAACAGCAATATGCGCTGAAGTCCAAGAGAGATAATTTTGATTCCTTACCAGTTTTTCTACATTTGATTGACTGACTTTCTCTAGTTGATGTTTACTTCGTTGTTTTTGCATTTTTGTATGGGCTTGTTCACTTTTTATCTTTAACTGCAATAAAACAAGGAAATCAATAAACTTTCTAAATATCTCATATATGTTATACTAGCCACGACCAACTCTATCCAAAATGTCAACTGGCGGGATTTCGATTCAACGGTTGTGCGTGACAAGGAGTAGGGTCACCTGTCCAACCTCGTCGGTTTTCTCTGGGTCTTCCGGTTTCCTCCCACTGCATGACCTAGTTTGTGTTGAGTGGACAGTAATATCTCTCTCTCTCTCTCTCTCTCTCTCTCTCCAAAATGATCAAATAATATAGAATTAAAAGTTTAAAAAAAATATGCACCAAAGAAAAAAAATTCAGTTTCAAGATTTGCCATCTGAAGAACATTGAATAAGAAAATCTTGTTTGGAAGGTGCTTGTCATAAATTGAAACAATCAATCTATTAATATATTTATTTAGTACTTTACCTCTCTATCAAGTTTTTGCCGAACTTCATTACATTCTTTCTCTGTTGCTGCCAGGGCTTTTTTCACAGATACAAGTTGTTGACGTAGTAAAACTATTTCTTCTTCTGCTAACATCTTTACTTCTACATATTCGAGTGTACTCTTCTCAGAGTTCTTGCGTAATTGATTTACCTAAAATATAAGTAGAAACATGGAAATTCCAAGGGAATTTTGTACAGTATTGCATGTTTGTGAACAATTCTTGTTAAAATTACTTGACTGACAGTGTTGAAGATCACCAAACGTATAAGCTTAATCTTTGGCAAAGTGTTATATATGACATTGCAACAGACAATAAAACAAACATATTTCAAAAATAATGAGTCATTCTCAGACAAACGCTTACGTAAGTATCCCAGAAAAGAAGTGTTCTAATCAAAGTGACTCGGGATATATTTGAAACATACAACCTTTCCCTCTAAGGTACTGATAATGTATGCAATACAATTGAGGATTTGCACAGATGTTTTTTCAACATACTCATCCTCAAATTTCAAATGTCCAAGGGTTTTTTTTTTTTTTTTATAATATCTGTTCTTGATGTCTTAACAACCCCGGACTCATACACAAAAAGCTGTAGTGGGACTATAATTTCCTTTTCAGAAGATGCATAACTTGGACATCCCATTAATACAGTATTCTATGCTCGTTCAAGGCTGCAACATTGGATTTTATTATTATAACTAAACTTACAGCTTTAACAAAATTATTAGAACTGTGATTCTGTTTCCATAAAGTCATAGTTTTCATCTTTACTACTAGAGAATTTAACAGATGATTTTCATGCTGTAATTCTCTTAGTTGTTCAGCCCTTTTTAAGTGAACTTGGAGGGTATCTTCCTCTGAAAGTAAATTGTGATATACTGGTTACTAGATGTTCACATTACAATTACTGGGGAACCCAGACATTTTACATTCCAGAATTACAAAGAAAACCAATATATAATGTCATAACGAAGCAAACTAATTATAGTGCCATTAACTTTGTTATTACTAATGAAACAAATTACAATGTCATTACGAAACAAATAAATTATAATGTCTTTATGAAGGAAACAATGCCATATTATTATTAAGAAAAACATCTAGAGAACAATCAAAAATACATTCATGAGTGAAATTTGCAAACATGAAGGATTTTACAGAAAGTAATAATTATCAGACATGTATATATGACATTTCATATTTACTAACTATAAATTACAGCATTACATATACTTAATTAACTTGAATAAAAAGAGAAATACTTCAGATATTAATAAATAAATCAACATGTTTACTTACTGCTTTCAGCACCAAACTTTGTTTTAAGTTTTCCTATTCTGGCAATAGAATCTCCTCTTGTTTCACTGATTAACTCATGAAAATGAGCTGTTGAATCAATTCTTAAATTAATAAAATTTATTGTTTATTAATAAAATTTATTGTTTATTAACAAAATGTTATCATTTATAGTTAACTAAATGTAACAGTATATTAACAAAATGTCATAGTATGTTAACAAAGAATGAAAGTACTCTCCTGCACAAACCGGGCTAATAAAGAAAGGGATACCCCATGCAGTGAGAGACATTTCGCTCTGACAATTGCACTATGGCCTACTCATATTGATTTCAATGATTAGGGGATCTTTAAAGGATAATATTGGTGTCAGTCATTATCACATGTGATAGAACTCATTAAACACATTCCAAATATAATTTTAACACAGAGATCATTGCTACGATAGATACGTAATGAAGGTTTCTACAAAAGGAAGTGACAAACACAAAAGGAAAACACGAGTTATCCTTCATTATAACTGATTAAAGTGATGAGTGTTAACAGTTACACGGGCAAATTTCTGCTCACTAACAATTCCTTCGAAGACCAAAGTTGTTACGTGAGACTGTGAGAGGATAGTTGAGTAACAGTCATGATCCCCAATCTGATTAAAATACAGATCTATATTTCGTTTCAGTTTTTTTTTTATACTTTCAATGTTCTACACCACATGGAGATCTGACAAGTTGTACTTGAAGGTCGTGTCTGGGGTCGTACGAGCGGCTTTTGACCCTATGGCATCAGATATTGATCAATCAATCAGCATTTCTTGTGGTTTACCCACAGTTCCGTGCATGGCATGCCAAGAAGCCGCTGTAACAGACTGTTTCACTGGCTTATCCCTCACTTCAACCAAAACACTGGTAATATAACAACTCTTTCAGATCCTAGTGTAGTAAAGACAAGTAAAACGAAATTTTGGACTGTAAAAAACGAAACGAAATAGGATCTGTGTTTTAATCAGATTGTCATGATCCCAGACTTGAAAGACCTGTTTTGACTAAAATTTCAGAACAGAAGAAATCAGAAACAAAATATATTTATACTGGGCAATGTCAAACTGTGTAACTGTTTCAAGACTGGAAATTAAACAGAACACAATTTTTATGGGAAACAATCACTGGTTTATTCTAAAAGCACAACATTTCGACAAGTATCCTTTTATCGTTTTCATTAGTTAATCACTTACCTAAACTCATCATATTTAGATCTCAATTTAAGAAGTGAATCATACAAATTGTGAACTAAATCATCATATTCTTCTTTAACTCTATCTCGTATATTTCTCTCCTGTGATAGACTTATTTCTCTCATTTCACCAACTTTAGCACGTAAAGCAGTTACCTCTGAAAATAAACCCCAAAACATTATATGCCAGTGAGATATCAAACCCCTTTTCTTTACACACCCCAAATATGTCAGAAAAGAAACACGGGTAAGACATTCTGAACTCTGTCCATGTTAATAATAGTACTGATACATTCTAAATAATGCCTCATGAAATATTAATACTTTTCAAATAATGCCTTATGTAGGAAACATTTTAACTGAAATATATAAATGAATAATAAATTACCCATTAATAGATCATGAGCCTCCTCTGCTAACTGACATTGTATGTCCACAATTGTTCCATTCTGAGCAGACTTTAATTGATCCTTAATTTGTTTCATTTCCTGCAATAAACACAAAAATGTTATCTCTGGAAAATAAATAATTTGAAATCAGTAGAGTTCTTCCTTTCAATAGGAGACAACGCATAGATTTAAAAATAATTATAGTAGCCTCTAGTCTAGTGTGTACTAACGAGAAATGCAAATGACATAATAACAAATTTAGACTTCATACAAAAGGGGCATAACTAATATCTGTAAATTGTTAACTATAGGTAATAACAAAGTATAATAGTGTGAAGGTGAAATTATATTTTAGTACAGGATATTGTCATATAGCAGTATATTGAAAATCATGGTGGTCTGAACCCTTAGGTTTAAGTAGAGGTAAGTTGTCTCCCTTCTGTTGTAGTTCTTCTGCCTTTTTGAGTAATAAAGATAAAGATTGGAATTCTAACATGGAGAATGGTTGTTTTTCACTTTCACCCACAAGTTTAGTGAAATATAACAATATGATAAAACTCGAGAAAAAGTTAGTTGACCCACCTGTTCTCTTTGATATAACAGCTGATGGTGAACTCGTAGTAAATTCTCATAATACATACTATAACTAAAAATATACAGATAAACGAATATAATAATTCATAGAACAAGGGTTTATCATTTACTCAACACAAATACCCGGTATGTGATTTTGGTATTAAAATGAGAGAGAGTTGACTAGGTCATTTCGGGACTAACATATGGTTCAATTTTATTTCAATAATTCGCTTGCGCGTATTGGTCTTTAGCAGTGAGAGGAAACTGGAATCAAAACCATGTCAGTTGACTCAATGACAGACCTTATGATACAGCACTCATGCATTAACCATCCGGTCATCTCCCCACCCCCCCCCCCCCACAACCCCTGGCAAGAGAAATCAAGAAATCAAACAAAGGAGATGGTTTGCATAGATGTCAAAATCACAATTATTATAAATTGTACCTTTCAAAGCACTGTTTTTCTCTGGTAATAACATTTCTATAGAGCTTCGTCAAACATTTATCAAAATGATCTTTTTTAAATGTGATTGTACCATCTCTCTCCTCAAACTCGTTCATTAACTCTTCAGCAAAATGTTCAGCTATATATGGTCGTGTGGTTGTAAAACTTTCTTTCATTACCTAGAATATATCATATAGAAGACAGACAATATATTATACAATCTGGATATGACAAATGCCTTTTAAAATTGGTACCAAATATATCTAATAAAAAAAACTACATTAAAGATGAACCATGTAATATTTAGTTTAGGAACAGAGCTCAACGTTTTTGCAATAATAGTTCAAAAATAGATAATAAAAAATGAATATACTGAAAATTTCATTCAAATTACTTTATTTTGAGTTAAATTATGGCTGGTGGACAAAGATGTAGCCTAAATTGTTTATTATTGTAGCAACGGTACTGGACGAGCTAGAATAAGTCTCGATTATCCATTTTATCGTTAATTTTTATACGCCCACATTTTCATGTGGACGTATATTGTTGCCCCTGTCTGCCTGGACGTCCGTGCAATTGTTTGTGAACACTCTACAGGTCACAATTCTTATCTGATTTTGACGAAACTTGAAATATAGGTTTATCTCCAAAAGATCTTGGTTACTTTCGATATTGGCATGTATCATAGATTATGGCCCCTGATTGTACGAAAAATCATGTTTTCAGCTTGTGGACCCTATAGACGTCACAATTTAAAACCGATTTTGATGAACTTGAAATGCATGTTTATAACCCAAAGTTCTTGGTTCCTTTCGATATTTGCGTATATCGGACCGTAACTTCCTGAATTGCCTATTTTAGCTTGTGACCATCTAGAAGACACAATTCTGATCCGATTTTTACGAAACTTGAAATATATCTTTATAACTCAAAGATCTTGGTTCCTGTCGATATTCGCGCATATCGGATCGTAACTTCCTGAATTATGGCCCTTGATTGTACGAAAAATCATTTTTTTTTTTAGCTTGTTTTCTATCCATCTATTGCAAAATGTGGGCGTATCCTGCCTGGCAGCCGCTGGTTTTAATCTTTGGGTATTCTAATTTAATTAAATTTCTGCCATCCAATTGTCTCGAGAGTTGATTATGTTCTTGTTTATATAAGACTTGTATTAATTAGATGTTTATTATAATGCAGTTTTATATTTTCATCCTTATAAAGTGTTTATTCAATCTCAGTTGATTTTAGTACTTTATTTCAATTCGCTTGCAGGTAGGGTTCTTTAGCAGTGGGAGGAAACCTGAGGACCCGTAGAAAACCCACGAGGTTGGACAGACTCCTTGTCATGTACAACCAGGGAATTGAAACCACACCAGTTGACTCAATGACAGACCTTACGATACAGCGTGCACGTGCTAACCAACTGATTAAAGAAATCAATAGATTAAAACTTACAGGTTTTTTCCACAAATCAGTGGGTAAATTACTTTCTTCCCGACATCTCTCAGCTAATGCTAAAGACATTTCTCGACCAATCCTTTTCCTTATTTCACCGATCATGTGACATTCAAGATTTTCAAGTAATCGCACCATCTAAAATACATTACATCATAAATAAACATAGCAAATATAGCCATCAAAAAATAAAATACTATAATAGGTTGATGAAATATGCTCCTGAAATGAGTGGGATAAAAAAACACTCTGAACTTAGTAGAGCATTTATAAGGTTACAATGACAAAGTTACTAACTTGATGAAAATCTGTTTATTCTCACGACTAACTGAATAATTCCAGCAATAAAAATACTCTAAAAATCTGACTTGCAGAGAATTTACAAGGTTTTAATGACAAGGAAAGTAACTCTGTGCAAATCTCTAATTTCAATGGGGTTCCTAGTTAGGACAAACAGAACAATAAAAAAAATCTAAAAATGTTAAGAATTGTGAACAGACGGACTGATAGACAATATACTTTCACATAAAACTGAATTTTTAAGTAATTATGCCTTCTAATCAAAAACAATATTTCCATATAATGAATTGTTCCATATTTTAGCTTATACATTAAAATAAATCTTTTACTGAGTATCATTACTTGTTTAGCTTTAACTTCTACTTCTGAGGCTCCTTTAGGAACAGCTAATATATCTGTATGTAAAGCTAAACCATCATATATATCAGATTGTCCTAATCTTCTAGCTATAGTCTGTAGTACAGGTATTAATAACTCTGTACGATATAACTTACTGAAATATAATTAAAGCAATCATTATTACATGTCTGATGCAAAAAGTTCAAGTTGCTGATCGTTCAGTATTTACAAAGAATTAATGATGAGCAGAAAAATTTGCAACATTCTGCATGCCAACACCATGTTTAGTCAAATTTCTTTTTTGAGTCTTTTTAATGTGATAGTTTATGATATATTTGGACCAAAAACATATTCAAACTAATTAATCTATCAAAAATTTGATTCAAATTCCTCTCAAAACTTTGTATTCGAGGGGAGATACCACAAGCTATAAATAAACTGTTGTTGGAAGCCATGTCTATCACCTCACTACTTTGAGGGAGGGTTCATTTTTCAGAATGAATTTTCATTACTTACTGTCCATTTACCATACATTATTTTCTGGCAACTTCTTTTTTCGCTGTTAAATTGCAGAGTCTTTTATTTTGACCCCCCTCAATGTTCCCAAAACTGCCTAAACATTTGATCAATAAATAACAACCGCTCCCTCAGTCAAGTTAGTACTCAATAAGCTGGCAGACAACAGTCAGGTTGCCAGTTAGTAATACCCTGACATTTTTGCATAATGCTTGCCCTATGGGTGTTTTTCGGGTAATCCAGTATTTTTCAAGTATGATTGGGTGTCTATACTTTCCATATATATACCAAATTTGCCATACTTTTATTGGAAATAACCACCCGATAAATACTTTCTGGACAATGTATCTTTAAACGTTTAAATGTCATTATTTATAATACTTTATCGACAATGAATTCATAGAATCAAGCAAAATATTAAAACCAATAAATTATTCTACAGATTCCACAGATTCTGACTCACCTATAATCTTTAAACAGACTTGTATTATTGATAGCAGGTCGAATAAGTCGTCTTTTACCCCAGTCATATTTCAACACTTCAAGACATTTCCATAGTTTCAAAAAAGTTTTGAGGAGTTTGTATGCTTCCATTGGCTGTTGATTTCTTAAGATTGCCTTAGGTAGAAATAGACCTAAAACATACAATATTGATCTTAATAACACTCAGTCACAATTTAAATATCTGAAACTTCAGGTATTGTGATAACTAAAACTAGTTGAAATTAATATCACAGTATCTGAAAAATTCAATTTGCATAAAAACACCACAGAAAATCCACAGTGCATATATAAGACATCCTTCTCCCAGATAAGCTATTTGAGGAGCGGAATCAGGTGTTCCAGAAAAATTACACATATCCTGCCTTGATATGAGGCCAAAATCAGAAAGTGCTTTGTTACCACTGTCAAGTATACTACTCTGTTCCTTTAAATGGCTGCTTAAAACAGGATTTAGCCCACTATATTTGATACTTACCCGAATCTTTTCCACTAATAGAACTAGCACGACTTATACCTAAAGCTAGACTACCATGTCGAGATAAATGAGGTTCTACAGGTTTTAGCTGACTATCAGCTTCTACTGGTGACTCCTCGATTAATAAATGATCTTGATTACCCAGTTGTAAAACATCTTCCATTAATAAACTGACACCCAGTATTTCACCATTTGCAACATGTCTGAATTAAATCATCATTCATCTATATATTTGTCTGATTACAATGCATTCAGCACAGATGTTTTTTAATTAAATGGACGATCGCTGACACAGAGATTTTAAATCTGCATGGCGTCATAATCGTGTTTGATAATAAAACTTAAAAGTCTTGTTTTATACTTTTAATATGGAGGAACAATTCTACTAAAAAATCTAAAATAGGAAGTTCACAAAAGAATGGTTTTTGGGTCAATCTACTGAGACTGAATGAACAGTGGTTATAGACCAGTCCACTATGGCAGTGATGGAATTGTGGCAGGGGTGACAGGTTATAACCACTTTTAGCTGGAACTATAACACATGGCTTTCATTTGCTTATATATCGGTTGATGCAAGATCAATGAAAATAATGAAAAAGAATGAGCAGATTTGCTGATTTCCTGGATGAAATGCTGTAGCAATGTTTAATCTAATAGCAACATAAACTTTATCATCATAAACTACATCTTCAATAGAAGGCTTGATCTCGCTTTAACTACATACATCTTATCAAGGCCTTCACGTAATACCCTACATATTTCAGCACTAATTCCGATTGGGTACAAGCCCAACTTGTGAGCCTATCAGATTCCTGGATTGTCGCAAATACCAAATCTCGCGCTTTGAAGCTAAAATGTCTAGCTGTGATAATCGAGTTGCAAAGTTCAAGGTTCATTCAATGTCAAGGTTTCCGTGGAGGTCGCGATGTCACAACCTCTGATTGGACGCTACTGCTCACGTTTTTGTAGATAATATAGCTATAAGTTCGGGAATTGTGAAGTAAACAAGCAACGGCCAGATGTTGTGAAACTCGCAGTCGTTGGTTAAAGGAACATGCATAAACTAAGGAGTATAAAATTTCTTTTTTCCAAATGAATTTGTTAAATTGCAATTAAAGTGTTACCTATCTACATCTTTTAAACCAGATAAACAAAGTTGTATATAATATCCGATTTGATCCCACTGACTAAACATTACTGGGAATGGACCATTCCTGAAAATAAAAATATATCTTGGAATACTCGTATCAACCTGATTGATCAATATTTGATTAAACAAATAGATCATCAATGTTTTTAGCCAAATATAACACAACTTACTTTCCAAGAAAAGTTCTCCATGGAAAAAGAATTCGGGCCATGGAGTCACGAGGTTCAAGTGGTTCAGGAACAGGAAGTTGAGAGTTAAATAAGCTTGGCCTCTGCACGTTACTTAATGATGGTAAAGCGTGATGCGTATTATTTGTAGTAGCCTGAAAATAAAAAAATTTAAAAAAAACGTAGGAGATTTGAAATAAACTCTCATAAATAATAAACTAAGCGATAGTAAATTTATCAATGTATTTTAACACGTACCTCAAATGCTGGAATGTTGCCAGTAGATATGAAAGTATCAACCATAGAATGTCTTACTGCCGTGTCAAATTCTAAAAACATAACATCACGACGTAATGCCAAGAATTCGGCAACGGCTTGAGGATCAGATGGTGTTGGTAAATTGTTTATTTGTTTCTGTATTTCACGCAATTCACATCCTGAATAAAAATAAAAGAAATATATGTAACATTGTTTAGAAGTCCAGTACATGGATTATTTATGTTTTTGGTGTGGGCATATATTCAATACAACATATTCAACAATACTTTTGTAGACAAGAAAACCATTACTGAAACAATTCCCCATTAACCCTTAGCATTCGGTACATGTAAATGTTGATAACCACGCTTCCTTGAAAAAATTACAGAACAGTAATATTGAGTTTTGTAGTTCATTATCTAAACCACTATTAACTGCTGATCTCAACCCATCCTATATAGCCACTGAATTAGTACATATTACATATATACAGTCCATTATAGTTCAAAGCTATTCAAGTGACTCAGGCGGTTTCGAGAAGGCTAAGTGTTAAAGGTTAAATTTTGTAATTGTATCCCCCCTCCCCACTCCCTACCAAAGTGTATATTCAAACACAACCAAGTGTAATAATAACAAAAACAAGATGACTGACAATTATGGATGACTGACAATCAAGGTTATATTTCAACCATACCTAAAAACAATTTGTTTGAAAGATGCTACTTCTTCTATTCATGTACTTTGGAATTGTCAAATCCCTAAATCATTTTTTATTAAGAGATAAAAGTCCTTGGTTTTTTAAGTAACAATCAACACACACATTTACAATATATTCTACCGATACATAGAATGGTAAAAATGAATCTTAAAATTTCCTCTTAAGACAAACACTAAACAGTAACAGAAAACATTACAATGACTGATCATATTTATACACCAAAGTAGCTTACACGGTTTGTTTATATACATATTTACATATATATCAAAGTAGCTTACATGTTATTAGGTGCTGCTGGTTTGTTTATTTTGATATAAAAATAAGTCATGCAGGTTTGTATATATTTACATGTATATCAATCAATGTAACTTATATGTTATGTGCTGCTGGTATGTTTATATTTACATGTATAACAAATAGTTTATATGTTATGTGCCGCTGGTTTGTTTATATTTACATGTATAACGAATAGTTTATATGTTATGTGCCGCTGGTTTGTTTATATTTACATGTATAACAAAGTAACTTATACATTATGTGCTGCGGGTTTGTTTATATTTACATGTATAACAAAGTAACTTATGTTATGTGCTGCTGGTATGTTTATATTTACATTCATAACAAAGTAGTTTATATGTTATGTGAAGCTGGTTTGTTTATTTTTACATGTATAACAAAGTAACCTACATGTTATGTGCCGCTGGTTTGTTTATAGAGAGAGACAAACTAGGTCATTTCGGGACTAACGTATGGTTCAATTTTATTTCAATAAATCAAATGCGCGGAGAAAACCCACGAGGTTGGACAGGCGACCCTACTCCTTGTCACATACAACCGGGTATTCGAAACCATGCCAGCTGACTCAATGACAGGCCTTATGATACAGCACGCACGTGCTAACCATTTGGCCACCCAAACCCCCTGATTTGTTTATATTAACATGTATAACAAAGTAACTTATATGTTATCTCTGGAAACAAAAAAAAGAAAAAGATATATTGACACACACTAACCTATCCCTTCTGTACCACCCCAATCAGCCGACACAAACTCTAGTTTATGTGATCCTAGACGAGCGTGTGAGCTACCTAGACGAGAATGAGCACAAAGATACTGTAACATATCATGCAGACACGATACAACAGCTAGTGAATGACGTAATGCACGTGTACACAAATCATCATCTAATTGTTTAAACATCAATAAAACCTCCGAATGATGAGGAATAAACCAAATATTCAAAACAGCTGAACCATTGGATGACAACAACTGCCTTGGACGAGATTTGAAGACCCTGGAAAAGAAAGTTATTTATGAATGATAGAGTATTGTAAAAATATTGATGTAAAGATCTGAAAGTTACTAATATGGATTAATTTCAATGATGTCAATCATGCATTTTATGGAAATTATCTCACTTCTTAATCACACTTCTTATCTCACTTCTTTATCTTACTCATTATTTTACATTTAATCATGAAAACAAATCAGATAAATCCACCACTTATAGGCAGCGCCAACTTCTTCATATCATCTACAGAGGATGCCAAATGCTTTGAAATTTTCAATACATAGAATGTTTTTAATTATCAAACAGAACTGAACCATTTTTGGTCCAATATTCCTTTTACTGTAGCTTATTGCTAAGATTACATTGGGCACATCAATTAAAACAAATATAAATTCACAATGAGGGAGCTTGAATGTTCTGAACTGATAGATTCAAAATACATATGAATTGGGCAGATAAATTAGAACTTAAATGTTCTGAATTGATAATTTTCGAAATTGGTGAAATAAATTGGTCTTATGTTACGATAATAGATGTGTGATGTGTAGAATCATGATATAACCAAACACATGATCAACCATGGTTGTTGGTGAAGACATTTTCTTATTCAATTGATATGTACTTCATCGTATGAGATTCTCGATTGAAAACGATACATAGCTCAGACTAACCTAGGGTCAGGCTCCAAGTCATCTACATGAGTTTTCTTCTCATTAACTTCTCCAATCATAAAATAAGTGTCTCGTATATTTGGGAATTCTTCCAATAGTTTTAATATACTCTGATAATATTGTATAAGTTGACCACGTAATGAATACTGAGCTACACGCAGGTTAAATCGATCACAAAATGTTGATATCAACCTCCTGAAAAATATAGTGTGAAGTAATAATTCTGTTACCAATATTCTATATCATTCATGGCAACAGTTATGGTACATGGTAATATTTTGTTGATAAAATTCTGTAGTATTAGCAGAAATGTACAGCTATGGTACATGGTAATATTTTGTTGATAATATTTATGGACAGCTATTTAGTACATGGTAATATTTTCTTGATCAAATTCTAAATCATTAGTTCTGAAATGTACAGCTATGGTAAATGGTAATATTTTCTTGATAATGGTAATATTTTCTTGATTAAATTCTATAGCATTAGCAGAAATGTACAGCTATGGTAAATGGTAATATTTTCTTGATAATGATAATATTTTCTTGATTAAATTCTATAGCATTAGCAGAAATGAACAGCTATGGTACATGGTAATATTTTGTTGATAATTTTAATGTACAGCTATGGTGCATGGTAATATTTTGTTGATAATATTCTATAGTATTAACGATAACATACACCTATGGTACATGGTAATATTTTCAAATACCTTTTCAGTTTTTCAAGTTCTTCAGGATTTTTTAATTGAACTCCCATTTGTTGTTTTTTATTCACAAATTCATTTAGCATTAGATCCCGACTTGGAGCCTGAAAAGCAATCAGACATCATATTTTCGAGGAATAAATATCGTTTTTTAGGTCATATCATCAATCTACTCAATCAGTATGCACCAAGAGAGCTTACAATATGTTATTACTCTCTAAAAGGCTGTGTTTTTTCTATTTTATCAATCAATATCATCGATGCAATAACATTAGTACAATCATTCACATTGTAATAGTCGGGAAAATTAGCCGTATACATGACAAAAAAAGAGCGACAGAGAAATTTACAATAAAAGAGGGGAAACCTAAAAATCTTTAAATTGATAAAAGTTGCTGTCCACATGGATTTCCAATGCCAATGGCAAAATCCAAACAGAGGGGTTGTTTTAGCACAAGATCAAATGCATCAGGGAGGCACATTTGTATGAAATTGCATTATTCTCAGTCTATATATATATTTAACATTTGTACTATTTGATATTGTATACAGTAAATATAAGTTAATACATAATTGACTACCTTTTCACACTGTATAGATATAAAAGCTTCCGGACATATTTTCTTTCCCTCAGATTCAATCTGATGTTTGGAACTGAGTGTACCCCCAGGCACAACAGTCGACATACTCGTCATCTGTGTTACAGAACTCTTCTCGCTCTTAGTTTCTGTTGGGCTGGCTCTACCACTACTATTATAAACAATCATAACAACAATCTCCATATTAATCTAGGTTCATAATTATCAAACAATTTTATTCAATTTGCTAGACAAAAGTTAAATCTGTTAGTTAAGACATAGTATTATTATAAAACCACTAATCATCATATGACAAATTTTAATACCTTGTATTAATACGACAATAATAATTTTAATCTCTTAAAGGAATATCAGCCCCAAAATGGTTCCAGTCTGTTCCGTATTTACAAAGATATAAAAAAAATGAAACTTTTGCAAAAGGTGGAGCTGGCATGTTTATATCTTCTGTAAAAGATGCCCTTTGCACAAGTTTCATTTTATCATGGAAACTATATCTACTGTTGATATTTCAGTTTTCTTAATTTTATGTTCATCAATCAATTAAAATATATTTTAGGCGGTATTCAGCCATGTAAAAGCAAATACAATCAGTGAATTTAACTTTCTGTGCACATTTTAAAATATGTGATCATGGTTGATTTTTCTGTAATAACAAATTTGTAACTAATTTACAAAATATATCATTCCAATTTGGCTCATTTTACTCATTATACCTTTTAAATTCTGTATGTTTCAATGGATGACATATGTCTGCCTGTTGTACACCTGCCATTAAAGCATTTTTATGTACAACTTGAGCTTTTAATATAACCTGCATACTCTTTACACCACCAGGTCGTAAAATCTATAAAAACAAAACAGAAACATATACTGGTACTTGTTAGGTCTCTTACACGCCCATCAGCAAAAACGTTCATATGAAATCAAAAATTAATGTAAACAAGTCCCAGAAAGCAAATTTTTTAAAAATATCTGTTATAAGTCTATACTATGTCTTAAGTGTAAAATATATATGGATAATTAACTCTGCGAAACATATTTGAAATTCATGATACTAAAATTTTGAAATTCAAAAGGGTTCTGTATATCTTATATATGCATCTTTACTACGTCACTGTATATGGTTGTAAAATTGGACACTGAGAAAAATATTGCCTACAATAATCTGTTTTACTGTAACCATCCAAGAAACTACAAAAGATCTGACAGTTATGGAAGTTTCTATGCATTAATTGAATTAGCACTTATGGTTACAATAATAATGTGAAGTATGTTCTTTAAATGGCATTTAGTAACTGGATAGAGTAACAACAAAACACATACTTATGGAAAACAGCTACTAGTGTATTTGAAGCGACGTTTCGTAGAGTATTCTCTCAACGTTATCAAGCTAATGTGAAGTATGTTTTACCTGTAAGAATCCATCTCGACTTCTAAATGAAAATCTACCAACATGACCTTCATCTAATTCATGTATAGCTAGGTATAGGTGTGATGGGACATACCTGAAATTAAATGGGGTCTTTTTTCTTGGATTATTTTTATTTGTATTATTCATTTCATGAATGGACAACACTCTTTAACTTATGGATATAGTACATTATTATGGATATTACCTAATAGTATTTTACTCAAGTTCTGTAGGAGAGAGAGAGAGAGAGAGAGAGAGAGAGACGGGGAGAGAGACAGGGTTTCACATCCTTTTGACACAAAAAAATACATGTAGTTCAATTTTCTATTTCTATAATTAGCTTGCATGTATGGTTATTTAGCAGTGGGAGAAAACTGTTGGACCTTGAGAAAATCAATGAGGCTGGGCAGGGGACCCTATTACTTATGTACAAGCTTGGGATAGACCTTATGATCTAAAAGAGAATGCATTACACCATTCCGCCACCCAAGTCACTAGTTCTATAGTGGATGCAATCTATAGTAAATATAATTTTCCTCATGGATATATCATACAGTTTACTGAGGTATAGATTTTTACTTCTTAATATTATATATACATGTATCGATAATGGATATTTCACCAACTATATAATACTTCTCCAGTGGATATTATTTTACTAAATACTTTACTTATTTCACTTCTGTAGTGCATATAAGATAAGATAAGATGTTTATTGCATCAAAACGTCTATTATGGACAGCATGCATACATGTACACTTAGACATAGTCATATACATTTAATAATACATATTACATATAGACAACTGAATACATCCATACATGTATATCAAAGGGGTTTCAGTATATTTTGCAGATATTATCTCTCTGGTAATCATAATATTTGATTTCTCTTGTGGACATATTATTTCTCATGGAAAACATTCAATAATATTTCACCAACTATATAATACTTCTCCAGCGGATATCATTTACTATTGAATAATACTTATTTGTTATTTCTCTACTGTAGTAGATATATGCTTTACAGATATTATTTCTCTGAAAATCATAATATCCATTCCTCCATTCGATATACTTCTCATGGATAATATTCATTACTAAATATCCTCTAATATATATATCTATATACTCTTTAATCTTGTAATTTAGAGAAAGCCTCATTGGCTCAGTGAGTGGGCTATTGGCTCACTAACTAGGAAATCCTATGTTCAATCCCTGTGTTGATGAAGAAAGTTCATCAGGATTTTCCAATGTGGTTTCCTTTTATCAGTAGTGCAGGATGGAGGACCTATAAAGTTGTTGAGATGGGATAAAAAATTGAGGCCCTGTGTACACATTGACATGCCCGTAAAAGAACCCTTGACAGTTGGAATTCGATATAAAAGTAGGCCGTATTGCCACTGACTGGGCAAAGTTTCCCTCATAGCAGTGTATGGTGTATGTCCATCTAAAGAACAGTAGGACTTTAAAACCCATTTCATTTCTGTAATTTCACAAACTGTTTCTACCTATCAACAGATGTATCATCTTCTTGTAGAGCAGTTATAAATATTGGTGGTGGCTTCCCTGCATCTTCTTTAAACATGGCAAATTCAAACTGAACAAATCTCAGGAACATGTGATAGTCCTCAAACTCCATTTCTTTTGCCTGACTTCGGTAAACCTAAATGAGAAACAGAAACTTTAAAACCGAAAGTCTCAGATTTAAAAGAATAACAATTGATAACGGTGCGATACAGCACACAAATTAAATGCCAAAATGTGTAGAAACAACCCAAATAGTTATCTGAAAGTTTATGCTCGAAAAAATGAGCTGTATAGAAGTTATTGTTAGATTTGCTTAAAGATGCATTAATCTGCCTATTATTATCTAAACATCTATTAAAATGACAAGCCCATAAATAACTGGTCATCGGTTGGCTCCGATTTTAAATAGATTAGAACACTTTGGCCATTTAATGATTTAATTTTAAAATGGAGAAGCGAGGCTAAGTCTTGAATAAAGACTACTGTCGTTACGATAATAAAAAAAACAATGCAAGATCTTGTCAAAACTTCAAACAGTAAAAACTTCACTGTGCAGCTGTTTTGAAGAACCTTTCATTCAGAATTAACAAATTTGAATCAATACATAAGGGACTGCTCCTTTAATAAGGAAGATTTTACTATAATTTCAAACATAATTCAAATATCAAAAAGTACAGAATGAAAGGATCAATGATACTTGTGTACAAGAAAACAATTTAGGAAGATCAAGGTATCAAAGGTGCATATAACTTAAGTGTTATCAGTATTTGGGGATACTCTATTGAACGTTTCAGAACTGAATTCTTCTTATCCCAAAATAGTGACAATCGAGTGAAAAACAAAATATAGTCGACTGCAGAAGAAAATATCTCAACCAACCATGACTGCTGAAATATTTTTCTTGTGTTTAATTACATCATGATTCTACTCACACCACCTCTGTTGTCGGGACTGACAGAACTACGACAGACTAACTATCAAGCATCCTCAATTATTTTTTCTAAAATGTTTGGTTCACCAACAGTTGACAAATGTCTAATTTTTTACCTTGGCAAGTATTTCCGATTCCCATGCTGAATCCATTAGTCGATGACGAACTGTAATAGTCTGAATAAAACACATAAAGATATAAAAAAAACTAGCATAATTTACAAAAAAGTCTATTGAGACCTCAAAAGAAAATTTTCACATAAAAAAATGTTTAATTAAGTCCAATAACAACCAAAATGGCAAATGAACTGCATTCGACTATGTTCAACTACTTGCAAAATACAATATTAATTGTAAGAAATTATTCCATTGATTTTCACCTACTTCCATAACTTGACAATATGAATTAATTATTGCCATTTGTTTCTCTTTAGTTGATCTTCGACCCCCTTGCTCTTGTTGAGTAACCAAACTCTGTGCAATTTCACAAATAAACAATGGATCCTCAGCAAATACATCTGAATAAAGCTACAAAAAATCATTCAACGAGTTTTAGTTGATAAAAACTGAAATTTACTATTCCACATTGTTTGTTATAATTACATCCAAATCTGTTTTAAATACCTTGGGCTTATTTAGCACGGATATATGGTTCTACTCCTACTAGACACACAATGTCAAGTTGTCAGAGCACATCTTATAACTCCATAAATAATAGAATGGAACGGAGAGGGAGAGAAATGAGGTTTAATGTCCACTCGACACAAACTAGGTCATTTCAATTTTATTTCAACAATTTGCTTGCCCGTAGAGGACTTTACCAGCAGGAGGAAAACCAAGGACACGCAGAAAACCCACGAAGTTGGACAGACGACCCTACTCCTTGTCACATACAAGCTGGGAATCGAAATCACACCACATGACTCAATAACAAGCCTTATGATTTCACGGGCACATGTTCAACAACTAGATCACCCAAAACCCGGAATGGAATGGAATATCTCGTTCAAACAAAACTTGGGACATACATTATGGTAATTTTTATATCTATGATTACATGTCCAATACAAGTGAAGTGCAGGTCTGAAAAATGCTGGGAGATCTTGGTAAATTGCAGTACCCTGCCTACTTATCTACTATAGTGCACAGAACATGGATGATAAATATGTGCATACAGCAAACTGAAAAGCTACGCAAGAAACTTCCACCACCAACAGTACTGAACAATACACTTGATTTGTATTTATAATGAGATAAATAAAGTTAGGTTGCCAGGCAACAAAACATTCGCCCACTGCAGTTACATCGTCATTTACAAGATAATTTCATACAGATAAGATTATAATTTTGAGTCGTTTGAGGGTTCACAAGGTTTTACAAACTGAAATAAGGATCTTAACTCTGGAAGTAACTTACAGAAATTGTTCAAATTCGACAGCCTTTTTTGCTTAACTAATTTAAATAATGCATATTTTTTTTCATACAGATCGGATAACATTTGTCATTCGAGTGTTCACAGGGTTAAATAAAGTTAAACAAGAGACATAACTGTGGATGTAATTGATGGAAATTGCTGTAATTAAATAGACTTCTTCGTTTCACTAATCTGAAATTGATGAAATTTAATAGGTGTCTTTGTTTCATTAATCTAAATGATGCAAATCAATTTCATACAGATCAGATGATAACTTTTGTTGATAGAGCGTTCACAAGGTTCAACAAGGACCATAACTCAAGAACAAATTAATGGAAATTATTGAAATTAAATACGATTCTTCATCTCAATTATGTAAACAACATATATCAATTTCAAACAATCAGATGATAAATATAGTCTGTAGAGTGTTCACAAGAAATTGGATGGATGGGGGCGACGGCAATATACGACCACATTTCCATGTGGCCGTATAAAAAGCATGAAATGAAATGGGATTTATGTCCAAGGACGGTTTTACCTGATTAATCTGAAGATAATAATATATATGACTTACGTCTTTTTGTATTTGTGGTGCATAGGAGGCCCCCATATTTCTTAGATTAGTAAATTCATTTTGACAAACTTCTAGTAATTTCTTCTCCATTAAAAGTTTTTCTGTAACACTTTCTGGCATTTGTATACGCAGAAATTCCTGCAGAAAACAACACAAATCATCACTTTATTGACAAGAGAAGACAAAGCTATTCAATTCAAAATAGATAAGCCGAGACAATTTCTATTCGGTATTCTTTTCCACCGATCAAACATTTAGAACTACTTTACGTATTCTTTGGAGCCTCATAAATGTCTTAAATTATTAATTTTTTTTTACTTGTTTTATGAGAAACAACATACTTTTGAATTAAACAGTTTTAATTTTCCAAGAGAATAAAAGCTTCTTTCTAATCTAATACAACATAGATAAAATTCACATGGTGAACCTCTCGATCAATAGGTCACTCTACCATATCAAATCAGATAAAATGAAACTGATACCTATCTAAAAGTACAATGATGAACATAAAGTATCAAAACAATAAGAGAGAGAAACTCTTACCGTTACAGCATATTTAATAGCTTCAGGTATTCTACAAGCCATAGATAGTTTAGGATGAAACTCTAACATATAAACATTCTTCAAAGATGACCTGGGTGATAACAAACCAAATACTATTTCTTTTCATTCTTATGAATACAATGGAATGCACAGATTAAATACAGTTTTATAACAGGATTGACATGCACATAAGAATCAAGAGAAAAAAAGAGCATAAATAAGTAAATTATTGACCTGCTAAGATTGACAGCTATTGGTTGTTTAGGAACAATACGATAAGGTAGACCGTATTCATCGTCACCATCTCTACATACACGTTGATTATATTCTCGTTCTTCTTCTATCTAGAAATACAATATAATCCTAATATGTATAAATAAATATTTGATTATCAGCTGAACTATATCAAACAAAAACATCAAGTCATATAATTATAGATTTGACTGCAATTTGTAAAAATTTCTATTACATGAAAAATCAGAATAGCAACCATATTGAAGCTATACAAACCCTGTTGGACGTAGTTGAGCAAGTTGAATAATGTAAATATATTTCATAATGCAGAATACCAAGATATTTCACAGAAAATACTAAATCTAAATAGATATTTGTTTTACAATGTTGTAAAAGTTGTTTTAGATTAACTGGAGCCAGAGGCATCCGTGGTCTAAGGGGAGATAATATTGCATTAAGGACATGTATGCAGAGTTACCTCCCTTCAGTTATCACCCCCAATCCAAACAAGATTCTGAAACATACCTGTTTATCCAGTATATTTTTAACTAATGAAGCTGTATGTCGTACAATAATACACTCTGTACGATAAGATTTGATAAAGTAAGGTGCTGAGAAGTCGTATCTTGGTCGTCTATGTATTACGTCAGTCATAACTTGGCCTAATGATCTTCTCTCATCTCTATCAAACACATGTTGATACGCTTCAAAATAACAATCTAACAGCTGAAAAAAAATAGTTTCAATTTATTAATCGGCAAAAAAGAATATGGGCAGAAATTAAAAAATATCATAACATAGAATTTAAAGACTCTAAGCCTGATTAAGCACTATAGGAATCCCATGCATACAACAATATCGTGAAAGTTGAATATCAGTCCAAAATGGTTCCTTGTTAAATAATCAATCTGAAGTAAATATTAGCGTGGTTTAAGTAGTTAGAAATTTGATATTTTCCGAAAAACGCAAATTGTGCATCGTTACTTTTAGAAATAAAAACAAAGTCCCATAAACACTACATACTTCTCGTTTGCTTTCTAAATAAGCTGCTTCATTACTCCATAGATCTAATAATACACCAAATCTATCAACTTCTTGATGGGCATAACTTGGTATATCAAAATCACCTACTGACTGTTGCTAGAAATTAAAACGAAAAATTATAGCAATAAGTCAATATAGTTTGATGAAATGAAATGGTGTTTACGTCCTACTGTTCTGCTCTGAACAGTGTGCTATGAGAGAAATTTTGCCCGGACAGCAGCACCACAGCCTACTCTTATATCAAATTCCAACTGTCAAGGGATCTTTTACATGCACGCCAATGTGTACACGAGACTTTGGTTTTTTGTCCCATCCGAACGACTAGACAGCTGTCCTTGTCAGGCCCTTCGTCCTGCATCACTGACAAGGGGGAACCACGCTGGAAAAACTGTTTGATGAGTAAGATCATTTAAAATATATAATATGTTTTTCAGTGTGACAATCTAGGGAGGATATTTTCTAAACACCTCATGAGATTCAAACAAAAAGAGTTTAAGTCCACAAACTAGGTCATTTCAGGACTAACACATGGTTCATTTCTATTTCAATAATTTGCTTGCGCATAGGGGTCATTAGCAGTGGGAGGAAACCGGAGGACATAGAGAAAACCCACAAGGTTGGACAGACGATACCAATGTCTTCAGAATACACTTGCATAATTAGGTGTGTTAGGTTAAAGATACATTATGGGAGATTCGATAACAAGTTGGCAGTTCTCACTATAATAGCTAAAATCTAGATAATGTAAAGGCAATTTGCTGAAAATTTCATTCAAACTGATCCACTATGAACCGAGAACTAAGCGGTTGAAACTTCCGCCTAGCCTCGATCATCATTAGTAAAGACAGTACGATAAACAGCATAGTCTTGATTATCCATTTAATCGTTAAATCGTGAAGGAAAGATTGCAGGCTAGCATAACCATCTAGAGTTGATTATGGTCTGGATAGGTTAATTAATGTCTAATTAATAATTTAGATAACATTTTAGGCCTAAAGAAAGACCTGCAATAGACAGATTTAGCTCTTGCATGATGTATGTTTAACACATTAAAATATTTTTTCCCAAAAAATGCTGATAAAATAAATGTCTAGCAGAATGGGAAATTTATGACAAACACAATATTTCAAATGGCCTTATAGCCGAAGATTAGATTTATAGTACTTACCGCCCCTAGACGAACAGATTCCTTTGCTTTCATCTTGGAAACATATCGTAAATCACGATCTTTATCAATATAATGTGTAGCAATCAGCAATAATAATTTCTCTAGTTTTCTGAATAAAAAAAAACCAACGGAATATTATACATTACAACTGTTGGAATAATAATACCATTTCATAAATTAATTTTAAAATTAGTTCAAAAAATAATTTATATAACATTAAGCAAAATTCTATTGGTTTGTGCAGAAATTTTAACTATTACTTAAATGGGTGAAATATATTAATCCAAAACTTAATTTTAACATTAGTTCAGAAAAGAATTTATATAACATTAAGCAAAACTTTATTAATGATTACATTTTGGGAATTTGATATGCATATTTAAAGCCACTTTTGTATCAAATTATCGCCAATGAAATCTTGGAAGTTTGTAATTATTTAAAGGGGGGGGGGGGGCTTTTGTTAATACAATCAATGTGGATTTAAACTTACTCTAGATCATTAAGAGCAGCATCATACATGATATAATAACCTCTCTGATCCTGCACATGTATTCGACCTTCCTCTATACAATAAAAATCATCATGATTCTCTACTTCACTAAATTCTATAAACTCACTTTCATTTACCCTATAAAAATATATAATAATCTTCTACATATACTAAAATTTATATATTTTAAACAAAAACATACACAGGCTATAGTCATGGACCTTAACACACCCACTAGCACCAAAGCTCCAACTAAGTTTTAAGACTTAGAGAATTGTCTTGTATATCATTCGGAAGTTACGGTGGCTCAGTGAGTAAGACGTTGGCCTGCTAACTTGGAGGTCCCATGGTGACCAAGGAAGTTCATCAGAATTTTCTAGCATGGCTCCCCCTTGTCAGAAATGCAGGACGGAGGGTCTGGCAAGGGATAGTCATTTGGAGGGACGTAAAACCAAGGCCCTGTATACACATTATTGTGCACGTTAAAGAACCCTTGGCAGTTGGAATTCGATATATGAGTAGGCCTATCTCCTTGTCACATACAAGCTGGGAATTAAAACAAAGCCAGTTGACTCAATGCCAGACCTTGTGATCTAAAGCGCACATGTTGAACTATCTGGTGTTTCTTTTAAAATATCTTACTTGTAGTCAGCTGGTGTATTATGTAAATAAGCATGAGAACCGATACCACCCCCACCACCCTGTGTTCCATCAGATTCAGTTTTAACACGATGTCCTTGAGCACTAAAATGAAAACAAAACAAAAATTAACAATCTACTATCAGATAACTTCTTATACTGAAATAAACCAATAAAGCAGTTATTAGTTATAACCCGATATTGTAAAGATGAGATCTTGGTTGCCAATGTTATTGTTAACTATATAAGGCCATAACAAATATTTTGGCTCTGAGATAATCCTTACCAAAAATCTGATGTTTTATTTTTGTGTTCTTATTTTGTCAAAGGATCACTACTGCTGTAATGAGCTAAATAACTTCTCATAAAATCACATTTCAAGGCACTTCATTTATCTCATCATTTTGTTTGTAGGAATGTATGATTATCCAGTATCATTTATGATTGTCAGTAACATTTATTGGGGTGGCATACTTGATACATGAGCCTATGCCACATTTCTGGATTAATTCAAATTTTTTTATAGAGTTACTTCCTGTAACCGGATAAAACATTTATGTGCGGTAATTAAAGAAATTGTATTTATTTTTCATTTTTTTAAAATAAAAACAGGTCATGCGGCCCTTTTTAAGTGATGAGTCCCTTTTAAAGTGTTGCGGGATTGTCTGCAGACCAGAATATTTTTCTTACATGGCCTAATCAGTCTTGTAAAGACCTTAACCTTAAAATAGATGAAACTTGCACATTTATCTTTTTATAAAGCATTTAGCAATCAAATTGCCTATAATTCTGCTACGCAAACACAGAAAATATTCAATATCGAACATGGTCAAGGTTTTGATAATCTCTGCTTAACCTAAGCCTAAAATGCTCATGTTCAAATTCCGTCCCCTACACTAAGTTGAAACATTCTACCATAATTAGCAGCAGAGTTATTGTGTTCTAAACAGACAGAAGAATGGACACGTAATTTTTAATAGTCGCCTGGTTTCTTCAAAGACGGGGTCAATAATGGTCCAAAGGGACCACTATCTTCAGACTGAAGAAAGGGTGCATCCTACAATTTTAATTTTCCATGAAAACCTTTGTAAACTGATTGTGGACAGATGTGTGTATCTTTGATATTGGAAAATAAGGCACTCAATTTGAAAATCAATTTTCAGGTTTAATATTACCTAGTTTTCTGGTAAGTTCCAGCATCATGAGACAATCCACCATCATTTATAGTCAATGTTCTCTCTATTGACCGAAAATAATTCAATACACTTAAACACTGAAAAATACAAACACAATATCATTCAAAAATATCAAAACTCTCTCTTTAGGATTTCCAGGGACCCTGTTGCTTTCATAGCTGATTCTACATCAGTAGATCTTTAGTTTTTATCCCATCATGGACAGAAAAGAACTTTAGATGCTTTAAGACCCATTTCTCTTTTAAACCCATTTCTCATCTGAGATGCTTATATTTAGTGCTGAATGCAAATACTTATAAAATCCACAAAATATGTACTGTACGAGGTTGTAAATGACAACTTACAGTTCTTTGAAGATCTCGAATACGTAAATGTCGAAGATGTAGAAATGAAAGAAAAGCTCCAGGAGCTGAGGTAGTATCACCATCGTTATCGTCTCCATCATCCAGACCTATACATTATACACACAATACAATGTGGTATTAATTCACATCTAATCTTGGAACAAGAACATTATATATCACTGATGTACTAAACTAGTAAAAATATACGTTAAAAATGTGAGTAGTGAAATGCATTATCATAAATAAATCATTCGTTGGCATCCTCACTTTGTATTCAATCATTCATAAAACTACTTTAAACTGAACACATAAAATTAAGCTAGAAAAAGTCATCAATTTGGCTTGCTTAGACAGAATACAAACCTAACATTTGAACAGTGTTTTTATAATCATAACTATCACTTCTTTTTATCTTCTTTTTTAATCTCGAGTTATTTAGATTTACAGCTTCAACATCCTTCTCATCGAATTCTGGTATGTCTTCATCATCACAATCCCCCCTATAATATACATTGTTAATAAATCTAAATAACAGAATAAAATATTACATTTTCTATAAGATGATTCATAACTCCATTTATATCAAATATATTTCAAAAGTGAAGACTGTCTTGAATCACACTCACAAGATATAAAGTTAAAAGGAAATGGGTGGTTAACTACAAAACATACAACTTATTCCGACTTTTGAAAGGGTTCCTATTTATACCCCTATCAATAATCCTGCCAAATTTTCAAAAAATTCCTTTGAGAACCTTTTCAGTATTATCGTCACAAGCTTTAACAATGAAAATGTAAAACAAAAATAAAAATGGTTGGAGTGACCAAGTATAGATTAGTTGTTGATTCCAGAAAGTAGTTTTTAAAACGTTAAATACTGTGTAATTCAACATGGGACGCCCAGGGGTTTAATATATTTAGGTACGAATTAGTAACAAATGGTTTATTTATATGAGAGTCAAGGTTTGGACTATGCCTTGGAAACGGAAGTGTTGGGCGACTAGTATGAGTCTCTCTTTTGTGGCCTGAGGTGACATTGTCCATTGTCATCTTTTCTTTATGTGTCTTTGTTGAATGAACGGCTTCTTTTCAACCAAATCGGTTCTGGACCGATTCGATTCTATGATATCTCTCGTAGCTAAGAGAATGATTTTTAGCCGAGAAAATATCTCCTGTCAAAGTGGTGGTTGATAATGATTCCCAGGCAAAAGGGGAATCACGACCGACCGATTTGATCAATAAAGTTAGCCATAACAAGATCTTAAGTAGAGAGTAAGATAATATAATGTTAATTATATTGTATTAACCAAGAATATTATTTACAGCAAATTGGAAACACAACAAAATCGCTTTCACATCAATATGAAAGTATATGTGTGGACTCGTACGGCATATTCAATAACATACTATTACTTACTGTGTATATAATTCTGGATTAGAGTATATTTTCTTCCATACAGAACTTGTATTATATGGGGTTCTGTGAGTGGTAACAGAAGCTGGATGAATATTGGGAGGTTCTCGTACAGACGTTGCATGGAATCGTAGAGTCCTTTGAACTTTCTGAAATACATTCAATGAGGGTTATAAAGTTTTAAAATTTTACACCAATTAATGCTACGATGCCAGATTAATACTTTAAGACATAGCATGAATACAGGAAAGTTTAGGAAATTAAATTTCCGAAAAATTTAACAGCAGTACCTTAAAACCAATGCTGATTAACAGGATTTTAAGTTTAATTTTAAGGGGATTGCAGTTTTTGAGAAGAAGACCCCTAGTCAAGATCATAAAACTTTGTTACTCAAATTTCACTTATATCTCTTTGTTTCCAGCAATATCAATAGCTTACCCGGACCAGCATTTAAAAGTTCCATTACTGTTGTTCATGAACTTAGAATACACTGTGCTGCGACAGTGTAAAAACAAATAACACACTATTTATGGATAACAATTACTATGGGTTAATAGTTAACCATAAATAGTGTGTTATTTGATTATGTTTCAATTACTAAATGCCATTCAAAGAATAGTTTACATAACACATTATTTACTAAAATCATGTATTTGTACTTACTTCAAAATCATTAACAAATAGAAAATGGAACTGTACTTTAAGTAGAGGGTCTATTTTACCAGCTTGTTTTAACAATGTCAGCTGTTTTTCTTGGTGAGCATCATGTTCAGGTTTTAATGTTAAAAATGGCAACCAGTTAGAATCTTGTTTAAATACATGTTGAGAATCTGCTCCCCAATTCTCTTGCCCTATCTGTTTAAATCAAAACATAAATATTGAAGAAATAAGATGATTGTTTTTTTCTAATCTATGTATCTTCATCATGATGTGCTGAGTTCATGAATGGATGAAAAAAAAACAGTGGTTGCAATGTAAGATACGCTAAAGAAAAAACAAAAAAAACCACCACAATTTTTCGTACAATCAGGGGCCAAAATCCACGAAGTTATGGTCTGAAGCACGAATATTAAAAGGAACATAGATCTTTGGGATATAAACATATATTTTAAATTTGATAAAAAAATAGGACAAAAATTGTGACAGACGGAAGGACAGGGGCCACGACAATATACGTCCACATGAAAATGTGGGCATATAAAAAATGGGTGTATACTGACTGCACCAATGAAAGAAACTAATTCATTTTTTACAAATATCTCTAATTGAAACAAGGTTACAGAAAGATTATCCAATTCGTGGAAATGTCTTCACATACATTCGAAATTCAAAGAGCTGAAAAATAAATGAGCATTAAATTTGATTTCTAGATTTCTAAAATCTATTGTTATCTTCTCACTTATTGTCAATTTATTTTCATCATCTTACCTCCAACTTGTCATACATTTTAAAATTCTTCATATTTTCTTGTTTAATAAAACTATATTTAAATCTCCGATTGACAGCTGCAAACATTTCCATCTCATCTGCATTAGTGTGAATTCTCTCTAAATCCTACAAACACAGAATTAAATGGGAAATTCTACTTTTCGGCACCAAACAGGCTAACAAAGACAGTACAAACACAACATAACTACAAATATTATAAAAGCTGATTTTATTGTGAGACGGGGAGGTTGGATGGCTGAATGGTTAGCGTGCGCGCGCTGTATCATAGTCTGTCATTGAGTTGACTGGCGTGGTTTCGAATCCCTGGTTGTACGTGGCAAGGAGTAGGGTCGCCTGTCCAACCTCATGGGTTTTCTCCAGGTCCTCCGGTTTCCTCCCACTGCTAAAGACCCCTACGTGCAAGCGAATTATGTAAATAAAATTAAACCATATGTTAGTCCCGAAATGACCTAGTTTGTGTCGAGTGGACGTTAAACCCCATTTCTTTCTCTCTCTCTCTCTCTTTATTGTGAGACAAATTTTTTATTGATTAGCAATAATTCAATCATATGCCCATTAAATATGAGTCTTTTAATATCAATTTGGCATTGAAACAAACAACAAGATAGAATATTTCTTGAAGAAATTTGTTCAATAATACATATATAGCACAATACAACATCTGTAGCTGTACTTACAAAGTTAATGCCATAAATATTCAGAAGAAAAGCAAGTTGTGGTCGAAGTGTTTCAAAATCTGATACATGTAAAGGTAAGTTGAGGCTGTGTTCATCAGATGCTAAACCACCACCTATCGTTAAATATAAAAATAAATATTTTAGAAATAACAATTTCAATCAGTTTATACTGTTAATCATGATTAAATATGTCCATCCATTATGCAATACAAAACATTCAATTTGTTAATCATGATCATCTCTTATCATTTCACCAGAAAGAAATAAAACATATGTATACATTATAGGAGGGAAATAGATATGATTGGATATCTGGAGTCATCCAGGTTGTTCTGTTTTGTGGTGTCTCTCAAGTTTAAATATACTTGCTACAGTTGTGAGAAATTCTCTTGAGCTCAATCATGGCTCAATCAGTCGAAGTGTACGGATTCAATGTCTGGGGTCGCAGGTTGAATTCCCAACAGGAGCATCGCCCACACAGATTATGATACCTTATGTACCAGTACATGCATGACATTTTAAAGGGGCATTATATAACAGACACATGAAATACAAAATATTAGGACCTGCTGCAGCAGCTGCATATAGCATAGAAGACGTAGGTAATGGATTAGTTGATAGTAGAGCTGTTGTGATTGGTGGAGGAATTGGAACAGGTGGTGTAATTAAAGATGATCTGGAAGAACTTGGTCTTGATGTTCCTGATCCTGGTCGTGAATTAAGGCCTAGTACATCGTCTTGGTATCGTGAGGCAATACGAGCAGCATGAGTTGTCTCCACCTAAACATTGAAAAGAACAACAACAATGATTGAAAGGTTATTTCTGGAATAATATATAGTAAATCACAATTTTTGGTATGTTCTTATCTAGGTAATACATTAATAAGGATTTACGAAATTACAAACATTTTAATTCTCATAAGACTGGGCCCTTATTCACGAAAACTTAAACTAAGATACAATCGAAATTTTAAGAAATACTGCAATTCGATTGGCTGACCAGTAAAATCAATTTGCATATATCCAATTTGCATATTGGTCAGCCAATCGAATTGCAGTATTTCTTAAAATTTTGATTGTATCTTAGTTTAAGTTTTCGTGAATAAGGGCCCTTGTCATATATTATTTAATACTAAAAGGGTTGAATGAAAGAAACTAAACTGTTTACCTGTTCTGTATCATCTTTTTCCGGAGAACAAATTTCTAATTTATGTGTGATGTGTAGCCATTGTAATATCTGTAATAAAATATTGATCAAAAACATATTTCAAAACCGATTTTTACTACTTAATACTGAATGAAAATAGATGTATACATACCCACTTGGATCTTTAATATAGCTCAATAGGGTTCATGTTATACACAAGCACATCAATCAAATATTTCTATCTTTCCTTTAACTTACCCGTAAATATTGTTGAATGCGTTTTTGAGAATGGAGATGACACACCAGCCATCTTAGATAAATCAGCATATCATCAGTCTGAATTGCTGACAGACCAAAATCTTTACCAGCTAAATACGCCTCTCGTGCAACTGATAATCTCTGGGCTCGTTCTCGACAATCATTGTATTCAGTTACAATATGGCTGCAAAATATCAACATTTCATCTTTATAACAAAAAATAACTACTGTATTTTTCAGTGTATAAGGCACACTTTTTTTTACCAAATATTTGATTTTCTACAAGTGGTGCGCCTAATACATAATGTTAAGCAAATCCAGGCTTTTCCCGTGTTGACACCAAAGTCTGAAGTTGAAGAAATAACTGCTCGAGAATCAACACGTGGACCAAGTGATGCTACGTCAAACGCTTATGATATATTATCATCCAAATTAAATAGAATACTGTTCCCATTTCATGTCCATTTACTTTGTTTAAAATATAGTCCTTGTTTGTCATCATACAAGCATTTTCATTGGCTCAATATAAGTCATCAGTATTGTCTTTACCGCGACAGTGATAAAAGGCGGGATTACAGTTTAACTGACATATTGAAGTGTCTTCAGTCTAAACACGGTCGTCGAAACGGCAAACCTTTTTGATGTCTATCATTTACTTCGTCAACCAATTCTTGCTAAATTTGTGGATAACGTGTGAAGCTCCATCTATTTACTTCTTTTTTGGTTTCATGTCACTAAGTTCCAGACTCACAGTCCTCTAACATCTTATGTTCGTTTCACTCAAATAAATTCAAAACCTGTGGCCCTGTTACTGTGTGCATTAGCAGTTCGTCCAGTAGCCTTTCTGAATAAATAATTTTTTAAAATTTGATGTATGGTTCAGTGGTATTTTCATTTCATTTCATTTCAGTTTTCATTGAGCGAAACTGTCATAAATTTCACATCATTTAGCCGTTTTAAGTTACAGATCCATTGTTTAAATTTACCAGTGTTGTTAATTATCTATTAAATATACTATTGTTTTATGTTACTGGTAGATCTAAATGGCTACGCGTATAGTGGGCAGGGCCATTGACATTATTGTTTGATTGTTAGTTGTTTGGATATCGTACATGGTTTAAACTAGAATAGTCATTTCTCAAATTAATCCTTTCAGACAGGAGTTAAGTTGTGAGTAGCTGATCATGATAAACTATTTTTATAGTTAATATTATTCTATAGTTATTATCACAGACAATTACTCATGAATTTAACAGGATGTAATAGACGGCCATATTTGTTGTTTGCAGAACTTTAACAACAATTTGACTATGAGCGTGACAGTTAAATTGGAGCAAATTCTTTCATAATGTTGTTTAAATATAATTAATATAAAGGCTTAAATGCAGTTGTTTCACAATGCGCTTACACCATGTACTATTATTTTTTTCCTTAAACACCTCTGCCAAACTCACCCTGTGCCTTATCTACGCATGTGCCTACTGCCTAATACACCACAGAATATGGTACATTATCTTAAAACATCAATTCATTTTTTAAAGAACACACATCTTTGTTTTCCAAGCTTCTCTCTCTGATTAAGTATGCTGCATGATAGTAGATTAGATTGGAAAAAAACCCAATTGATGTGAAAATTGTGATCATAAAAGAACCCAATTGGAATTCAAAATATAATCAGCACTGTCTAGATAAAATTCTCATATTGACCAAGGTGTTGGCAAACTGTTAAACCATCAACATTCCACTCAAAACAGAAGATTTACTAAAGAAAGGAGGAAATTGGTCACGTGAAAAAAATTCAGATTGAATTCTTTTTCCTGTAATTATCCTTTAGGAATTTTCATAAGGCTTCAGTTTTTGATCCAAATCAGGTCTAACCATATTAAACAAACTTACTTTAATCTTTGATGATACAGCGGATAGAGTGATTCTATAGTACTGGTATGTTCACAGAATCTTTTCCATCGTAACATATGTTGATGTTTACACTGTATTAATTGTTGTAATCTGTCAGTAAAATGCTGCAACAAACAAATAAAACATTGGCATTTAGTTTCATGTTTTAATAAATGTATAATTTTAAAGAAATTGAAAACAGGAACTTCAGTTCGAATCGTCATTTATTTCAATGTCACCGGAAAAGCTTAATAAATTTTTTAAATAATGCAAGGAATTATGTCAACATATCCTTTCCATAAGTATAACACGATCTCAAATGTCAATGTTACCTGCCAGTTGCCACAGGTAAATTTGAACAGATAGTTTTCCGCATGTCTTAGTGAGTAGTCGTAGTCTTCTGCTCATATTCTAGTCTATATTTCTATGAGCAAGACTAAAATTACATCAGAGCTTGTTTTTTTGGCAGAAAGTTATGACTACTCACGGAGAACGGCGGAAATCGCTAAGCTAACATTGGAATTTTCCTGTGGCAGGCAGAGGCGTAGCTGTGAAATATATATTGGGGGGTCCGCAACCCTAACCCTAACCCTTTTTTAAAACCCCTAAAAATATAAACAAACACCATGTGGCCATGTTGTCTACACAACTCGTTTGCTGATTGGCCCAGACACCACGTGCAAAGCATTATGGTTACGTGGCTGGCTGAGCGGGCGATAAATATTTGGTTTAGGCGATAATGTTTTTGGGTACCTACATGTGATTCACTCTGATAAGTGGCAGAAAAAAATTAACAAAATATTACTGACAGGCTAACTAGACACAATTTTATGGAACACAGTTACTTTTCACTTCACACATGTTTCCAGGATGGTTCTCTCTGTGTTTTATTTTAGCAATGTAAACCATATTGGGATATGTACAGGTTTTATACAGATAGAATCTTAACTAATCCTAAAAATTGTTGTAAATAAATAGGAGTTAAGGCCTACTATGTAAATTTTTTTTTTTTTGGGGGGGGGGAGGGGTCCAATTATATTCAGCCCCCCCCCCAAAAAAAAAACAGTTGGGGGGGGGGGGGGTCGTTGGCATTTCCTCAAAAGTGACATTTCCTCAAAATTTTGATTCTTTTGCTTGCATAACATGCACACAGGTGAATCTGAATTTTGTCCTGTCTAAACAACTAAACACATTTTCAATGAAGTAATAAAAACAGGTTTACATTATACCTGGTGAAGTAAATATGGGCTTATACCTGAGGCTGACCTTAAAAATATCTTTGTTTCACCAAACCCGACCCACAATCGAGGAGAAGGGTCGGTAGGTCGGTTTTTTTTTCAGATTTTTTTTTAAAGTCAGAGAAATCAATACAGAAAACTTATTAGCTGTATACTACAGATTCATTAATTTTGTTTAATGAATTTGGGGTCTGACGTAAAAAGTAACGAACTGAAAGTTTTTATTAAACTTAAGAGCTAATTTGACAGCTTAATAATTTTCCGGGTGGAAACATTCGTCTTCTTTATTGGCAAACAAATCAATGACATCGGGATTTTTCGTGATGCCCGACTCGCACACGATTAGCCACGAACTTGAAGTGTGAAACTCCTTCAACACGTTTTTAACGATAGTGCGCGTTGTGCTTTCATTTTTCTCGAAAACGGATATTGAAAATATCATCGTCATGTTTAAAACTACGCACCACAGACATAGAGGCAGAATTATTTCGTGGGAATGGACGTGTATTCGTCTGCAACCATTTTGTTGAGAAGCGACACCTATGACGCTTTCGTCTTGATCAACCAGTTTCAATAATGAATCAAACCATAGCCATAGTATAGGGAAATAACTCTCATGATATATTTCAGGTTGACACACAAAATAAAATAAAAAGATCGTGGAAAAGTGCAATAAAATAATTTAAGTCGGGGGTGGTTTTAGTTAGTCGGTCGCGTTAGGCGAAACAAAGATATTTTTAAGGTCAGCCTGATGAAGTAAATATGGGCTTATATTATAGCTGGTGAAGTAATAAATATGGGTTTATAATACCTGGTGAAGTAATAAATATGGGTTTATAATACCTGGTGAAGTAATAAAGGAAGACTATCTGTTGTATATTCAGATGATTCACATGACAATAATTCTTCTTTCATAATATCAGCTTGACATTTTAACGGTTGGGCTTCACTGACCTATTAAAATATGAATCAAAATCATATCTAGATTAATCTGGGAAACTTTTTCAAATCACCAGAGCAGCTATGGTCTCATTTAAATTACCATTTACCTCTTTGATATTAATAAACAAATATTCAGCTTTCAGTGAGTGCTTTAAATTCAACAGATAATTTATTAGAGAATAAAAATTTGTGGTAACTTTTGAATTACAAGAACAGAAAGTGTTATCTAGAACATTATTTTATAATAAAGAAAATTTGAAAGCTCACCTGAAATATTCTATTTATGATTAGTTTACGTTCTTGTCTAAAATAATCCACATCCCTTGGTAACGCTACAGAACTAAAAAAAAATTATAAATAACAGTTTATCTCTCAAATATAAAAATAGGCAGTATAATATGCCCAAGAATAACAAAGTCATCCATGCTAGCTCTAAAATCTTTGTCAACAAATCCCACAATGGGGGGATGGGTGGTCGAATGGATGTCATTAGTCAAGTGGTTTGGTTTCGATTCTCTGATTGTACGTGACAAGGAGTAGGGTCGTCTGTCCAATCTCGTGGGTTTTCTCTGGGTTCTAGCATTTCCTCCCACAGCTATAAGACCCCTACGTGCAAGCTAAGTATTGATATAAAATTGAACCAAATTTTAGTCTGAAAATGACCTAGTTTGTGTCGAGTGAACATTTTAAACTCTATTTCTCTCTCTCACAGGGGCAAATGTGAAAGAAAAGATAACTCTTTGAAATTTAACCCAAAAGAGAGATTGAGAGAGATAGGTTTTAACATGTACTCGATTGAGGATGATCTATGTGTGTCTTAACTACCTACATGTATTAACAACTCGCATATTCATCATCTTATTATACCTGATTGTTTTAACAGGTATTCCATGTACCATTTCATTTTCTTCCAACTCAGATTTTAGATCAGCTAAGTCTTTCTTTAAATCTCGTTCCATATCAAGAACTTTCTCACTTCCCGAAACACGATACATTGTGGATAACTCCATGTTGATTAAATTCTTTGCGCTATGATACCAGTTAAGACTTTATCTACATTTGTATCAGTTGAATAACCGACTGTCAAACCATCTTTAGACTATTAGACGTGTAGTTTATATTTTCATCTTCTGGCTACCTGCAGCAATAGAAGAATGAATAAAGAATGAATATTCTAATTTTTTCTAAATAAATGTTGCCTAATTAATGTAGTAAATATTCCATTCTTGAGACTTCAAATTTAAAACTGACCTATTTTTAATATTTGAGAGAAACGTTTTCCACAGCATCCACTGTGCTGTGGCTATAAGCTTATCTCAAGTTCTCAACAATAACATCTAATTAATTCCCCCACAGACACACCTTTCATAATTAATATATGTCCCGTCTAGATCTCCCTCATCCTTTTTTTTTTTAACAAAACTAGCGGTTGCCAAGCAAGATACGCCCACATTTTGCAAAAGATGGACATAGATCAAGCTAAAAAAAGGGCAATTTTTCATACAATCAAGGGCCATAATCCAAGCAGTTACGATCCAATACCTACAGGAACTGACATCTTTGGGAGATAAACCTACATTTCATGTTTTGTCAAAATCAAATAAAAATTGTGACCTGTAGTGTAGATTGTCCACAAACAAAATGTGAACGGGCACACACAGGGCCTGGGGCGACGACAATATAAAGTTCAAGCTACTTTATTGGGTCATCCTATCTTACTACGTACAGACTTTAGCCAAATGAATAGGCCCTACATGCCCCTAAAAAGGTTTAATGAAGTTGCTAGAGATATTAGTCGATACTCAATGACATACGGTATTATCTATGATGACATCTAGATAAGAAACCTCATCTCTCAACCACTGACATCAGTATATCTCAACGCTTTTAGCTACGTTCTGGTTGTTAAATGACATCTTGTTTACTATCAAGTCTGTCTCAGGCCCAAATTCACGCCAAACTGTTACTCGACTGACACTCTGTGACGGATGATATTTATTCATTGATCATTTGATTTGATTGATATTCCGACTACAGACTTTTCAGAGCTTGGATTAGGAACTAATTTACATTTGCCACGGAAAGGTGTTTATTCATAGCTATAAAACTACAAATACCCGTTAATTATGATGCTAAATATAATAATTTGCATTGCTTTTGGGTTGGTCACAACAACTAATAAAAATCGAGAATAAAAATAAGTTTTACTGACCAAATTCATTAAACAAGTGCGCGTCGTCCAGTTGCTCCAGCAACCAGAAGAGTCTACATGAAGGGAAATAACTCTTAAATATTGGTTATTAAAGGGTTTTTTGGCCTTTGGGCGGGTGTTTTCTTTCTTTCCAGTAATAAATATGGACTTCATTTATACTTTATCTCCAAATTAATATAAAATAAAAAGATTAATGGACAGACAGATTAGATAGAGGAATGAAATCGGTGTGTCACTGCAAATGTCCATTTCTAGTAAAAAGAGTTGTCTCCCGTATGCCAGTACATCAATGTTTTAAAGCCATCCGTCTCAGCTTTCAAATTTGTGATAGATTATATAAACAGACTCCAAATAGAACTTTTAAAGTAAAATTCTTTACTGTATGTGATCGACAGACTGAATGTTCAACACCATAGAAAATGATAAAATGCTAACATCATCAACACGGAGAAGGCTCCATGCATGTAGCAATGTTATACTCAAATCTTGCAAGAGATTTTGATCATACTAACTGAAGAATCAGCATATACTTGTAGATGGTTGTAACTGGTTATCTACCATAATGTCTACATGCCAGCTAACTTTGTGGATGCAGGAGTTCCAGAGGAATGTGAAGATACGATTAAAATGTTAAATGACATAAATTGATATTCCCCTAAAGGAGGTTTCAGACAGTCCTCTGCAAAATTTTGATGGCTTAACAGGTGTGACTTCTCTTCTACCCTTTATACAGACGACTCTTTAATCGTCTGTGCAAGTGGGAGTTTGTATATTCATTTTCTCCAAATTCCTCTCACTACCCATAGCGTGAGCAAATTAATCAAATACATTGTAGGCCTAAACTAAGATTAAATCCTTACAGAAATTAATGGGACACATGATGGGTTGATTAACATTTCATTTCCTGCAAATATTGATTTCTTGTATGCCATATCCATGGGCAATAGTCATCAGATTCATTTATGTCACATCCATTTTACTAGTATGTAAAAAATTTAGGTGGGATTGGAACCAGATTGTTTTAAAGATTGTTTTAACATCTACTCAACAATTGGATTGAAATGAAATGAAATGAAAAGGGGTTTAACGTCCTACTGTTCTGATCCTAAACTGGGCTAATGAAGACGGGCATACGCCATACAGTGTGCTATGAGAGAAATTTTGCCTGGGCAGCGGCACTACGGCCTACTCTTATATCAAATTCCAACTGCCAAGGGATCTTTAAGTGCACGCCAATGTGTACACGGGACCTCGGTTTTTCATCCCATCCGAACGACTAGACAGCTGTCCTTGTCAGGTCCTTCGTCCTGCATCACTGACAAGGGAAAACCACGCTGGATAATCTGGATGAACTTTCTCTGCCCAATTGGATTGAACCAAGCCACCCAACGACTGCGAGTTTAACAACATCTGGACATTGCTAGATTACTTTGCAACTACCAAACTTACAGCTACGTTTTCTCTCTTTACTGCAGACATGTGAACAGTGGCATCCAATCAAAAGTTGTGACACTAAGACAATCAAATCAACTGTAGTGACCTCTACGGAAACCTTGACACTGAACAAACTTTGAACTTTGCAACTCGATTATCACAGGTAGACATTTTAGCTGGAAAGCACAAGACCTGGTATTCGCGATGATCAAAATTAGTGCCGAAATATGCAGGGTATTACGTGAAGGCCTTAATAAGATGTACAGAGCTTAAGCGAGTTCAAGCCTTCTATTGAAGATGCTCAACCCCCTCAATCAAGATCTAGTCAGGGTACTGCCATAGTAAACTTTAAGGAATAGTAAGGCCTATAGGGCATGACTAAGGACAAAGAAACATTCTCCTGTTTTGTAAAAACACAATAAGTAATTCTTGATTCAAATGCAAGAAAGTTAACTGTCCCATTTATAAAACATTTCTAAACACAATGACGGAAATCATACAAATATGAAGATTTTAATAACAACACTATAATAATACATCTTTATAACAGCTGTGTATAAAATTTGTGCTATCATTGATTCTTGTGGCCTTTATCATTCTTTTTCCCCCATGCAGATGAATTAAAAGGTTTCTTTCTTTGTCTTAATTTATCTTGATTGATTCGTCTTAAAGCCAATCTGTTTCTCTGTCGACAATTCTGAAAAAACAAAATAATTGAAGAACTGAGTTATGTTGCAAACAGACGGTGACACCTGCCACCAGTCTAAGTTATAATTTCAGAGCTTGAAATGCTAAAGTATGAAAGGGATCTAAAGATATTGATGGGAAGTCAAATTTAGATATATGTATAATGTAACACACTACTAAAATATGAAAGGAATCTAAAGATATTTATGGGAAGTCAAATTTAGATGTATGTAAGGACAATGTAATACACTATTTCCAATGCTGTTGTAAATGTTACTTACAGCAAGTATTCTAGGTCTTTCTTCCTGCCATATTTCCTCTACAACATCTGCATCCATTTTACGATGAAAAAACTCAATACCCTCTTTAATTATAAAGATAAACAACATTAATATTCAAATGTTAGTATACCTACATGTACATACCCGTTTGACAATTTTTATATTTATATTTTCACCACTGATACAACATAAAACATCAGTTATTGATAATGTTTACATCAGATTTGTTCACATCTCAAAATATGTTTTTTTATTTTTGAAAAATGTATATTTCAAACAAATTTCCATGTGGTAGGTAGGTCATTTCGGGACTAATTCAGTAATTCACATAGGACTCTTTTGCACCTAGATAAAACCCTCAAGGTTGGACAGAAAGCCCTACTCTTTGTCACGTACAAGTCGGGAATCAAAATCAAGCCACATGACTCAATAACAGACCTTATGTTTTAAAGTGTACACGCCAAAGTTCTAGAAAAGAACTTACCTTTTAATCTATCATCTTTTGGTTGAAAGAAAAAACTTGAAATCTTGGTTTTTAATTTACTGGACTTTTTCCTGAAAAAAACATACTATCAATGTTATATTGTTCAACTATGTTTGTGTTGCAGAATATAAAACAGCCTTGTGAGGACTTTTAGGACTTTTTGTTATTCGAATACATAGCTATTGACCAATTAGTAACCATTTGGTATTAATTTTCAACATAAAACAGACCTCAGGAGGTGCAAGTCATTACTTGCGTGCACAATATTTGCTACTTGCCTAAAAGCCATTACTTGTGCAAAAATTTCTGGAACTTTTCATAGAAATGTACAATACTTCAATGAAAATTTAAAACTATCTCTGGTCATAGTTATTTGATCACCTGGTTAACTTGGTGCATTTGAACCATTTTCTAATTCAATATCTACAACATTATACAAGACATTACTCTGTTTCCTGTCATATGTGACATATGGTGATAATATTACGTTAACACAATGTTACTAAGAATAGAATAAAGTAAATTGGATTGTGTTTATTGATTTTGCAATAAAGAAATAACTTCGGGCATGCAAGTAGAATTTTTATGATTGGTTAATTTAACTAAAAGTAGAATTTTCGCAAGAAATTATGAGATACGAATACGAATCTACTATAATGTCATTTTCTAGCCTTTAAGATTATATTTTGAATGATGGTTACAGAACAAGGTCCCAGCGAGAGGTGCAGTAACTCTCAAAAAATATCTCAAAAAAACTCACCGGTTGAGTTTTTAATAAAGGTTTTAATGACTGGGGCAAAAAATCAGTTTTGTCGCAATCGGTGTTTCCATCTTCGTATTGTTTGGTGATCAGTTTGGGACTTATTTTACTTATACATGTACATTGGATGCTGCAGTCCAATCTACTGTGAGCATTTATAAGAGGATGTCATAAAACATAATAATTACCTTTGATCATCAATCACAATTTCTTCTTCTTCTGAATCATGGGGTTTTAGTTGCCATGGTAATTTGTAAGTTGGTGTGTCATCTTCATTTATCTTAGACTCTATAAATATCAACACAGAATCAGTATCTTTAAATTGAACAGAATGAAGGGTTGCCATGTAAAACCAAAACCAACCAAATATATCATAAACATTTCCAGTCAATATATGATATTCAGAACTACAATAAAGCTCACTGTTAATGGCCATAATTTCAAACTGTGACATTATTGGAAGCATAAAGACTGGCAAATACCACAGCTTTCTAAATGAGTTACTTAATAGACAATGTATTAAACAAGAGCTCTTTTTTATGAAATTGGAAGATTATCATAATCAAATAAACTTACCTGCAGTGTCTTTCTTTCCAAATGTCTGAAGAAATGAAAATCCACCAACACTGGGTTCTTTTTTAGCAAAAGTATTTAGAAGTGATGAAGAGACAAAGAAGTTATCTTTAACAATATCTTTCACAATATTTTCTTCTCCCTTTTCTTTCTTCATTTTCTTCAGTTTCCTTTAGAAAGCAAGAAAATTCTAGACTAAATAACTCGAAGTTTTGTATCATTGTTAGTTAAATTCATATTCAATTAATACATGTAGAAAACATATCAATCTTTATCAACTCTTTAATTGCTAGAAGTCTTGAAATCTTCAATGGTTCTGATTTTGATAATCAAGACTATTAAGTATCACTACAGCCGGGAAATTTTATACAGCAAAAATAGCATATAATGGTAAATGGCATTTATTTAACCCATGGTAGATTTGAACTTCAATCTACACAGCCTTGCATTATTTTCATCATTAATCTGCAATATTTACACACACTAAAATTATAGAGGTAGTTTTTACCTTCTCCTCTGTTTTTCAGAAATGAAACTTTCCTCGATCTCTAGTGCTGGTTTCTGATCTCCATCAGATTCAGATGGTGTCAAATTTGTCTCTTCTGAAAAATCAAAGGATTAACCACAATGACTAAATTAGAAAAAAATCTTTTAAAACATACATCAATATCACTCTAGAATAAGCACACATACACTTCCTCATATAAAAAAACCCCATTAGATCAGAGTTTGCTGAAGCAAATATGATACAACAGAATGTATAGTTAAGCAACAGTATAAAAGGATAAATATATATCTAAGGAGGTAATATATTCAAGCAGACCATTTACTAAAGCTTATATACAGTTACAGTTCCTCCCAAATTTTTGGGACCGAAATCGCCGTGACGCGGTGAAAAAAAACTCTCAGAATTCTCTTAGATTTCACGGTGAAATTTCGCTTGATTCCGCGGCGATTTTTCTCTAAGATTCGCTAGGAATTCACCGTGTTTCTCTAGGAATTCGCCGTGTTTCTCTAGGAATTCACCGTGTTTCGATAAGAATACATCGTGTTTTGCCATGCTTCCCGCAAGGAATTAGCGAGCCTACCTTAAGCTACGGTCGAACTAATATTGTCTATAATAAATTAAAGGAGTTGTAATATAGTAATGCTCCCGGGAAACGTGTACATGTATAATGTACAGGCAGGTTTGAATAACAAATGAGTTAGGTAATCTCGGGAAGACATTTACCGGCATTCTGTATCGGTTAGGATTTTTTCCCCAACGCACTTTATACATACATAACGCCGGCCAAAATGTATGCAAACTATGAACAACTTACAATTTTTTAAACATATCAATTCATCTTCGTTTATAACTTAGATGTAATCCGTCAATTTGGGGCTGCTATCAAATCCAAACTTTAAATTATATACGATGAGCTTTTACACATTACTTCATTACTCGCAGCTTCGGTTAATCTAAATCAATCATCCATACAGCACGTACAGTAAATCACTCCGCGGGTCGCTTAACGGTATGTTACATGGTCAGAAACGCGCCAAAAGATTGGGACTACATGTATATTCTTACGCTGTTTTACTCGGCGAATAATATCCGCTGTGACAATATACATCTACTTTATGTCACCCAATTCATTTCGGTGGGAGCAGATATTGAATAAAGCCATTTCACACACACATACATGTATGTGTACATTACATGCGCCTCATATATTTATACAATATCCACGAGTGTGTTAATTCTCGTCTTCACCCCGTTATAATTTACTTATTTTGAGTACACTTTCTGAATGATTCCATTCTTTTGTACGTCCAACTTGTCGATTTCCTACTGCATATACATGTACCCTGCAGTCCATGCGAAATGATATTTTTTTTACTGGACATTTGGGCAGGTATTATTCCAACTATTGCTGGACCAAAATATGCATAAAATAAGTAATAATGGCCTAAAACTCGAAAAACAACAAACAGTATTTTCATTCTATTGTTACTTAATATTATCTATGATACACGTAAATCATTATTATTTTCTATCAACAATAGCTTGGACTTATAATTAAATTTTTATCGCGCCAATATTTACAATCGTTTTACTGTTCTATAAATAGACCGCGTAAAGAAAATATAATCCCTTAGATGACAATCGAGTCTACCAGAAGCCAATGTTATTAATACAATAAAAGGACTTTCGTTTTAGTCTGGATTAACCTAGCCTACTACTTACTAGACTAGCTCAATATACGGTACTACGTACTCGAGATAAGATTTTGTTTACATTTTAAACAATAGTGAAATTAACACAATAAATTAAACGAGAATTCAACAGTCCGTGCACAAAGTGCCGTCAGTCAGTGCCAATACGGCGATGATTTAATATTTGTAAGTTGAGTGTCCGTTAACCCGTCCACAAGCAAACCTGTCCACGGTTAAGGTAATACCGGTACTTGACTTGTATATTATTTAATTGATTAGAATAGATCACTTTTACTCATTGGTTGTTTATATTGTTCTATTTACCTAATAATCAACTAGCTTGGCTCGCCATCCCGACAGCGATTAGTTCGAGTTCAAATTCTTTATTCCTTTAAGCCAAAGACTCATCAGGTATAACATACAGTACAAACAAATAAATAAATACAATATGTACAAAAACAATATAGTTCACCGATGTTTTTGTAATAAAGAACAATAGTATTGTTTGTTGATTAGCGTTATGATTTTAGACAAAATGGTAAGTTCACCAATGTTTTTGTAATAAAGTAGACCCGTATTGTTTGTTAATTGACTTTATCCCATGATTTAAAAAATTGGCGATGGTTAATATTGGCTCAAAAATAATTCCTTAAATTGCGCCGGAGCCCCTTTTAGATTAATTGAATTCGCATAAAAATACCAAAGAGTGGCTACGTGCGATTTTATTCTTTGATCTAGATACACGGGACATTTCTGTTATTCAAACAAATCTGCACGAGAATGACAACATACAAGTTGACAGTTACCATTGGTTTGGGGTTCATGAAGAATAGGCTCTTCTATCGAGCCTACAGTTATTCTTTTCTAAAATAAAATGAGTGCCTTGGATTTTTGTGTGGATTTGATAGCGGTTATACTTTACTAATATTCTCTGACATCGGAGACTTGTGTCACGTTCATTTCATTTTTGCGGTAAGTATGAGCTTCTTATGTCTGATTTGAAAGCACTTTCGACTCTGGTTGCAAGTTCTATTTGTCACTTTTGTGACTTTCGCAGTGTACCCCCTCCCACCCATATTATTTTAATATGTCATAATACATTATTATCATATACCGGTGACAGTCAAGATTTGCTAAATACTTTTCGCCAAGTAACACAGCGTAAGAATATATAGTCCCTGTGTCGAACCCAACATCTCATGTTTTCGCGCGTTTCTGACCACGTGACGTACGGTTAACCGCATTGCGGAGTGATTTACATGTATGGCACTGTGATGTATGAATGGTTGATTTAGATTAACTGAAGCTGCGAGTAATGAAGTTATGTGTAAAATCTCATCGAATATAATTTAAAGTTTGGATTTGATAGCAGCCAATAAGATGAAATGATACGTTTAAAAAATTGTAAGTTATTCATTGTTTGCATACATGTACATTGTGGCACCACGTTATACATGTACAGTGTGTTAGAAATACGATCGTAGCTGCCTCGCCAGCGATTAACATATCTTGTATTCAACTTAAATAAATTACATTTTTCGACAACATGCTTACATCGGGATGATATCGGCACTCAAGCGATTCACCGTGTTTCACCGTGAAACACCATAATTCACCGCGAAACACCCTATTTCGCGGTGATTTGGCTAGCAGCCGTTTCGTTAGCGATTCTCCAAGATTCCACCGTGAAATAGAGTGTTTTTCCGCGGTGTTCGGTGATTATAGTCCCAAACTTCAGCACTGTAGTGTACAGACTATTTACAATTCAAACCAATGACAAAATGGAAAACAATAAACTACCTTCACTGCCACTATCTGTTGAATCATCAGTTGGACTGTCACTAATAGAACTAGCAGTCGTGTCATTATCACTAATAGAACTAGCTGTCTTGTCATACTCACTAATAGAACTTGCAGTTGTTTCATTATCACTAATAGAACTAGCAGTTGTTTCATTATCACTAATAGAACTAGCAGTTGTTTCATTATCGCTAATAGAACAAGCAGTTGTGTCATTATTGCTTATGGAACTAGCAGTTGAATCCACTTCAGGTTTGGTATCATTGTTCAAGGCTATTCGGTTAGCTGACTGAGAAGGCACTTTACTCGTTCCAAATTCTTCTGAAAATTTCTTGGCAACTTTTTCAAAATCATCTGAATCATATTCGCTATCAGACTGGTTTGTTGTAACAGAACACGCATTGTTTATCGTATTATTTTCTGATGCATAATCAGATGACTCAATGATTTCCTTCTTTGCACTTTTTCCACTGTTTTTAGTTGATTTTTTAGACAGAATATTTTCTTTGAATAAATCGACACCTTTAACGGTCCTGCCTATTTCAACAATGTGTTTCTTACTGAGGGAATCATCTTTATTTGAAAAACTATTTTCATCTTTTGACTTTTTCCTTTTATCTTGTACTTTTTTTTTCAAATCTGAAAATTCTACATTATCATTAGATTCTGAATTGGAATCGTCACTTTGATCAGAGTCCACTGATTTCATCTTACTCTTTGCAGACTTGATATGTAACTGTTTCTTTTGCTGAGGTGAATCACTGCCGTCAGAACCATTTTCCAAAAGAGAAGTACCAGTGTCTATATTTGGTACTGAAGCACCTGTTTTTTTATTTTTAGATATTTTGTTGATTTTAGGCGTGAAGTTGGCTGAACTATCGTTATGTCCTGAACTAGAATCTGAGTCATTTAAAACATCAACAGAGTTCTTTTTTATAGAATTTACTTTCTTTTTTAAGTCTTTTGTTGAAGATTTATTGCTGCTGTCATCATCACTCGAATCTAACATGCTAATTCCTTTGAATCGTGTCATTTTCATTGTATGATCAACAAAGCAAACATTGGGAGCACTAGACTTAACATTTGACTTTGGTTTGAGTGAAGCACTTGTATCTAACTGAGCAGATGAGTTGAGTGTAATTTTAGACATGTGCTTCCCAGTAGTATCACTATCCATGTCATCACCTGTATTATTCACTTTCGAAATATTAGAATCAGAATTTGTTAAAATCTTATCTCTGTTGTTAACTACTATCTTATTCATGGTGGTATTCTCTACATTTTTCGACTTCGAAGAATTCATCATAGCAATAATTTCACCTGTGTCTGCTGAACCAACAGAATCACAAGAGTCACTTTCCTCACCAACAGCATCATCTCTATCATTATTTTCAGATAACTCATCCTCTGAATCATAAATAAAATCATCTTTTGGTATGTGATACACACTTATGACCTTTTCACCTTTCACCACTTCAATCTCCGTATCATCTGTTTTCTGTGATTCTCTTTGACTTCTGTCATATCTTCTACGCATTTCTTCCATTTTCTCTTCCATCTCTTCACTCCAATCATTTTCTTCTACTTTAACTTTTTTGGGTTGAAAGTCTTCAAACTCTGAGAAATCTCCAAGTCGCCGTTTTGAAGTTTCATTCATTTCATCCATTTTCCAAGTCAATTTTTCTAAATCAATGTCCTCATTTTCATCTTTTTCATCGGGTTTTATTTTTTTCAAATTATGGCAAAATTTGGATGGATCAACGTGTACAAGATAGAAACAGTTAAGGATCAATTTACATCATCAGTATAAAATCAAACATTTAATTAATAAGCAAGAGTTTAATACAACACTTCCACTGAATTTATTCCGGAATTTACATTTGAACTAAGTGCTCTGAACACAGATTTAAAAGTTTTATCATACCACATGGATTACAAACTATACTATTCAAAAAAAGTAGGGGATATTTGATTTTTAAGTGTTATTAAAGTCACCTAATGAAACTGACGAAGAAACAAATGACAAAATGAAATGAAGTTCACATTCATCGATTTATTCCAAATGATCGTTAGACTAAGTAAGGCACAGACTGACCATTATAAGGGTAAAATGATACCCGGGGTCAAACAGCAAAGTTACCACAGCATCACAACCAAGTCAGTAACGGGTAAATCCTCCTCTGTTTGCCAAACAAGCATTGATCCGACGTGGCATACTCCTAATGAGACGTCTAAGGTCATTTTGGTCCAGATTGTCCCATTCCTGTTGCAAGTTCTTGGACATTGGCAGGACGTTGTTGACGTTGACGTAACCTCTGTCCAAGCATGTCCCAGACATGCTCGATGGGGGAGAGGTCGGGACTCAGTGCTGGCCAAGGTAATATGGTGATGTTCTGTTGTTGGAGGTAACCTGTAACGATCCTGGCCCTGTGACATCTTGCGTTGTCATCCTGGAAGATGAAACGGCGGCCATGACGTCGTGCGGCCGGCACAACATGGACTGCCAAGATGTTGTCCCAGTAGTACTGGCCTGTAACACGCCCTGCAACAACATGTAAAGCCGTTCTTCCAGCAACAGTGATGCCTCCCCACACCATAACAGAACCACCCCCAAATCGATCATGTCTGATGACGTTAACGTCTTGGAAGCGCTCGTTTAGACGACGCCACACCCTCCTACGTCTGTCCAAAAAATCAACAGTGAACCTTGACTCATCTGAAAACATCACATTGCTCCAGCGTCGATTATCCCAGTGTTGACGATCCCTACACCAACGACGTCTTGCCTGAATGTGATGATCTCTCAAACAAGGGATCACGCGAGGACGTCGGGAGCGAAGGTGACCCCTATGCAGTCGATTCCGAATCGTCTGGCCACTCACTCTCACACCAGTGTCTGTTTGAAGACGAGCGCTGATCTGATTTGCTGTGATGACACGATTTCTCAAGGCCAAGGTACGGATAAATCGATCCTGGGCTTGAGTTGTCGCCCTTGGTCGACCTGAGCGTGGTCTGTCCTGTACAGATTGTGTATCACGGTATCTGGACCATAGCCTGCTTATGACAGACTGAGAAACATTCATCGTCCGCGCCACAACCGCCTGTGTTGTGCCGATCTGTAGCATGCCAAGGGCACGTAACCTTTCATTTTGGGTAAGCCGACGCATATCAAAATTTGTTTTCTGGTCACTAAAACAATTAAACTGATGTTTCCACCCTGGAATTCAATGCCACAATGACTGTAACATTCAAAGTCAGAGTCGTGCAAATCTTGGGTTGGACCCCCATGATGATCCCAACCATCACCTGCATTCCATGCGGTAGCTATTGGTGCGTTTGGGCGTCAAATGTAACTGGAAATGTTTCTTCTGTTAGGTTCTATAGTGACTTTTTTCGTAGTCATTTGCATATTTTAGTATTATGCCCCCAAAATCAAATATCCCCTACTTTTTTTGAATAGTATATAAATGCGCTCGTACTTTGAAGCTAAAAGATCAGAAGATCTTTATATATTAGAACTTGCTTTTATATTTACATACCATTTAAATATAATGAAATACCCTTTAAAAACTGTATCTACAAAAACGTTTGATCTTGTTGCCCACTTGAGCTGAATAACAAAATGTCTTACATTTGACCTGATGGAAATGAAATGGGGTTTAATGCAGGGTCGTATGTAGGATTTTAAAATTGGGGGCGCAGCAGAGTGGTGGGGCGCCAATATAATGCCTAAGTTACTGAGCACCAAATAAGAAACTTCCTGTCCTCTAAACTAGAACTAGCTCCCGGCTACTTCATGAATAGATCAAAACCAGACATCAAGATGAACACTAATCTTATAATCCAAATCTGATGACAGGATCCAGACCATGAGTGTCGATGCGGCGCCCCAAACGAACAGTCAGTAACACCAATAAGGTCATGTGGATAGGGCGACCAGAACGAGAATCTCTAATAATATCATTTGGTGGCGGGCCCCCTAACACCAATAAGGCCCTATCAAATGTGGATAGCGAACCTTCTAATGTCATGTGGTGACGCAGGCGCAGATCAAAAAAAGGAGTGATAGGAGGGGCACTTCACCTATGGTGGGCGGCACCCAATCTGATTAAAACACAAATCTTATTTCATTTTGTTTTTTATAGTTCAAAAGGATCTGGAAAAGTTGTTATATAACAGGCCTTCTGGCTGGTGGTGCGAGGGATTAGCCAATATAACCATCTGTTACAGCGACTTCTTGGCGTAACATGCACGGAATTGTGGGTAAACCACTAGAAACGTCAACACTGATTGATTAATAAATTCTGACGTCATAATGTCAAAAGCTGCTCGTATGACCCCTGACGAGACCTTCCAGTACGATCGGTCAGATCTTCATGTTGTGTAGGCCATCGAAAGTATATAAAAAAAACAAAACAAAATATAGATCTGTATTTTAATCAGATTGAGTGGCAGCCTTGTCTGAGATCCGCCATTCGAAAATTATGAAAAATATCGCTGCTGTAAACATGTTTTTCGGCCACTCTGTTGATGTCTAAGAGTCAATTTTGTATTTTATACACTCAATTCTTTTTCAGGAGGGCCATATTTAGGAAGGGAATTTGTTCTTTTGCTCTTAAAACCCCCCCTTGGAAACACAGAGTTAACTGAATACATTGAAGCAGAGTAAAATTACAGTGCAGTACTTTTCTCACAGTACTTTCTCACAGTCAATTACTTAATTATGATTAATTACTAAAGGATACTCTATTTGTTGATTTATCTCTAACATTAAAAATTGGTAATACTCTACCATATTTACCAACAATCCATTTCTGAAATAAATAAATTACAAAATGATAAAAACTAAAGATACAAGAATTAAAATCTAGTATATGTACTGGTAAATTCTTAAAAAGATACATATTTCTCAATAATAGTGAAAACCTATCTGAATTAAGATCAAAATCAATTATGATGAACACTTATTTGATTTGTCAAATATCCAATAACAATAATCAGATCAGTAGGATATTAAGAGAAAATGTCATGTTTTATTTCCAATCAGGATAGCGTACATGTACATGTACTTAAATATCTTTGTAGGCTATAGCCATTTATACTGTGGACAATTGAAACAAAGGATGGAATAGGGTTTAACATCACATGGACCGAGACAGTTGTGTATTTTTTTTTTTTTCTACAGATACATGACCGATGTAATGTTTCCGATTACCCTTCTTTTAAAAGTTGTATCAAACTATAATTTGTACCCAGCTTTAAGGGGTTTCATCAGCAAACCAAACATTTGACAGAAATTATATTAGAAAAAAATCTGACCTTTTCACCTGGAATAGCGGTACCAGGAACTTTACCCTTGACATTAAAATCTTCTACGTCCGTTAGATTAGCTAATGGATCATGGAAACTAGTTTTTACTTTCTTTGATTTTGGCACTTCTGGGGTATTTCTTTCCTTCTGTAATCTGAAGATAGAACAAGCCAACAGTGAGGCTGATGTCCCCCGCCAAAATCTCAAAATAAATAGATGACACATATTGATTAATTGCACATTTATCTTTTTCAAAAGTATTGAGCAATTAAACTGATTATCTATACTTAGTCTAAGCATAAAATGTTCACGATCAAACTCGGTCAAGGTTTTGAAGTACCTGGTAGTGAAACTATACACTAAGTTTCATCACTCTCCATCAGAATCAAAATTATCTTGTCCAAAGAATCAACCAGCTTTAGTAGGAAATGTTAATCATTAAACTCAGTCAAGACATTCACCTAAGAAACAACTACCTCAATTAAAAACAGAGTTGTTATGTTACAAAGTCATGACCAATCAAATTGCTCATTATCGAACTTATCAAGGTATTGATGTAATGAAACTATACACCAAGTTTCATCACTCTCACTTAATTAGAACTAAAGTTGTTGTGTTCCAAAGCATCAACCAATCAAATTGCTTATCTCTGCTTACCCTAAGCAGAAAATGCTCACCTTCGAAATTCATCAAGGCACTGACCCAATAAACACCCACACCAAGTTAGAACATTCTAGGTTAATTAGAAGATGAGTTATTGTGTCCCAAAAAGTGTGACGGACAGACAGACAGACCCATTTTAATAGTCCCCTGCTTTCTTCGATAGGCGGGGGACCATTATTATTCATGTGAGATATTGTAGCAGTATTATATTGGCTTTATCTATCAGATAATATTGTACCCTCAAAGCCAACATATTTATATTTGAAATGTGAGGTGGTCCTTCCCTTGAATTCAATCCTAGAGTCAAATATCATCTGCTATGATAATTAAGGTGAGGTATAACCAATCTGATTAAAATATAGATCTATATTTCTTTCCATTTTTTTTTTATAATTTCAATGGCCTACACTACAATAAGACCTGACTGGTTGTAGTGGGAGGTCACACAAAGGGTCAAGCAAGTGACTTTTAAACCTATGACATTAGCAGGGCTGCCGACAACCAGTATCGCAGCGCAATTTGCGATACATATTTTGTCCGTTGCTAATCAAAAATTAAAATCTAACGTTTTTGATTCGCAGTAACTGCGAATCATTAATATGCCTGTCATTTTGGATATTGACACAAAGATTTATCCACATTTATCCGATTAAACAAAAATAATAACACACGATAAAAAGCAGACGAAATTGTTTTCTAACGAAGAAATAAGAAGCCACTGCCAAGAATTGGCTTCAGACATAAGGCCTAACAAAAGTCTACATTCATTCAGAAATGTTCACAGCTACCTGTAGAAGTGCTAAAATTCTAAAAAAATCTTAAGAATGAAATCTAATCATTTGCTATCAATTAAAATTAAAATAATCTTGTTATTTAGGTGTTTTATGTTGATTTGAAACTGAAAAACGGCTAATCAATTTTTAAATTTGCTAATCAACTTTGGCAAAATTGGACTTTTTGATTAGCAGTGCTGCTAATCATCTGTGAAAAATTACCGACAGCCCTGGACATTAGTCATACGATTAACCAGTGAACCCCAGACTGTGTTCCAAGGAGCTATTCGAAAATACAACTTTTATTTTGTTTCGCCGTGAATGTATACCCACACGATTATAAGTCAAACCAACAGATCATTTGATAGGATAATCCCTCACATCATCCAGAACTTTGGTTAATTAACAACTCTTCCAGATCCTTGTGTAGTGAACCCAAGTAAAATGAAATTTTTAACTATTAACAACAAAACCAAATAGAATCTGTGTTTTAATCAGATTGAGATATAATATAAGTGTGCAGTATAAAATGTTGACTGATACGATATGAAATTTAAAGACATTTTGTATCTCTGTAATTCTGCTTTAAAATTGTCAAGCGGGATGCCCGACGAAATGACTTTATATACTTATCTATAAGATTTAGTCTGAAGCTTTAGACAGATTTTGTTCTCAATTTTGGAATAAAAGAAAAACTAAATAGAAATCCTGTTAGATATACTTGCAGTTTTTTGTTTTTTACCTTGTTAGGAAATGCTGTTTAGCCACTTGTAATTGTAGTGTTCTTCCTTTCCATTTGGCTTTGTTGAATATACTAAAACCTAGAAAATAATATATAGGTACAAATACATGCATGTAGACGAGACATAATAGTGTTAGAGAAGTCTTTTTAAAAAAAATCATCATACATGTACTTGTACGACAAGATACGACCATTACTATGTACCACCACACAAACTCAAAGAAGCAGCTTTATGGAGCACAATCAATTTACAACATACATACATGCATAAATTTGGACCTCGATCTCATATAACTAAATTTTGTATTTATTAATATTGCCTATCTTAGCTAAAATTTGTATTTGTTAATACTGCTTATCTTATTTCTCCATAATCATGATCATGTGAACCTAGCTACCTGAAGAAGAATTATATATAAGCTTGCCACTTTAATTTGTAAATGTAGGAATAAACATACAAGAAATTAATTGATAACTATTTTGGGTATACCATTTATACTTACATTTTTGTATAGAAGAATCTTCAGCATCAATATCAATATAAGCAAAAGTGTTGAAAACTTCACCTAAAAATATAGAGTGGTGAATTCACTATAAATTGTTTCTTAGATCAAGCAACATCTACATTTGTACAGAAATCTTTTTATCTATGAATTATTAGGTATATGGGGTTAAACATCCACTTGACAAAAACTAGGTCATTTTGACTAACATATGGTTCAATTTTATTTCAATAATTCACTTGCGCGTAGATGTGTTTAGCAGTGGGAAGAAAACGGAGGACCTGGAAAAAACCCACGAGGTTGGACAGGTGACCCTACTCCTTGTCATGTACAACTGGGGAATTGAAACCACGCCAGTCGTTTTATTGTTCAAAATTTTGTTTTACTGGTCTTTACTACAATAGGATCTGGAAGACTTGTTATATAACCGGCATTCTGGATGATGTGAAGGATTAGCCAATGAAACGGTTTGTTACGGTGAGTTTTGGGAATGAGGTGCACAGAACTGTGGGTAAACCACTAGAAATAGAAATGTCACCGATGCTTGAACAATCAATGTCTGACGTTATAAGGTCAAAAGCTGCTTGTATGACACCGAACGGGACCTTTCACTACAACCGGCCAGATCTTCATGTAGTGTAGGCCATCGAAAGTATAAAAAAAACGAAATTATATTTTAATCAAATTGGTAAAGAGTTAACCTTACTATAGATAATGCTAAATGATGTTTTTTTTATTTCCTCAGACAAATCTGAATTATTAAATATTGCTTTATATTAAGAGTTTTAAGAAGTACATGTCAATTACTATTAAATACTATATTATTATTATTACTCATTTCTATAGTGCACAATTGCCACATAAATCTGCTAATTAATCATTTAAATTACCATCCACGTCTTTCTTGATCTTTACTTCAACATCTTGTACGTTTCCAAAACTTGAAAATTTCTCTTCTAACTCCTTCTTCGTGATGTTTGGAGTCAATCCACCTATATGAATTCTCTTCAGACTGTTCTTTACAGACTCGGACTCAATTTCCGATTCCGACTTCTTCATCTGCAGAATTAAAATTTTAAAGGTACATGTACATGTAGACAGATTGCCAGATCACAAAAATCAACAAACATGAAACCCCTGGTTTTGCTTCATAGTCAGACCTCAAACAAATATGTCATTGATAATTCTGATATTTTTATGGCCATTCAATTAATGAATGATGTTTATAATGTTAAAAGTCCTATCATATACATGTATTTCAAAATAAGCCTCAGATATAGCTTGTTTATTGTATTGTTTTTATTCTTGTCGTGGACGGCCTTATTTTAGGCTGTTCTGTCTACATAACCCTTCTGAACACGCCTGTACCATCTTAAGTTTCACTGAATTTTCTTGGATGAGCTCTGTAAAATAAAAAGTTATTGACAGATTCGGCTGAAATTTGGTGTGAGGATATGGCTAGGCCCCATGAATACCCCCTGAAAAGGCTGTTAAAAAATACGTCTCCACCTATCAAGTTGCCTTTTCGCCGCCATCACACTCTAAATATAGGTCAACGTCCATATTGAGGAATGTCGGGCAAAAACATGACGAAACGAAATTTGGGTAAAAATTAGAATCTTTGAAAAAAATTAGAATCTTCAGTCATTTATTGCTGTTGTAATATTAAAAGGTGGGAAAAGCAATAAATGACTGAAGATTCTAATTTTTTTCAAAGATTCTAATTTTTACCCAAATGTCGTTTCGTCGTGTTTTTGCCCGACATTCCTTAATATGGACGTTGACCTATATTTAGAGTGTCATGGCAGCGAAAAGGCAACTTGATAGGTGGAGACGTATTTTTTAACAACCTGTTGTGTCGCTCGTACTGGATCTAGCGAGGTAAGCGAGGTCTTATTTTCTCACTAAGATGTTCCTTTACATTGTTCAGGTATTCACAGGGACTGACACGCAACCGTTTAGCGGTAAAAAGTTGCCCAGTAAAATTGACTGGGGTGGTCGATTACTTTCGACATTGATTCAATGCTAGCTTCCCTTGATGTAGAGGCGAGTGTAATGAGACCTACGTTCAGAGTTGGACTAGGGAACTGGTAGAGGTACGTTGCTGAAATAGTACCAAAAGTTCCCCAGTTAAATTGAATGGGGGCCAATTCTTTTTCGACAAGGATTCCTGAACGTACAGTGCTAGTGTAATGAACAGTAAATTTAATGAGACGTCCACGTCCACAACTGAACTATATCTATCATCATGTACCGTACCATTTATATTATGGATAATTGGGATAACAAAAATCACTGACTACTTTATATAACCCTTGTAAGTGTGAAACAATAAACTGTTTAGGGCTTAGTTTATACCTTTCTAAATATAAAAACCGACGGTCATTGAACAATTTTCACGTGTTGACAATTTGGTTGAACCGGAAATAATTACCGTCGACCTTACCTCAAGGGAGCATTCCGTTATCTTTATTATTGTGCTGTGCTGAGTACAAATAAAAAACATTAAACTTGGTATTGGCACAAATCTAACTTAGACATTCTGATAGTTTCAAAGATTATTGCAATCCCAAATTATTTTGATACCATTTGAAAAACATTTCTTAATCGGCATGTTTTGTTTAAGAATTACTCCTAGGTTCTAGCAGATTGGAGAAGATTGGTTCTACTTCCAATTTCATTAGACTGTAGCGCTGAAATTAGTTTTTTTGAATCAGCTATGTTTATTGTATAAACCTATATGTGTGTTTTTAAAAGTAAGAATATATCTTAACACTTTTTGGTGAATATTTCCTCAAATTCTACAGAGGGTTTCATACTTTCAGTAGCCCGCCCTAACCATGGACCCTATTAGTCCGGGAGCTAGGTGGGTTTTGTTCAACATGGAAGGTGCGGAAGGTTTGGCATGTTAGTGGTGTATGACTGTGTTAAAAAAACCCAGAAACCCAATTCTTAAGTTGCGCCAGTGGTGGGTGTGGCAGGAGGAGCCACCAATAGTACCCCCCAAAATGGGTTTATTCAACATGGAATGTGCAAGTTCCACGTCAATGGCATTTGATAGGGGAATGTGTCCTGAATTAGGAAATATAACTTAAGAATGGGATTTTTGGTGGAAAGGCCACTTAAGAAGAGGTCACTAATTAGCAATTTTTCGATTTTACTGAAAATGATTTTTCCATAATATATCGTGATCTATTCCAAGTTGCACAAAACTACATGGACATTTTTGATAGTGCTAGGAGCAAAAATATGAGACATAAAATAAATGAAGTTTTAGCTAAAAGTATGACATATTAAAATGAAGACAGTTGGATTAACATGACATATAGATCTATGTTTTAAATGACTCTTAGTATGAAGGAAGTGGGCGGTAATTAATGTATCAGTGTTACTATCAGAGATCAAGAGGAAACATAGCATTGTGGGCATATTGCACTGCTTGTCACTGATTTTTTAAGGTTATTGGCCACATCAGCTGTTCTTAAGTTCATTTACCACCTAAATATTCATTCTTAAGTTAATGGTTGTGAATCCTATGATCAGTCCCTACATTTTACACCTTGTTCCAATGTCGCACCTTTCACGTTAATTAAATTTCTAATTAGGGGTCATTCGGTGCAGACCAGCATTATTCTCTTCTTAAGTACACTGACCACCAGAAATTTCATTCTTAAGTTGATGATAATAATTTCTAATATCATTCCGTACAATTTAGGCTTGGTTTCTCACTCGCACCTTTCATGTTGATTAACATTTTAATTACCGATGGGGTTCGAGTGATATTTTCGTTATTTTTGCGATTATGTCATACTTTTAGCTAAAACTTCATTTATTTTATGTCTCATATTTTGCTCCTAGCACTATCAAAAATGTCCATGTAGTTCAGTTTTTGTGCGATATACTTGGAATAGATCACGAGATAATGGAAAAATTGTTTTCAGTAAAATCGAAAAATTGCTAATTAGTGACCTTTGATCTCTTGTTAAGTGGCCTTTCCACCAAAAATCCCATTCTTAAGTTATATTTCCTAATTCAGGGCACATTCCTCTATCAAATGCCACTGAAGTGGAACTTGCACCTTCCATGTTGAATAAACCCATTTTGGGGGGTACTATTGGTGGCTCCTCCTACTACACCCACCACTGGCGCAACTTAAGAATTGGGTTTCTGGGGTCTCCTAACCCAGCCATACACCAATAGCATGCCAAATCTTCAGCACCTTCCATGTTGAACAAAACCCACCTAGCTCCCGGACTATATAGGATAGGCTTATTTATAAGTTATATAGGCCTATGATTTTTTAATGAACCATCGATTATAATTATAAAGGTCCATGCCCTAATTAAACGAGACCCCATAAATATTGTTCCGTCCGAATGACAATTTGATAATATACCGTTCTTTTTGTCAAATTGTCATTTTGAACTCACATTTGGACACAAAAACAATACAAATTTAAAGTGTAAACAACAATTTGGCATGTAAATTATAAAACAATTGATATAAATTATTTTGATATGATTTGAAATACATATATATATACATCATGCATGCTACCGTATAAGTTATAAGTAGATAACAAACCTCATCTCTCAACCCTCACTGCCTCAGTAGCCTATATCTAAACTTTTTTAGCTATGTTCTTGTAGCTACCATATACGGTGCTGTTCATAATTTAATTAAAGGAGCCAAGTCTTTAACTCAATACCATCCACAGTCTTCGACATTGCAAACACAACTTATTGGTCAATTTAAATCAACATTAATATGAAAAGTTGCGCTTCTAATATCCAGTATTTAAGACAAAATGAAAATTTTAAAATTGACTCGCAAATCGTGTGCCAGAATGCTTTCGAGCGCCTGTTGTATGAAGTGACTCGATGAACAAGGCTAAACATATCCCATGTAGGAGAACACTACTGCCACTGGTGTAGACTGGAATAACTTGCAACCCATTTGTGTCCATTTCTAGGTGCCAAAGAATAGCGATTTAGCTCCTTTAAAGTCATTTTTTAATAACAAAATGTAAAGGTTCATAATGGTCCTTCCTAATATCCTACTTGGGCAAAATGCTATCATTGCTATGAATATTGGGAATTTTGCAGTACGGGTATAGCTAAGCAAATAACTTCTTGACATTTATTGAAATGTTAACTTTTATAAATTGTTTTTATTATTGCAGGATGAAACAGAGAATGGAGAAAGAGATTCCTGAACAGTTATCAGGAGCTGATGTCATGGATATGGTGATTAATTTACTGCTCTTATATGACAGTTTGACTTTGAACTTTAATGCTTGAAGTTCCCAGCATAAATCAATCGGAAAGTAATAAAATTGAATGGAGTTTAAAGTTGAAGGCTCATCAATACATTACATGGTTTTGTGACTAACATCCATTTAATTAATTTAACTTGTATTAATAAAAACATGGTACTTCATCTGATACCGGATCAAAAGTGGGGCATAGTGGGGCACAGTCCCCAGATCCCCATGACCACCCACATTAGAATTCAATATTGATCCATTTCAGTCAATTTTGATTTTAATTTTATGCCCTAAAAATACGGGATCCTAATATAAATTATTTAAGACGTAATGAACATTTTATAATCACTATACCAGTTGTGTATTCTATGGTGTCAGACACCATTTTTAATGAAGAAAGAAAAACATATCCTACAAGTCAATGCAAAGTAATTAGTAATGGCTGATTCACAAACGATAAAATAATTATCAAAAAGTGTGTAGAATGGACTAAGTAGTCATTAACGACTCTGTTCAACTGTATAACCAAACATAATTGATTAAAAATTATCATTTTTCTAAAAATTGAATATAAATCACTTTATATACATTCAATTTATATTGATATCTGCTTTTTTAGACGCAATTTTGTCTTTTTTAAGGTTCCAATGAATAGAGCCGTATGTCCTTTAACTATGGATACAGGCTCGCTAGTCTGGAGGTCGGGTGTTTGATCCCTGCATTGGTCGAGAAAGTTCATCCAGATTTTCCAGAGTGGTTCCTCCTTGTCAGTGATGCAGGACGGAGGGCCTGACAAGGACATCTGTCTAGTCATTCGGATGATACGAAAAACTGAGGTCCCGTGTACACATTGGCATGCACGTAAAAGATCCCTTGACAGTTGGAATTCAATATAAGAGTAGGCAATAGTGCCGCTGTCCGAGCAAAATTTCCCTCATTTCATTTCCTTTAACTATGGGTATCTATGCATACAAATTAGTATCGTGTATCTACGTACACTGTTGAACAATTGGACGATATATCATTGGAAAAGTCAGGAATTTGACTTTGATTTAATATTTAAATACTTTTAGTTCAACCTCATTGTAAATTGTACTGTTTGTTATTAAACCTGTAAGAATAAGAATTGTGATAAGAGATTGCAGCCAAATGAAATATTTAAGTACATTTATGAGGAAGTCACTTCACATTCAAAGGACAGATAAATTTCTTAACTAAAAATTTTGAAACATTTTGGAATTATTCATTGTACAGTAGGCCTACCGTAATCAACTAATGCAAATGCTATGGAGATCCACAATGTAGAGTTGACACCATTTTTTGCTGTACAAACGCTATTGACTGTAAACGCAATGTTTGTTTATATTCAGTTGGAAATTTCCAGTGATGTTCTTGAAAATGTAGAATTTACAGAAAACAAAACTAGTGTTATTTCTAATAGTAAGTTCAAAGTATATTTGTGAATAGTTCATTTGATATAAATACTGTTTTGCAGCTGTGTAAATCATTTCTTATTAGAAATCTAAAGAAAGTCTGCTTTTAAGAAAGAAAAAAATCTTTTGGGGAAGCATATACATATATTATGTAATCTATGTATTATAATTAATTTTCTATTTAGATAAATCATATACCTTAAGAAAACATGTAATGGATGGGTCATTCGAGATATATCTATTCAACTTAGAATTTGAAACTAGGCAGAAGAAATCAAAGGTGCATGTTCCGTAATGTTATTATTTGTTCCAGTATTGTTATCAATATTTTGTCACTAAAATGTTGAAAGTTTTTACCATGCTAAAAGGTTATGTATTACTGGTTCATGTACTTAAAATATAGCAGTGTGACATTCGACCCTTGGTTTGTGCAAGATTCTGGGCTAATTGAGTTTATTTATTAATTAGTGTAATTTCATTCAGCACAGTTTATGGGGTTTTTTTTCCAGTTTAATTTCTAAAGTATCCTAAAATATTTAACTTTCATTGTGCCTGCTAAGAATGTTGACATAACCTGTACCCCATATCGGCAGAACATTATGGGTTTTGTATTCTTTTCCACCATTTTATCGTGTGTACAAAATTAATTTGATGTATAGACTAGTGTAAATGTAGATAGATGTATTGATGATTGTCTATATTTTTGTAGTCAGATGGTTGTAATCTAGAAGTTGTTGATTTAAAGTTGAATGTGGAAGATCATGTCTATGAAGATTTATCACAAAGCTTACAACTGTAACTAATATATATTATAGATTATATATTTAAAGATAACTTCCAATTTTGGTCTTTTACTTAATAAACTCCACTCTGTCATCAAGTTTTTGAAAGACCGCTCATTGTCAAGGTGCACCATAACGAGTCTGCTGGCGAGATTAGCGGGCGATGTCTTTTTTTTACACACCTGCATTAAAAACTAAAAATAAAAGTAGTTAACAAAAAAATGGTGATGAAAATTGCAAACATCATTAGATATAAATCCTGAAAATCCCCCCCTCCCACACACACACACAATAAAAAACTAGGAGGCATCTTACCACCTTTTTGTTTTGTTTTTTTTATTAAAATCACAAAATATATTTTCAGAATAGTTAATCATCACAATATCTCGGGTTTCTTCATACTCATGTCAACTTATGCATCATGGAGAATGAAGCTAGAAAAAATATTGAATTCTTTTGAAGAGAAATATCCTGGAATAGCAGAACTCAAGTCGTTAAAAGATAATAAATGCATTCTACAAATCCATGTAGATGGTCATAGGTAAGATTAATATACTCAAAGTCTAACATATGTTTATTCCAATAATTGTATAATTATGGTTTATAAAACATTTTTCATAGATTGCATATTTATTTATTTTTTCATTGTGTATAATTATTTACTATGTAATATGAATATGTTTTTTACCAGTTATTGTATATTTATATGTGATATGTATTTTCCAGTGATTGTATATCTGTTATATAATATAAATGTTGTTTTTTATCCAATGAATGTATATTTATTTATTATATGATATAAATGTTTTTTTTTCAGTGATTTTATATTTATTATATGGTATTCTTGGTTGGTGGATGAAAGTTTTCACACTACACCTGAGGTTAAGCTTGGTGTAAAAGTTTCAGAATCTTGTAAGTTATGCTGACAGACTCATTCATGACAGTTAAGCAAATTTTGGAACAAAATTAACTATACAATCGCAGAGTTATAAATTTACTTCATTAGCATTTAGTAATTGAACTGGAAATACTCATGGGATATAATTACTTTTGATTTATTACTAAACAACATTTCAGGTATGATTCTCTAGTCGTTATCAAGCAAATCATAAACATTGTGCCTGTCAATAATATTACAAAGTGACCTCAGGTTCTTTAGGTTAATAATTTTCCTCTTTCCCAATTTCCAACAAAAAACACATCTAATTCATTTTTTTCAATATGTATATTATTATAATCTATTTACATATATAGTTTTAGAGGTCTTTCACAAAAATTTCAATGATTTAATGTTACAGTTCATTTTGGCATCTAAAACAATGTCCCTTTAATGTTATCAATCCACCAGGCTAGCATTCAGATTAATTCTCGGTCCGAAATCTGCCATCCAAATCGCGTAGTTTTTTAAGCTATTTAAAATTGAACACAAATCCTCAAAAAAATCACAAAACTTCACATATCCACAATTTCCAGGATTCACCTAGACTCATACTTTGTAATAAAATTCACCAAGATTTAAATATACTTCACCAAGACTTAAATATAATCCACCAAGACTACAACATAGACGTATGATTCACAAAGTTCACCAAGATTAGACTACTAATATGATTCACAAGGCTACCTCTGGATTGAAATATTGGTCACCTAGACATTACCAGTTTTAAAAATGTTATTTCATCAATGAACAGATTCATCACATTTAAATACACCTTATTTATTTACTAGGTTTTAATCATCTAAAGCCAGTCATTGGTGTTACTGTAGATATTGAAAACAGTCATGTCTGGTCCTTTAAAATCTCTCTGATCCATGTAGAGAAACAGCCATGCCTAACCTGTAACTTATCTCAAACCTCTCTGCCAAATTTTTCAATTCGTACACCAGTATCTTTAAGTGACTCAAACATCCAATCAAAACTATGCACCATGCACATGCATCACAACCCAGACCTTGTTAAAGCATACCCACAATCATTCTGTAAAAAACAACGCATATACATTGAAAATAATTAAACTTTATTAAAGGCTCAATACCACTCTTGTTGTAACTGAATAATATGTCCCAATCTTTATTCTGGTCAACAAATTGTACTATTTTAGAATATTTCAATTAATTGATGATACAAATTTCATCGTAACACACCTTATTTAAAAATTTTGAAAAATTCAACATAATGGTTTGAAACGTCTAACGTAAACCTTTTCAAATGAAACTTCGATTTAAAAATATTTTCGAACCCTCTGGACAAGTAAAATAGGATGTAATGGATAATTTACATAACAGGTAGGACACTTAAACATCTAGTACTTAGATAGAGATATTATTTATTTTCTGGAGCTTTCAAGCCAGCAAGAGTGTTACTGTCCCTTTAACCAAAACCTGTACAGCAGTTGATAAATGTTTTTAAAAGAAATAAATATTCCTTTTAACCATGCACCAAATTAATTAGCTACCCTAAATGACCGAAATCGACCATGTCACAATTATACATACCCAATGAACACACCAGTTGTGGAAAATACGGATCGTAAAAAATTCATTTAATATATGTTAGTGTTTAAATTTTCTGTAAGTATTCAGTTTACAACACAAGTCTCATTGAGATCATATTTATAAATCCGGACTTGATGCCAGTATCGACATACTTTACCATTCAAAATTACACCTTTTGTATTGTAAATATTTACACAATTTTTTTTCCAGTATTAAAAGAAGATGATTCGTCATGTATACCGACATCACCAAGGATTTTCAGAAAGATGCTGGAAAAATATGATATAGAACATTCCATAAATACTCTTATAAATATGATTAATCCTAAATGATTTTGATAAATGTGTTTTGTGTATCCGTTGCCCACAGTATGAGTAAAATTTGTTCAAATAATTTGTATGGGGTTATTCATTGCCAATTCTTATCTATCAGAAGTGATGTATACCGTTATTAGCCCTATCAGTAATGATAATTGTTTCAGATGGCATGCTAACATGCACATACTGGCTCTACTGAAGTTTATATTAAAGATACATTATTGAAGATTTAGATAAAAAGCTGACCGTTCTGGTTATAATAGTTCAAAAAGAGATAATGCAAAGTGAATGTATGGCAAATTTCATTCAAATTACTTTATTCTGAGCGAAGATATTAGCCTTTGTCCTTTGAAGGTTTGACAAGATGTGTTCACTGATTGTAACCACCGTACTAGTTGTTCCTCGCTTCACCATTTTTAGATTAAATCATTAAATGGCTAAATCGTTCTAATCTACTTAATATCGGACCTATCTGATGGCGCAGTAATCCGTACCAAGAACCGTTCTCAGGCCTGATAGAGTATACACTATGACAATAAGTGCTCTTAATTTTGATATGATTTATTGCAAGTCAAATATTCCAAGGAAGTTTCAAAAACATCTAAAAAAAAACTTTGAGGGAGCCACGGTGGCTCAGTGAGTTAGATGCTGTTTCACTATCCAGGTGTCGGGTACGCTGAGAAAGTTTCTTTGATATGATTTATTACAAGTCAAAGTCCGGACTTGAACCCGATTGAACATCTTTGGGATGAAATTCAGAGGAGACTTAATAACGTCGTACCGAGACCAAACACACCCGATGGATTGCGCCAGGCTTTTCCGAGAGTGTGGTTCCAGGTAGGTGCCAATGGCGTTCATCAATATCTAACTGCTTTACCTGTAAAATATAGACGCTATTTTGCTAGATTTAGATGTCGAAGTCATAGACAACCGATCGAGTCTGGAGTGTTTTTACAAATCCCCAGAGAAAATAGAATATGTGACCTTTGTTCATCTAACGACATAGGCGATGAATTTCATGCAGTTTTTAAGTGTCCATTTTTCCAGAATGTCCGAATAAAATATTTAAAACCTTATTATCACCAATATCCTTCCTATGTAAAGATGTACGAACTTTTTAATTGTCATGGTGCCGAGTTAGAAAACCTATGTAAATTGATATCGATTATTGTAAATAAGTTTAAATAAACTGTCCAATGTAGAAAACTTATATAAATATACAAATAAGTTTAAATGAACTGTCTAATGTAGATAACTTATATATGAATGTAGCGTATTGTCCAAAATCTGCCATTTAGCTGGAAAACCAAGCTAAATATAATTACACATAATAAAACAGTACCCTTTGAGAATAATAGAAGTAACGTATTCCCTGCACACAATACTAAAGATAATCATCTACTGGCAATAATAAATGAATGTTAAATAAATGATTTTGAAATCGTATGATATAATTATATGTACATATGATGTAATGATAAACCCTATAATGTAATAATACTGTATGATGTACCTGTTATCTGTTATGTAATATTTTTTGAATAAATAATAATTTAAAAAAAAAAAAAAAAAAAAATCTGCCATTGATTGTATAAACTATTTTTGTAAATTGTATTCATGTCTCATTGTGAGATGTGAATAAAGATTATTATTATTATTATACCTGCTTGTAACCGACCGATAGCCTTGTTACGTTGGTCTTCGTTCAGATGTGGCATCACTTGGCTCGTTGCGTGTTTACACGTGCAACTGAATTTGAAACCGAGAACCCCGGGATTTTAAAGGCCTTATATTTGGGTTTTATGCGAAAGCGTGCAAAGTTGTTAAACTCTGTGTCTTGGTGCAATCAAGTGAAAACAAATTTTGGCAAAAAGTATGAGAAAGGGAGAGAGAGAGAGAGAGATGGGGTTTACCGTCCTCTCGACACAAACTAGGTCATTTCGGGACAAACACATGGTTCGATTTTATTTCAACCATTCGCTTGCGCGTATGGGTCTTTAGCAGTGGGGGGAAACCGGAGACCCAGAGAAAACCCACGAGGTTGGACAAACGACCCTAATCCTTGTCACGTACAACCGTGGAATTGAAACCACGGCAGTTGACTCAATGACAGACCTTGTGATGCAGCGCGCACGTGCTACCCCCTCCCCCCCCCCCAAAAAAAAGTATGACCATTCACAATTAGTGACCCTACGTTTAAAACCAAGGTAAGATTTATGGGAACAACGATCCCGCTCAAATAAAAAATGGGTTGGTTTTTTTTTTAAGAGTATACAATGCTTGAGCTCTGGGCGATTCTTGAGACAGTCATGTAGAGTTGAGAGGGCAAACACCATGTAGGCATTCGTTAGGAGAGACCGTTGAGGTTCAAGTGACAACATCTAGGTTGAGATAGAGATAATGACTTTATTTTTAATCTATGCTTGTAATATAATCTTATCCAGCTTGATATAAAGCGTACTTTTGTCCCCGTCATCTTGTTTGTTAACCATACATTATAGAAGAGCTAAATCTGCCTAGCGCAGGTCTTTCTTGTGCATTTGTAGTGAATTCTTTCATGAAATTATCCACATATGCTCGTTAATAACTTGTCAATTGTTATGCACATTTGTTAAAAGTTGTTGCAGTGAATAAACTTTGAATTTGGCATTGCGTTTTTAATGGCTTTGAGTGTATAACCAGAGACGATACTAAAGGATCAAGGGCTGTTCCAAGATATGTAGGTAGTAAGAAAATATTGCAAGGGACATTCGCCGGATGTGGCGACCGGTTTTGATGGTATGGCTGATCTCCATGTCTGATAGACGACTTATGGTACTACATTACGAAGCTCTTCTGAAAACTTTGTGAAAATCGTTTGAGATCTATACTTTCTGAAAGTATAAATACAGTAATATATTTTGATCACCATAAACTCTGGAAACATTCAATGGGGGGGGGGGGGGTACGATAATTGGTCAGAAGTTAACTCTGCGGAGTGAGTTTCTGTGTCAAGCTTAAAAAATACTGCACATTTAAGTACAAATTCATCAGATATGCACATGGTTATCAATGTTTGATTAGGTGCTAATTTCTTACTTATACATGTACTGTAAAACAAGAAATTAAATGTAACCTATTGCCATTAATTTAAATGCAGATTTTTCTTCTTAATAATATAACCTCCAAAATAATTATCCCATAAATCTGTGGTATATGAAACACATCGTTTTCTTCCCTTACAATATTAAAATTTCAAAGAAACCATGTGAAGTATACAAAGAATTCAAGAAAATCAAGAAAACGGCATTTAAAATTACAAAAGTATCACTTTTATTATAATGCAAGTTGTACATTTCCCCAAAAGGCAAATACATGAGTTGCTTTGTACAAGAATATATATATATACATATATCACAAAGATGCATTTATACAATGATGCATTTGAATATAAATTTAAAGATGCATTATCTAATTAATTATCTTCAAAATAAGACAAACCAATGATAACAAAGGAACAATGGAAATGATATTAAATGAAAATAGCACTCAACTTAATATTTACAGTTTTGTGTACAAATTTTTTCAACTGCTTGATATACAAAAGATAAAAAATAAAAAAAATATAATAAATATTGATAACATCATTCAGAATAATCAAGTTCCAGAAATCAAAATCTAAATTACTTTTTATTTGCTATTTTGTGATAAATTCTTGGTGAAAGGAATCTGTAAGAACCATTATTTATCTAACTGATATACAAAACAATGATAACATGATCTACTTCTACTTTCTATCAAAAAGAAACACAATTAATTTTACACAAATTGAATCAATTGGTTGTTTGGTGTGAGGAAAAATACTGGTATTAGTGGTATACATAATTATTTACAAGACAGCACCAGAAGAATTTCCTAAAACCAATTTAAATTTTTAATAGTTGCATCTAAGCTAGCAATCAATTATAACAAGGTCTCCTTATCCCAAAACTACTTTGAGAACTAGAACTAAAGGCCAAGATTCTATGACACATACAATGGTGTGAATAACAGGAATATATCTGTGACCTTTAAAATTTAGCAGTGGGAGGAAACTCGAGGACCTGGAGAAAACCCACGAGGTTGGACAGGCGACCCTACTCCTTGTCATGTACAACCGGAGAATCGAAACTATGCCAGTTGACTGAATGACAGACCCTACGATGCAGCGCACACATGCTAACCATTCGGCCATCCAACCCCTCCTTTAAAACTATGCCATGACTGATCCATATATCGCGGTGCAGCAAACCATTTGCAAAATGGAATAAAGAAGCTCAGTTACTTCAAAAATAGCACCCTTAGTATAAAGGAAACAATGTATTTTACTCTTAATTCATTTGTTTAGTCCTGCAACACATTCATAATTCTGAGGTCTATTCACCAAACAATTACCAAGATATGTTACTGATAAAAAAAGGACTCAAGGGTATGGTAGATTTGTATTGTTGAAAACAAGGTGATGAATATAGTATACTGCCCTGTCTGACTCACTCAGTCAGAACATTGTAAAAGATAATATGATATTCAAAAAACAAGCACATGCTATATAATTTTTTGTCAAGATCTATTGTGATGTTTTATCAAGAAAACTACAAAAATTGTCTTCTATCTATACATAATATTAACACAGAAAAATCTTGCGAAGTGACCACCTTAAAAATATCACAGTTAATCTTGAAAATTATTGTGTCGAGAGATGTACATTTTTGAAGTCCAACATATGTCACAAGATTTGGTACAGTTGACTAAACTGTATTCAAAATCAAACATTGGTGAAAATAATACCAGCAAGATAACCAAACTAAATTAAATTCTAGTAGTTTCACTTTCAACCATCTTTCTTCAGCTTATGTACCAGTGGCCAGTATTTAAATTTAGATTTTTCATATAAAATATTGTATGTGACCATCTGGTGCCCCTGAGAACAATCTTGATAGGTACATAAGTTTACAGTCATAACATTACTTTTAAATAGTCACCAAGAAGACTACACAGTGTTTGAATCAATCTCTGGATTTTATTTGTACTTTATTTACAAAAACCATGGGAGTATTAATACATGTAGTATTATGATTCCTAAACTTTATCACTTTTGCTTTATTCTTACAATAGTACACCCTAAACAGTCCAACATCTTGAAATTAATACTTTTCAATTCTATTTGATACTATTTGATTGAAATGATCAATTCAATCGTACTAGTAAATAATCCAGAACAACAACTTTAACTATTTTGATTACCGAAAAAGATGGTTGAACCACTATTATTAATGGATTGTAAGAACGTAGATTAGTTCTTATAATCTGAAGACAAATATACGGTGTTCCTACTAAAAAAGATGTTCTCGGAGTTAAAACTTTGTTAATCACTCTTATCTCGAGCACGAGTGAAACTAAATGGATATTTTTTATTCTTATTTCGCGGTCGGAACTTCCATTTACTATCTTGTTGATCAATTTGTTGGCTTGATTCACCAGAGTAAATAGCCACCAAGTTCTGTTTGCATTTTCCCTTAGGAAAGTTCTGAACATCTTTTACAGACAGGTCTTTCTCTACACGAATCATTGTTATACTTTTAGTCTGTTCAGGTTTTTTTTCTGGGATAGGAACCTCTTTTAAATGCTGATGTGAATGTCTACGATAGTTGGAAGATCTCCGTACGACTGCACGTAAAGGGGATTTTTGTTTGTTATCTTGACTACATGAACTACAAGTAGAACTTGGACCATGATGACATTTAGAATCATTTGATTTGTGTCTTTTAACAATATCATGATTGTCATTATCACAACACAATTTGCGGTGAAGACGTTCCAGACGACGTTTGCTTCTTCGAATCGGACTCAAAGAATCAGATTCAGCCATGTCACAAGAAGATTCTGGTGTTGTAGAATGTAATTTGGATTCAGGACTCGTATCACATGAGCTCTGAATATCACGTTCGCCACTGTCCCTTTTTATTCGTTTATTTGGAATTACTACTACAGATTGAAACTGTTCACTTTCAGTTTGAGACCTTATAGGTCTAGCTTGTCCATCATCAGAATTGCTGATTTTATTAACTTTTCTTTTCAGAATGTCTTCTTCACGTTTAAGAGGTGCAGGTCTCTTTATACCTTGGTTTTTTTGACTAGTACTTTTATTTTTCATAACACAAGCAACAGACTTCACAGAATCCTTAGATATGTGGGGAAGTACAGTTTTCTTTTGAGGTGATATGCTCTTTGTGGGACTAGTTCGTCTGTATTTTGATGGTGTAACACGTCTTGATCTTTGTCTTTCACTTACGCTTGGTGTTCTAGAAGAGGAGCGTGTTAGGCATTTCCTGGTTTGTGTTTGTGCTTGCACTTTTTGATTTTTTTGAGTTACAGCAACTTTTTCTATCTTTTGTTCTGCTGTTAACTTTTCTGTCGTTGGAGGTACCTCTAGCTTTTCTGTCTTTTCTGACACTGCTATCTTTTCTGTCTTTTGATTAACAGTTACCATTTCTGTCTTTGGAGGTATGGTTACCTTTTCTGCCTTTTGAGATACAGTTCCTATAATTTGACACACTGTTGCTTTTTCTGTTTGAGAAACTGTATCATTTTCCATTTCTTTTTCAGTCTTCTGATTCTTGATAACTTTTATTGCCTTTTGTGGTGTAGTAACTATTCCTGTTTTCAGTGATACAGTAGTGGGTTTTGTATCTGTCATGGCAGCAGGAACATAATTTAATGTTGGTACTGAAGAGCAGGAGACTTTCAAAGGAGTAGGCACAACTGTAAAGTCACCAGTTGAGATCTGTGTAGTTTTGTGCTGTGAAATAGGGTTCTTGGAAACCAAAGGTGTAATCTGCTTTCTCTTGCTACTGCTGCTAACATTTTCAAATTTCAATTCTTGAGGTAGACAAGAAGCAATGGTTGTTCTACTGACAGGTTGAATGACTTGAGTGGTGTGTAATGGTTTGATATTCTTTAATGCTGAAATTTTAGATTGTTCATCATCCGATTCATCCCATGTAAATGGAGTGCCAACAGCTTTACTTCTTAATGCCTGACACGATCGTTCATTTTTTTCTTTTCTTTTTTCATCTTCATCACTATCCAGGTCCCAACTAAAGGATTCTGGTTTAATTTGTTCCCTAAGAGAATGAATCAGTCCAGAGCGTTTTCCAACTTCTGGTGATGTATCCCCAGATGATGATGCCATAGCTGCTGCATCTCCTTTGGCTCTATCTTTGTTTCCACCTTCAGATTCAGTGGTTGTTGCATTTTTCATTGGTAGTTGACTCTGACAATTTGTTGATACACTTGGTCGAGTGGTGACCAAAGCAGACGGTTTATTTTCTGGTGATACTGATTCCTGAATGGCTGATATTTTAGTCATTGGCTCCCCTGCTGCATGTTCAATCTTGGACCCAGGATGGTTAAATTGTGTCTTCCTAATAGGTATTTCATTGATTCCTGAATCAGATAATGAACTTTCAGATGAACTCACAGATTCTTTAATTGTTAACATTTTACTTTGAGTTAAACTATTAGTTCCTGGTTTTGATTTTAACATTGGAGATGCAGAATCATCTGAGTCAGGCAATATATCTTCCGATGAAGACGTCTCTGCTGGTGTTGTTATCTTGACTGTAGATTTCTTCTTAACTTCCAATTCAACTTTATTTCCACTATGTTTTGAAGATTCCAGATGTAGTCCTGTACTTTGCTCACTTTCAGAAAATTCTGATTCAGATGAGGTATCTTTAGACAAAGAAGTTGAAGCTGAATATTGTTCCCCACTTATAGAATTGACACTAGAATTCAAAACTGTTTGTGAATTGTAAGTTATAGATGTTTTGTTGGTTAACTGGGGAGAAGTAGTACTCACTTCATCAGTGTTCAAGATTTGATTAACCAAAGGTTTACTTTGTTGTTCTGGGTTGTCAACCTTGTTAGATTCAGATTCCTTTGATGTGCATGGTTCCTCCAGAGATATTTCCGTAACATTTCTTTCAAAAATATTATCTTTGTTATTACAGCATAATGGTTCAGAGATAGTACTGGCGATTTCTTCTACATCTGTTTCATTTGCTTCACTTCCTAATTCACTATCAGAATAATCCACAAGTTTTAATGCTGAGGGCAGTGGAGATGATTTGACCTCTGTACATGATGATAATACTTCTATACTGTGTGATACACTATTAACAAATAATTCCTTCTGTTGGTTTCTGCTTTCAGTGGATGTTAAGATAGGTTTTTCTTTATCTGAAGAATCATTTTGAGAACTTTCGAAGACTCCTGGACCATCTTTCTGGGCATTACTGATATCTGATTCCTTCCTGTAAATTACCTTACCGTGATTAACTGATAATGTAACATCTTCTACAACATGCACAGATTTGCTGGACTCGTTAGGTACAGCATTAAATAATGGTTGATCACATACATCTATTATCTCAGCAGTTAATTTATTAGTTTTAGAGCAGAGTTCTGACTGATCATCTTTGATGCCTTCCATGGGTATTGTATCTGAATTAGAAGTTTTCCGATCTTCTACATTAATTTTTTCAGAATTTAATACTGGCTGGTCAACTTGCAAGCTTTTGGTGATCCCTGTGATTACTTTCTGATCTACCATTGATAGGTTATCAGCTTTCGGGACACATATGGTACTGGTATCAAGTTTTGATTGGTAATCTTCATCATCACAATTAGTTCTCATCTCATCAGTTTTAGAATTAGCTGACTGATTAGTTGTGAGAACGTCTTTTGCGGTCAGATTATTAGAATTAACTCCATCTTCTTTGGTCATTGTTTCATCTACACCTATTCTTTTAGTTATTGCCTTAGAATCTTTTTGATCATTTACAATGATTGCTATATTCATCCCTACAGATACTTCAGAATTAAGTCCTGTCTGATTAATATCACAGTTTTTCATGGTCATCAGATCACATTCTTGATCCTCTACACAGATGTTAGTCTGGGACTGACTATCAGCTTTGGAATGATGTATCTGACTATCTACATCAGTGGCTTTAACTAGAGGAGATACACAGATTTCTTCGGTTATCACCTTCTTTGCTTCCACAGTGGTTTCTGTCTGGTCTGCATTCATTTTTTCCGTCGTTGTTGCCTTATCATGTTGAATAATGCTTTCAGTTGACATAGAATCATGTTTATTATCAAGTAAACTTTTATTATCTAGATTGATGCTTTTAGGGGTTCCAATATGAACATCATCTTTAAATTCTGTCTTATAGCGATTGCAATTAAGTACTGATAGGTTATCTTCAGACTCAATGTTAATTATTGATGGATCACCTAAATTAGTGTTTTCTGTCATCATAGTTTCAAATTTGGAATTAATCAATGTTTGTTCATCTATATTGGTGCTATCCACTGCCCGTAGTTTATCTGAAACATCAGATTTTGTCTTGTCATCTACACTGTTACCAGCCACTTCCAGAGACATGTCTGTGTCTTTAATTGATCTTCGATCATCCTTGGACAAACTTTCAGAAGTTGTCTTTATTAATTTCTCATCCTCCCTGGGAATAGTTTCAGCTAATAATATCTTATTGGTACATACAGATGTCGTTTCACAAGGAATGGTTCTAACTGATGCATCAAGTAATAGTTGGTTATCTACATTAATTTCATTTGAATTCCCACTCTTGGCTGTAGCACTGAGTATTTTTGGATCATCTACATTAGTAATTTTTGTGGTTGTTATTTTATCAAATTGGGCATTGGTTGATGGGTCGCCTAAACAGTTTATAGTTTCCTCTGGTTCAGAAAATTCATCATCATTAAAAGAATCAAAGTTAGAAGTTGTTGCAGATGTAAGACGAATACCATGGGAAATAAAATGACTTGAGTCAGAAACTGTTGCTTTTGGTATCAAAGTCGATTTTAGCTCCCTATCTTCAATACAATTTGATGCGTCTGCAGCTTGTTCTATACTAACATCATCAGTTACAGCAACACTAGCACCTGTATCATGTACTTGATCTTTACACCCCTCTTCCCACCCTTCTCGAGATGTTGCAGAACTCTGTTTTATTTCTTGCTTGCAGTTGAATTCACTTGTTGTGGGAAGATTATGATCTACGGATACTTTATCTTTTTTAGATACATGTAAGTACTTTGCTTTTAATCCACACACCTCAATATCTTTAATAAGGTTATTGGCTTCAGATAAATTAGACTCCATTGACCCGGCTATATATTTTCCATTTGAAGAATTTACTTCTGTCGGTATTTCATCAATCTTTTCATGATTTGTTTCTGTCCTTCGAAATATATCCCCACAATCAACATTTCTGACACTCAAACATGTTTTATGAAGTACATCCTCAGGTAGTTTTCTTTCAATCATTTTATTGGCATTTGCAGCATTTATTTCATCTTTAGGTAGGACATGTCTTGCTTCAGGAATAATATTTTCTGGCTTCATCTCCGCTACAGGTATAATCACACTGGATACATTGTCAAAATTAATGCATGCAATAACTTCACCTGAATCACTAATCTTTGACATACTTTGAGACTTGCCACTGGATTCATTTGACAAGATAAAAGGATGGCCTTCATTACTGCATAAATCTTTGTTATCTGTGATGTTTTTTGCTTTATTAGGAGAAGACTTTAACTTGACGGAATCACTTATAACAGTTATTGTAGCTCCTTCCACTACCTCTTTCACATCATTTTGTATGATTTCAAAATTAGCGGCTGTCACATGTGTTGATTCAATGATTTCAGGGTCTAGACATATTTCTGCTTCAGGACCTTCGTTATTTTTTTCAATAATTATAATATCAGATATAGCTTGCTCCTGTTCTCCATCAGCATCTTGGGAGGAGCTGGCTTTCATCAAAACACACTCTGTTAATGATCCACCTACAATGACATGATCATTGTTGTTGCTATCTTCATCATCATCATCATCATCATCACCATCATCATCAATGATTATGACATCTTTAGAGGATGTCATATTAACTTGGGAAATGTCCGCAGAACAGGTTATTTCTTTTTCATATTTTCCTTCAAGTGATGTTTTCTGGGTTCTGTCAAATTTTATTTGAGTTGACATATCAGTAGCATTGATTTCTTGTTTCGTAGTATTTTTACTGCCTGCTACACCTTCGTTTGCATTGTTGTGCATCTTCAAATGTGTTTCTTCTTTTTCATTTCTATGTGATAAGGGTGGGATAACTTTTAATGTCTCTGTTTGTAAAAAGCTAGATATCAGCTGAGATGGGGAAGTTTCATCCATCAGAAGAACTTCAAATTCAGCTTTATTAGTTTTTGGTTTAGGCCTTCCAAGTTCTGAAGTAATCAGTCTTTTGTCACCCTTTTGTTGTGTTTGGCACTCAGATGATTCATTCATTACTGACTGCTTTCTTTCATCTGCTTCAATTGATCTTACTGGGTCCTTCTGAAGAGTGATTACTTCTTTAATTTCTTTTTGGTCATTAACAAAAAGAGAAGTAGAACATTGGGATACAGCTCCAGCTCCACTTTCATTAGAATCTGCTTCAAACTGCTTTACATTGACTGTGTTTTGAGGTGATCCAGGAAGTTTCTTTAAAACTACTCTTAATTCAACATTTTCTAGTAAATGGCTATGCTGTAATAACAATTCACTGTCAGACATTCTGCGTGACTGCTTTACTTTTGAAGAATTAATTGTTGTCTTGGTTAGCATATCTTGAATCGTTGGTCCTTCAACAGAATGACGAGTTCTACTTATTTGCTTTGGAATAGTTGATTTATTTTTTGGATGCTTGAAGTAAGATCTTCTATATTGCATAATAGATAAGGGCCTCTCTTGTATTTCAACAGGGGGTTCACAAGCTCCACTTCGATCACCAAGAAAGGACAGATATGAAGTCAAAAATGAGGAACCCTTAACTTCCTTCTTGGTATCTTCTGAGTCTGGACTAAAACTAGTTTGGTTTTGTTGAGAATCTTGCAATTGAGTAGATTCCTGTGTATTTTGAGAGTTTTGTGTATTTTGAGAGTCTTGTGTCTCTTCAGAATCATCAAATTGTTGAGAATCTTGTGTTTCCGATTGATGGGAATCTTCTGACTGCTGAGAATCTTGTGTTTCTGACCGCTGAGAATCTTGTGTTTCTGATTGCTGAGAATCTTGTGTTTCTGATTGCTGAGAATCTTGTGTTTCTGATTGCTGAGAATCTTGTGTTTCTGATGGTTGAGAATCTTGGTCTGAATGTTCTTGTGTTGGATCATAATCTTGATCTGACCCCTCTTGTGTACCCGTTTCACTATCTGTCACTTTTTCAGCTTCAAGGTCAGTTAGTGTTACTTCATCATTGCTGTCCTGGCTAATTTCTGTTTCTGTATCACCATCTTTCTCATATATATCTTTCTGAGATGAGTCATCATCTGTGGTTTCTTTTAAATTCTTAACTAAAGATGCAGATCTCTGGGACCTTGTTCTGCGCTTTGCATTTTCTAATGGAACTGGACTACAACTCCTTGAATGACTACTAGATGATGCATCAGTATTGAAATCTGCCAATGTATTCAATATGTCAAATCCATTTGCATTGTTTTTTATCTTGTTCAGGGCTTGTTGGTGAGCAACTCTAACACCAGTTCTTCTTGTACCCATTCTATTTAGCTTTTCATTTTGTTTGTCTGACTCCTTGCTTGGTCTACCCCTTGTCTGCAAACTACTCTTCTCCTTTCCTGAATTTTTAGGTAGATACTTCTTCTGTGGAGAGAGATGTTTCTTAATAGATTTTCTTGCAGCTAACATTTGCAGCCTCATTTGAACCGATTGCTGTCTCCGGGAAGCAACCTTTGACACACCTTCTGCTGATAATTTCTGGACCATTCTTCCCAATATCTCATTTTCATGCTTTTTGAGATGGAATACATAGTTTTTATAGACATTGAATTGTACGTTGCACATGTGACATGTAAACTTATGTCCCTTGCAACTTTTAAAATGAGTATGAAGTTTAAGGTGTTTAACTGCAAAGTGCTGGAGTTTAATACCCAAATCTTTAAGTTTTACAGAACACAATAAGCATGTTGAACTTTTCTTAAGTCTGATTTTGTCAACATCAGAATGAACTTTAGTCCCTGAATTACTAAATTCTTCTTTGGATAACCTCTTTGCTCTCTTCAGATCTTCATCACTGTCAGAAGAAAACATATATTTTGGCTTTTGGACACCACCACTAACCCTTCCACGGAGAATTCTTGAACTATCAGTTGTATCCGTTTCACCGCCATCATCAGAATCTTTCTCATTATCTTTTTCTGTCTCTCTGCAATCCAACGAATCTTTTTCATTATCTTTCTCAGACTCTTTATCACCATTCAATTGATTTTCACTTTCAGTGTTGTTTGAAGTACTTAGGCTATCTGTATCTCTTTCTGGGAAAGAATCCTCTTTTTCAACTGATGCTTCATTTTCTTTAGCTAATTTGTCATAGTGGTGGCTAACTTCTATTGGTTTATCATCTTCCGAAGGTCCAACAACTGAGTGAAAAATGTCTGTCATGATTTGGGTTATCCTTTCAGGATCAACACCAGATTGTTTGGCAGTTAGGTCGTTCTCCAGTTTCTTCTTTTTGATTTTCTTCTTTTTAAGGGGATTTTTGGCCAGACAAGGTAACCAATGATCATGTACTCCTTCTGGAGAACAAAAAGTTTGTCCACATAATTCACACTTGTAGAAGGTTTTACCAGAAGAACTTGTCATTTCCTTGTATTGTGGAGGTGGGGGGCCTTTCTGCTTTGCAGCCTGTTTAGCTGCTAGCTTCACTGCCTGTTTTTCCTTTTTGATCTGTAGTTCTTTCTGCTTCTGCAAAACTTTTTGAGCTTGAAGTTTCTTTAATTGGTGTTCTTTTTCTTTATTGATCTCTCCCTTTTGTTTAGCAACCAGTTCTGCTACACTTGAAAGTTGCAATTTTTCCTTTTTGGCTGATTGAAGAATAGAAGGCAGTTCTGCTTTTCTGGTTGAATTTGTATTTACAGCACTTAAGAGAAGGTTCTGGGCAATCTTAGGACAGTTTTTGGTATGAAGTTGCATTTCTCTTTCAGAAATACATATACTACTGCATCTAACACACTGATAAATAGTTTTTGCATTCATTCCAGAGTAGTTTGCTTTGGGATCGTTTGGTTTTATACTGTCAATGTTATAAACTGAACCTTCCGATTTACACACCCTTTGAACATGGTATTGTAGGGAGTCTAAAGAAGGAAAAACTGCTCCACAAATTATGCATTTGAAAACGGATCCTGATTTTTTAGAATTAGATATCTTTTCCATTATAACTCTACTTTCATCTGATTTTGCATGTGCAGTCATGGCAGGGGAAAAGCTATCTTCTGTTGAGGTTACAACTTTGTTCTGGATGTCTTGTGTTGGTACAACCTGCACAACTGATTGTTCTGGAGCAGGTTGCTCAAAGGACTGGTGTAATTCTGGAATGTGAATACCTTGAACATCATGTAAGCTTTGAGCCGCAAGGTAATTAGAATCTTTTGGGTTCAATGGAAACTGGTAGGAATCTCTGTATGAAGATATTTCTGTTTCATTTAAAGGTTTGCAATCCACGCCTGGTTTACTTTCCACAGAATTATTCAGTAATAATGAAGACACATCTTCTATTCCAAGTTCTTCTAAGTTATCAGATAAAGCAATGTGCAGTTCATCACCTGGGTTGGCATTTTGAAATAGATCAGATATTAAGGCAGTTTCTGGTAAAGCAGCCAAGGTTTCCAGAATTTCATCACTTGCATTCAATAAGCTTTTCACGAATATGTTCTTTTGTTCTTCAGCAGCTTGGACACTTTCATCTACAGAAGTATCAACTAATGCTACACTATGATCTACGTGTGGTTGAATGATATCTTTAACAACTGGCTGAATTGGATTCTTCTGTTTTTCAGCCGTTTGGTGTAGCATCTTTTGAAGACTCAGACTAGAAGACTGTGTAAAGGGTGTTGAAGTGCTGGCCTTTATGGAAGGTGAAAGCTTGTTACTGGTGGAGGTAAGGTGCATAGGGTTTTTCTGTAAAAACTCTTGTTTTATATGTACTTGTTTAGGAGATGGATTCTGAGTAACTTCTTGTCGGCTATTGCTAGCAACACTCTGTACCACTCTTTGAGCAGTTGTAGGAATTTTTTGCAGTTGATTATACATACTACCCTGCCGATGAGTCTGGCTTGTTTTCTGGTTAAGTGTATGTTGTGTCTGTGAGCTAGAATGTGCTGACAGTTGATGTGTAGATCTGTTGATTTTATTTAACTCCTCTTGTAGTTGTTCAGCAGAGATATTTGGTGTTTGGATATTATGCTGTTGTGTCTGAGTTGCTTGGATTTGATTTTGCAAATCCTGGAATTGGTGCGAATCTAAATGAGGAATTGTTGGGACGATGGAGTTGAGATCTGACTGGATTGATGATTGGTTTAGTAAGGCTGGTGAACTTGATAATGTAGGAAATATGTTGGAGGTACATGTAGCTGGAACTGATGTAATAGTTTGATGATTGCTTGATCTTGCGTTAGTTGAAGCAGCTGTCAACAATGTGCTCAAATCTGTCTGCATTGGAGATGACAATACAGGCTGACTTGCCTGCTGATTTGCAGATACCTTTATTTGACAGTTTTGCAAATTCCCTAAATTTATGCCTGGGATACTTTGCTGATAAAGTTGAGGGGCCATAGTTACAGAATGATTTATATTTGATGTGTATGTCTGTCCTCCAGGGTTTGATATCAAAGGCTGTTGAACCATATTTTGAGGTTGGCTGAATGCGGCAACCTGCTGGGAGGCTAACTGTTGCTGGTTTATTGAAATAACTTGTTGATTTGCTGATGTAGTTGTTGCATGTTGAATGCTTGATTGGTACTGTACTGGAGATGCCTGGCTGTGCACTATTCCAACTGGATTCTGTACACTCTGTGATTGAAGAATTCTCACCAAAGCCTTACCAGATTCATATCCTTGAGCTTTTGCTCGAGCAATAAGTTGAACCTGAGAGGATGACAAGGGTCGCATCTTGGCTTTGTTAACATCTGAACTGGTAGATTGTATAGTTGGTGAGCTTAATAACGGTTGAGGATGAAGTATTTGGTTCCCAACTGAACCAATATTTAACTGTGAACCTGTTGGTTTGTTTTTGAATATCTGAGTTGGACCTGGTAGCATATTTGTTACATTTCTGCTGTCCACCAATAATGTATTAGAAAGAGTTTTACTGGTACTTGCACTTGGCATTGTGGATAAAAGTGCACCAGGCTGCTGTGTATACACCATTTCGTTTGATGCTTGAGACACATGGTATTGTTGGGTATTCTGAGATTGCTGTTGTACTACCTGCCTTTGATAACCAACTTTTTGAAGACTCTGAATGTTTTGAGAATGCTTTTCCTGCAATGATTGACCATGCTGCTGAATGCTAAAATTGCCCTGTTGTGGTTGTTGTCTTTGATGTGACAAAGAACTTTGGTTACTTGATACAAGTCTAATTGATTGACACTGAATTGTTGCTGGCTTAGCACTTGTAGAATGTGGTGTTTGATAGTTGATTGTTCTTTTAACCATGTTAGGTTGTCTAATATAAGTGCCTGTTGGACTAACAACAGTTAATTTATTTTGTTGATTTTGTTGTTGATGGTTCTGAACACGCACAACAACTTTTTGACACGGTTGTGGCTGTGGCTGCTGCTCATAATTTCTTAAAAATGTTTGCTGGATCGTGGCAGCAATTTGTTGAGAAGTTCTTAATCGAATACTTTCCGCATCAGATTTCTTTTTGATAGCTAAAATTTGACTGGCAGTAGGTAGCATATTAGCACTATTCACATTACTGTTTAGATTAAGCATGGCATTATGGGCTAAATTCACAGACTGAGCTGTCCTGGGTTTTACTTTACTTGGAGATTTCATATTCGTACTAGTAGGGGATTTCCCCAGTCTCTTTTGTAAGTTCTCAACCACCTGTTGTAAATTATTTGCATACCCAACAGTTGATCTTTCTATTTTTAGTTCGGGTTTGGGTGTTGGTTTAACAGGAGATAGGGAGGGTTTATTGGGTTGTGCAAGTTTATTATGTCCACTAGTTATCAGTAACTTTTCACGTAAACTTGCAGCTAATTGTTGATGACTGAGTTGATTGGGTTGCTCTTTCTTTTTGGCTTCAGCCTGTTCCATTAACGCTATGATTCGTTCTCTTTCGTGTAAATATTTTGAACAAGCGGGTCCCAGTTCTTTCCAATCTGTATCTGGTTTTAAATTATAAGGTCGCAACATATTGAGTAGTCGCTCCACTTCATACAATGTTGCTGGATTGATTTTTTCCTTCTTTTCGTCACTTTGAGAGCACTTCCCTGTATCAAAAGTACAATTACCACAGCACTTGGTAATTTGACTTTTATACTGATTGTCTGACTCATAGAAACTTGCCACTTTGTCCAAACTTTTCTTTGATGGATTTAACGAAAATGCTGTCACAATACTGTATCTTGCTGTTCTAATACTGTTATTTCGAAATATATCAGCTAATTTACTACACGTTAAAGACATGTCTTGTTGATGCGATTGTAGTTCAGACATATCACCACTCTGCATACTCTTTTCTAGCACACCTTTATCTATATTAATGGCATAAATGCACATGTCTGTATAGAACTGTAATAAGGAATCTCCACACTGAAAGGAGAAAAAAAGAATACAGATAATATAAGGAACACACTTTCTAAAGTTCATGGAGTCAAGTGGCCTGGTTTTGATCGAAAACCTCTATGACAAAGAGTTGGGTTGCCTACCCACCATTTTGGGTTTTATCCACTGCAAAAGACCCTTACTAGCAAACTAATTATTGAAACAATATTGTACTGTTTGTATTGAGTGGACATTAAACTCCCCTTCTCCGCATAAATAATTTCAATATGCACATTTGTCTACAATCTGGTTTTAATATGCGCGACACAACACTGTGAAATGAAATTTAAAAGATAATACAAGAAACAATGCATGAAGCCAACGTACATTTAGCATAGTAAGAATTTGAATGCCACAATATAATAGATTTTTAAATGCACATAATTTCCGTGAATAAGTGTTTATCTAAGCTGAATAGATAATTGACAGAAGTCAAGCAATAAATTTTTGGGTCTGTAACTCTATTTGGCTAAGAACTATTAGTTCTGCTCGTATATAGTGCTTTTTGTTTTATTTTTCAAATTGATAATTTAATATTCTATGAATTTATACCTTTTCTCTAATACAATCTATTATTAATGTTATCTGCTCTGTAGTTCTAGAAAGTTTTGCAATGGCCCAAGAATTACTTATAAACTTTTCTTCGTCCTGGTCTACCATATACTGATGTTGGATCCACATACGTAGTAATTCCTAAAAAAAAAAAAAAGAAGAAATAGGTTTGTAGGTTAATCTAGCAGTAGACTTTCCGTTTAAATTTCAAAATCTTTCCACTCTTAAAATGTATCTTCTTGTGATATGTAGCAATTAATTTCCCAAACAATGAAGTCTACATGATGGGTATTTACATGTAGAAGTTGGCATCAGACAATAACTAGGGGGATTGGGTGGCCGAATGGTTAGCATGTGCACGCCGTATCATAAGGTCTGTCATTGAGTCAACTGGCGTGGTTTCGATTCCCCAGTTGTATGTGACAAGGAGTAGGATCACCTGTCCAACCTCGTGGGTTTTCTCTGGGTCCCTAGGTTTCCTCCCACTGTTAAAGACCCTTACGCACAAGCGAATTATTGAAATAAAATTGAACCATGTGTTAATTTCACTAAGGTTCGCAATACATGTGCAACAAATTCTGTCTTTTAAAAGGATAGGAAAATAATTAATAGTATTATAATTCAGATCCATTTAATAATTTGCATCTTAAAATAAAGGTTTTGAATTTTATAAAGTAAATAATGTTTGTCACACTATTTAGAATGTGTTCTTTAAATGGCATTTAGTAACAAAACACATACTTATGGAAAACAGCTACTAGTGTATTTAAGGCGACGTTTCGTAGAGTATTCTCTCAACGTTATCAAGCTAATACAGTAAAACAGGTATGAGGCAAATACTCTACGAAACATCGCCTTAAATACACTAGTAGCTGTTTTCCATAAGTATGTGTTTTGTTGTTATTTAGAATGTAGTACAGCAAAATCGTTACTTACAATTGTTTCTTTCTCATTTCCAGATTTGATCCAATTCTGCACCAGAAATGTCTGTGCAAGTAATGTACATATTTTCTTTTGATTTGGCAACTCTAAAAATCGTTTAACCAGTGCTACACATTCATCAGCTGGAATAATCTCGGCCTGTAAACAAATTTATTAAGGGTTTTAGCTTTAAGTAATAATATTAATACATAACTTTACTAGATATATTTTCTATTATATGTGCAATGTGTGATGATGGAGGGACAGATTATGAACAATACTGTTTACATTTCCTATGTTCTTTGAATTCAAACTGTCAACAAATCTTTTCTGTGCACAAAAACAGACATCAATTTTCCATCCCATATGACTGACTAGACATCATAAGCACGGCACTGTGAGAACAGTCTTTGAATATCTTGATGGTTTATCTCAATCAAAAGGGTTTAAACCATGAACATAGCAATTTATCTAAAAATAATTATATACTTTATTGTTGAAGATTCAAATACCTCTTCTTGTAGCCTATCTAAATCATGTAATTTATCCATTAATGTCAACTGTATTTGTCGAATATCCAAATCAGATTTTAGTTCAGGATGTTTTAGACACCAAGTGCATAAATTTAGGGCAAACTCCTCGCAGTTTTGTTGTAACATCAGTTCAACCCTTAATCTCAGTATATCTGGATCCTCACTGCAGATGTACTTTAAACCTGAAGAAGAACATTTAATTCAAAATTAGATTTTGATAGAACATTGAGTATCAACTTTGGGATCAAAGCACTTGCATCTGCATCAGTACAGATGAACTTACAAAGAATAATCAATAGATTACTGATACATCATTTAATATATGTTTTAAATGTTCTAGTTATCACATTTATATTTAATTGATGTCTAACAGTTTATACATTATTTATAAAAATGCATCAGTTTTGAAAGGAAACTTCTGTTGTGAGCAATAATACTACACAAAGTAGTTACTACATGCACTAGACAAACAAGTGTAACCCATGAGATCATGCAGGAACATGGGAGATAACTCCAGATTTTCATAAATCTGAAGTAAAATATGAAACGTAGATTTCTGGACCAGAAACTGGTCCCCAAGAGTTACTCATCTGGTTGTTCTTCTTCTAGCAGGCGACACTCTTGGAAAAAGCATGAGACGCTGTCAATTCAAGTATGACAAGACTACACCTTTTGATGTCACAATTCCTAAAAGGCGGCGATGGCGTCATGCTTGATTCCTGGTTCATATAGTACTATCATACTTGTTTAGTGATGGATTTATCCATACAATACCAAGAAAAATTGCAAACATTATCTTCCATTATGCTACATGTAAATGTAAATGAAAAATCTTTTGAAATGCTGAAATATAAAGAGTATTAAATATAGCCAACCTTCTCCTTCTTCATCATCTTCTTCACTAGACATAACCTGTCCTAATATAGGATGGGTCCAATGTGTATCCATCAAAGCTAATATTACATCAAAACGACTCGATCCATCTGTTTTTAATAACAATTCATGGAAGGCTGTTAAAGTATTCCCAAAATTCTTCTTGTAAGGACGATCTTCGTCTAACTGTGCCCATTGCACATCTAGCACAATCCTTGCACTCACTCTATAAAAATTAACAATTTTACAATGCATCATGTAACTTGCGGCAACATTAAGTTGATAAAAAGATTTCAATTATAAAACGATCATGGTGCTTCATTCTTCCCATGGCCAAGAAAACTCTGCATTTGGGAGCTACAGGTATAACAACATGACTTACCCAAATAATTTTTGACATAGTGATTGAGTGGTTGTGCCTTTTTCCAGCTGAGGATACAATTCTGTTATATAACCAAATATAACCCATAGTCCTATTACTTGATTTTCATATTTATCTATGTGTTTCTCAAAATTGTCTGCAACCTAAAATATATAATAAAAATATCACTATCCATGATAAATTAATTGATGAACACTGGAGTAATCAGATCTAATACTACATGTAATAAATCTTAATGTACAATAGAATTTGTTTTAATGTTGCCAATAAAGTTGTGTGGAAATGCAAAATCCAAAAAGAAATTTTGTTAAGATTCAAAATGAAAAAAACAAGATTGTTAATATACATGTACATCTCTGTTAAACTTAAGTCAGAAAATGGCAACACAAAGGAGTGAAGCATGGTCCAGTGCCCACCACATCCAATCTACAATACTGAACATGTGATGCACATGTTATAATGTGGATGCAAATTGCAAATGCTCCTGAATACTTCTGTGAATTATTAATTCAGCAGTTATGTTCCAGATAGACAGTGATGTTGAAAACATTTTCAATCAGCTAGTGATACTTAGAAACTTTCAACTTTTGAATTGAACAGACATTATATATGTTTCATCACTTGTAAATCTGAAATTCCCAATTACAATTTATGACAAGTTGGTTTATTGGATGTATGTCTCATATGACATGTTTTTAAAACTGACATTTAAAAATCTTAAATTTAAATTAAAAGCTGTCAGCTTATTGTTAGAATTGATCTTGGGACTGACATTTTATAAAATGATATATTTTTGGAATTGATCTTGTGTCACATATTAAAACCAAAATTATGCCAGTGACCTAATAAACTCAGATTAATAGTATTTCAGAAAGTTTACATGCCTATATATATATATATTTTAACCTACATGTAGGTCTTGCCTATGAAACCAGAGAAAGAGAGAAATTGGGTGTAACGTCCACTCGACACAAACTAGGTCATTTCGGGACAATCATATATAGTTAATTTTACTTCAATAATTTGGTTGCAAGTAGGGATCTTTAGCAATGGGAGGAAACGTCCACTCGACACAAACTAGGTCATTTCGGGACGATAATAATTTAATTTTACTTCAATAATTTGCTAGCGCGTAGGGATCTTTATCAGTGGGAGGAAACCGGAAGACCTGAAGAAAACCCACAAGGTTGGACAGACGACCCTACTCATTGTCACGTACAACCGGGGAATCAAAACCATGTCAGTTGACTCAATGATAGACCTTATGATACAGCACGCTAACCATTCGGCCATCCAACCCCATGCACCTATGAAACCAACTTAAATTAAATTACCAGCTAAGCTTAAATCAATCAATGTATAATTAACTAGTGTCACATTTTAAGTTTTGTATGATAAGAATTCGAATCTGTTCAGATAAATTGTCATAAAAATTCAATTATAATTTCTTAAGCCCCCTTTTTGTCTTGCACCGATTACATTAATATAAAGAGACATACCATCTTGAATTTTCATTACTCATTCAGTTTAATCCAAATGTCTTTCATGAATTCTTACCAATTCTAAATGGTTTCACATTTTATTTTTATGTCTCACTTTGCAACAACTCTCTAAGATACAATCAGTTTTGGGGAAATCCCACTTTTTGAAATTTAAATGTCCCTTTATTAAATGCGGGTTTCTCAAAGCGTTTCTTTGGCTGGATATACCAGCTGGCCGGCTACGTTGATCTAGTCTCTTTCAAATGCAAAATAACAGCTTCACTGCAATTGTGTCATGCAGGTATGACGGCCCAGCAACATTGCTGTATTAATATGGATTTTAAGCTAATTTTGCCACTCTTGACAGTGATAGCACAACTCAGCACGTCTCGGACAGAGCTGTCGATAACTGGGTTGCAGAACGCAATCGTTCACGAACAAATAAGTACGGTAGTTAGTAGGCATTCCACTGACATAGCCTTTCGTTAATACCATCTAAGTATCGATTTTCAAATAAAATGTTTCCTACAGTTTTAAGTATGCGTTAAACCTCCCGTTGTCAAAAAAAAGCACTTCTCAACAGGGCTCAGTCTGTGTATGGGCTTAGTCTGTGTATGCGTGCCATTTCACAGGACAGTAATGGATGTCTTTCTTTCAACTGAACTAGGGAAGCTGCTGCCCCGCTTACATTTCAACCCTAAATTTACTCACCCTACATACGATCTGGCAAAATTTAGCTGTTGCAGAGGTGTTATCAGACACCTGTTTTCCATATTCTTCCGATGCATTTTTCAATTCAGCCAATAAATGACTGAATTCCATCTTAAATATCTACATCAAAACAAGCGAAAAGTCCTTTACGGCATTACTAGGTTGTTTACATGGCGCCACCTAGAGCTTTCCGACATGGCGCGGTTAACAAAGGGGGATAATAAAAGATATGTAGCAGACGCATTTTGGTTTTAACGTAAGATTTGACGTTTTCAGAAAGCTTCCCGACCAATTAAACAAATCGAAAATATCCGAAGATGGTAAATATTTAGAAAGAACTCATGGAATACCATGTATTTCATGAATATGCCAAATAAAGTTAGTTAAATTATCGTCTAGGCCGCGATCGAATACATAATGCATGACACCTTTTGTTATTTTGGGATGGTTTTAGACCATTATTTACCAAATAGTCCATACTTTTTATAAATTAATCATTTATATATCAGAGAATCAACAATAAGACAAAATTATCATGAAATCAGTGCAATAAATTAAAAACACCAATAAAAATTGGATGGAACTTTTGTTTTAAGGGGGTCATCTCAAAATAACTGTTTTACAGTTTTTCGTTTTCCACTCATCTCTTTCCTCAATTATTATTAATTATTTTGTTAATTTTAACAGAAAAATACCAATTCAGTATTCAGCTCCAAATTAAGATAGCGGTTTTTGTAAATTATGGAAGAGTACACGCCTTTTAATGTCAGCTATAGACCCGATCTCTAGCCGGCTATAGACCAAAACCTTTCAGTTTGGAATATCTTGAAGACAAAAACAAAAAAAACCCCAAAAACCTAACGAAAACAAGATTTTAATGACATTTTATATAAAAACATCGACAAAGCATATACCGCATACACTTTGCTTATCAACAGTGAATGCTATTGGTTGACCCATTCATGGTTGACCATGGATGATGGACTCTCCTGCCTGTAGCCTACTATAAGCTATATAACTATGGCTATATAACCTCTGATTTGACTTGCTTATTCGCATAGCCTATCCACCCATCCATTAAGATTTAATATAGGCAACATTCAACGGTTAATCAGCATTTTTTAAAAATTCTGATTTAATTTTTCTTCTCTGCTGCTACCAACACGATAAATGGCAGTGCGATAACCAATAATTAAGTAGGCTTTCAGGCACAAATAGACCCAATGGAGGCTTTACTTTTGCAATTTATGATATTGATAATTCCAATTTGTTGAAATTGTCGAGAAACGTAAACTTGCAAGGATATAGGTTATATAAGTGGCGTGTGTATAATATGCTACAAAACAGTGTAGTCGGCTAGCTAGGCCTACAATGGAAGGCACCATTGATTTTTGTGCATAGGCTATAATTGGTTGAGTGAGAACGCATTTCAATCAAAACACACCTTGCTAGTTTATTTGTTTTAAATTCTGAGCATGGACCCGAAACGTTCACTGTTCAAGTAAATAATAATATATGTTCATGTTAAAAGATAAATTCTTCAGAGGTGATGTCGGTCTATGTTTTTGGTTTTTTTTTAAATTTAGGCTACTGGGGGGAGAAGTATCAACACAAAAAAAATCAGTAGATAATCTGATTCAAAATATAAAACTGACATTTTTCACCGTTTTTGCTATGTGTTCTATTTATAAATGAAAGTAGGTCAAATTTTACAAGACCTTATTATAGATCTTTATGTTGTTTTGAGACTTTCCCTGTATTTGCAGTCGGCATTGTTCACTTTAAAAGCTGACGTGCAGTGGTTGTGATATTGTGATACCGGAAGTGGGCTATGCAGTCCAAGCAAAAGTTTCATCAGATGCTGTCTCTTTGTTTTGAAAATCTTTTTTTAAGACGAAATTATAGGTTGTTGGAATTGTCCAGGCCACATAAATGACAATGACTTCGACCCACCAAGAAAAAACACAATTAACATATGCCGCCTAGAACTGTTATTTTCCAGAACGGAATACCTCACAGCCTGCATTCGTATCATGTATCATGTTCATTTGGAACAGTTGTCGCCATTAACATATGATTTATTGGTTACCGGTACATATCTTATAATTGATGACTAATTCATACTGTTACAAACAAGTATCGTATGTTAAAGTTGGCCGTTTTGGAAATGTATCCGCCTTTTTGTGGGGTTGGGGGGGGGGGTAGAATTTAAAGCGGGATAAGCTCAACTTAAACTACTCGCGCCGCTTTATAGTTTATTTAGCAGTGTGATTCGTTCGAAAGTTCAATTGTGGTGTTACGAAACTGAAAGGAAATATGTATTGTATGTGAACTGCAGCGTACGTGTGTGTCTTTTGAAGTAGGCCAAATTCGTAAAATATGTTTTTTGGTAACACCGGTTAATGTTTCGAATTTGCCGTTAGTTTAGATACTAGGATATTATGTTCCAATTGATGGTTAAATTTTTAGGACCTTGTATGTCACAACCTTTTTTATGTGAAATAATAAGTGTCGATTGTATTAAAGTGGAAGACCCAGTTTTTACAGAATGTTAAAAATAAAATTTCATTGATGTCAAACGCAAAAACGCAAATAAAAGCGTATAGATCAATTAACTTGTTTGAAAGTTTTAAGCTAAAAATATTGAGCTGTGAAGAAATGATAGCCAAAAACAGGCGCAGAGGGTTGCAAACGTCGTGCTATAATAGTATATGTTATACAAAACTGTGATTGGTTTCCATACCAATTGTGAAATTGTGTTTTTTATTGTTTTCAATCGCAAAATTTGATTATAATCATACACAAGGCATTAATTTGGCCGTGATATCACTGGTGTAGGGTTAGGTTTAGCAATAGCATGATTGCACACAGCATTGGCTATTTCGGCTGGGGCTATAGGAGATGTTCCCAAGGAATGAAAAGGAAGGGTAATTTTTAAAGGTTGTGTGGACTGTGGATATATATACTCTAATCTTGATTCGTCATAGGAAATGGCGCCAGTTTTCGGCTGTTTTTGTTTAGCAATTAGTACTTAATCTGTTGTCCGCTAGACTATATTAATATCGCCCACCTACTAACTGGGTGCCAACTGCAAAGTTTTAGGCTTGTCAAGGCTTTTTAAACTTTTTGACTCGCTGAGTGTGTTCATATCTGGTTTGATTCGACGTGGCAGTAAGATCTGCGAGATTTGAATTTATTTGCTAACAACCCGCCGTACGTGCTACTAAGGACAGTTTGCGAAGGAGATATAGTGCAGATCGGAGACTGGCCGTAAAGACCTACAATATTTTCACCGGCTTTCTTGCGGCTGGTCTCTGCGAGTTGTTTACCAAATCCTACAACCCACACGCACGGCGGGTTGTGAGCTATATGCTTTTTAGCATTGACATCAGTTTTGGAAATATTGGTTACATAGGCTTATATAAGCACCGAGCGGAACCTCTCACCCGTATTCCAGCACCCGGATTCGTAATGAAGTTAGCAATAGCACACATCTTCCTAGCGCCAATAAAAACCTAGATATAATTATCACGAAAATAAATGTTACCTTTATATTAGAAAATAACATTTAAGACATATTAATGCAAAGTACATGTATATATGTAATAGACACCCGCCCCCCCCCCCCAAAAAAAAAAAAAAAAAAAAAAAACTATTACCGTAAACATACTAAAATATCGCACACTAGGCTAACTGAGCACGCAGAAAAGGGGTAGGTCCACGCTGCATCAAAACGCACCGAAATTAGCTTTGGTGGCAAAATGTTTTTTATTTTTTATTTTATTTCACAGAATCAAGGGATGAATAAACTACTAGACTACAAAATTCTAAAAGCCTCCTATGTTGGCTTTTCGAGATATATTACCGTAAACATACTAAAATATTGGGGAATCGGGTTAGGCTAGGCTCACTGCGCACAAAATAACTTTTAAACTAGCTTTGGTGGCTCCAAGATCTTTATTTCACCAAATCGACAGATGCATACGGTATGAACATGCCAAATTTTATTAACTTTCTATGTTGGCGTATCGAGTTATACCACCACAAAGTTCCTAATACCCGGATTTGCGGCGGCGTTCGTGAATTCAATAAACAAGGGGTACAACCACGCTGCATCAAAAAGCACCCAAACCATCTTTTGTGATCACAACACCTATATCGATAGGAATAAACAGTGTCTATATTGTCTCCATGAAATATGAACTGTATATATGTCTACTTCCATAAATTTGGATTTTTGATAATTAAAGGATCTAAACCTGTAACTAAATATTATCCATAATATTCGAAGGAAAACACGAAATAGAATTCAATATTGGTTCATCGCAATGTTGTTATTTTGCCGTGAAAATATGGGATCCTAATAGCCAATACTTAAGACACGATGAACATTTTATAATCAGTACACACAAGTCGTTTCGCTCCATTTTTATACGTCCACATTTTCATGTGGTCAAATATTGTCGTCGCCCCGGTCCGTCCATGTGTCCGTTCACATTTTGTTTGTGGGCACTCTAGGGGTTACAATTTTATCCGAATTTGACGAAATTTGAATTATATGTTAATATCCCAAAGATCTCAATCGGCCCAAAACTGACAGACAAAATGGCCGCCCCTCGTTGTCAAATGTAAGTTTATAACCCAAAGTTCGTGGTTCCTTTCGATATTCGCGCATATCAGACTGTAACTTCCTAAATTATGGCCCCTTATTGTACGAAAAATCGCGTTTTTAGCTTGTGGATCCTATAGAGGTCATAATTTTTAGCCGATTTAAAAAAAAACGTATTATTATATCACCGTTACACCCCAAGGACGACTGAGTGTGAATTTCGTGAAAATCGGCTCAAAACTGACAGACAAAATGGCCGCCCTTCGTTCTCAAATAGCGTAAAAAAAATATGGTATATCAAGGTTGTGGACCCTATAGAGGTCACAATTTTTATTCGATTTTGTTGAAACTTGAAATGTAAGTTTATAACCCAAAGATCTCGGGTTCTTTCTTTCGAAATTTGCGCATATCCGACAATAACTTCATGACTTACGGCCTCTGATTGTACGAAAAATCATGTTTTTAGCTTGTGGACACTCTAGAGATCACAATTGTTATTTAATTTTAAAACCGTTCAGATATATCACTACTACACCATTGTGAAAATCGAACCAAGGCTGTCT